TCTTAGCCGCAAACATTCTGTCTGTCCATGTGAATTATTCGATGTAATTCCTTTTTGCCGACCTGAACTTTGACCGAGTCACTCTGCGAAAGCAATTTGATGGATTCGAATTTCTGCTAAACTTTAACCTATATTTTCTTTCCTGTTCACTTCTTTGCCCCGTAGTAACATGGAAATACAGGATACAAAAGCAATTTGAATTATTCGAACTTCTACTGAACTTTAAAGCTAATCTTGAGCTCTGGTAAGAGCATCGTATGTCGAGACTCGAGAGAACATGGCTACATCATTCTGGATTGTTTATCCTGCAGTTGATTGATTGTTTGAACCAGTGAAATAAAACAACCTCACAAAAACTTGCTGGAAATCATCTATAATAAAAACCACAACTCTCACTTGCACATAGTGGCCTGTGTTAAGCACAATTGGTGTCGGGCCTTCTTACCTTGATTTCCTTATCTTCTTTTATGTTCATTGAACACTACTCAGCTCCTATACATTTTTTTCCAAAATCGTTTTGCACATGTCATTTATTTGTAATCTTGAACATTCTGTGTACTAAATTAAGTTTTGTTGGATTCTGTGAGCGTTTATTTTTTATCATTACCAGAACTCAAGCTTACCTTTAACATGTATTTTCTTTCCTATTCAGTGTTTTGCTCTTTATGTACATGGAAATGTAGGATCACCGCATTGATATCGTGGATAGTCGGCTGTCATTGGGAGGTCAGAGACTTGTATTTTATTGTAAAAAGTGGAGATTCAAGCAATGTGAATTAAAATGCCCTGTTGGCACATTTTCCTGCACAATCATGACAATAGTAGCCTAAAAATAGTAAATCGTCATCAAAAGAAACTTGTTTGTCAGGGTCATGATCCGATGAAGGGAGTTAAGATGGGGCCCTTTTGTACAGGCGTGCGGTATAATTTATATCAGATAAATATCTTTACTGTGGGGCAGCTGGGTGGGGGCGGGGTTGAGGGGTGGGGGATATGGGGCCGGATGTACAACAAAGTGATGACGATCGATGTATTCCTGCACTGAGATTTAGGTCTGGTTAATGATTTTAGGAATGCCAAGAAATTATCGGTTGTTCAAACTCGTTACAAGACGTTAGGTAATTGGATGATGGTAGCAGATTTTTTTTTGTAGGCCTTCTTACATTTTCGCCATAGCCTAAGGTTGTATGCATTCTCTTTTCCGGCTATACTATTAGGCAACAGGGTAACAAGTTACTGTATTGGACGAGAAGAGATGGGACATGCTCGTTTCAATTTGATTGTTCAAATGTTGAAATAAAAGAATAGCATAATTAGATTTACATTTACATTAAGTCTTTTTATTGTATGATATTCAAAGGATGTTTCGAATATTCTAGTGTGTTAGTCAGGGGCGCCGATTTCTTTTCAAGACCGGTGGGGGGGGGGGGGGGTTAATGCGAGGGACCAGTGGCGTAATGAGTTAAAACGCTTGGGGGGGGGGGGGCAGAAGTAACCAAAATCCGCATCACCACCACTCTTTTATATGTTACATGCATGGCCCGTGGAACGTTCTACAAAGGTGGGGAGGGGGAGGCTAAAGTATTAATGACCAGGTAGAGCGTAATTTTGCGTTGGGTCTAGGGGCAAAGCCCCGGCGGGGTCAATGGGAGCCCACGGCCCTGCCCCCCTCCACTCTGGGAACCAAGAGACCGTATTCATGTTCCCCAAATCTCTGGTAAAGGGGTACTTTTCACGCAACAAAGTCCGGCTCGTAATACACACAAATCGGCCCGTCTTGATCGACTTTACACACAAATGGACTTATGGGGGGGGGGGGGGGGGTGATTTCAAAGGGAGGGAACATGCATATACCCGTACCCTAAATAACACTAAGTGGGGGGGGGGCGGGACCCCCCGGAAGCTCAGGGATTTATGCATTTAATTATGGTCAGATGAGCATTATTTTGATACCGTATAGTTGTGATACTGGCAGGTCACTAATTGGCATGGGGTCCAGGGGGATGAGCCCAATGAAGCTAATGGGTTTTAGGTAATTTAAATACGGTCAGATGAGCATCCAGCGGCCCGCCTTATGGTCCCTGAGTGAGGTCCAGGGGGCGGAGCCCCTTAAGCTCAGGGGTTTTAGGTATTTAATTACGGTCAAAGGAGCATATATATATATATATATATATTGATACCTCATTTTGTGACACTGGCAGGTCACTATTCTTTCTTTTTTTCTTTCTGTTTCTCTTCAAAATACTTTAATTTTCAAAAAAGTGAGGGGGCCGGGGGAAGGGAGCTTGAGCCTCCCGGGCCCACGAGCCCCGCCGATCCGCGGGTCCTGACATTTGTTTTCTTATAAATTTGGGAATTTATAATTTTTCAATAAACGCATTTACAAAAAAGTGAGCAATCTTTTGTATATCACTGGTATGGAATGAGAAATAATAATAATGAACATTTGTATAGCGCCTTTTCTACAAGTAGATACAAAGCGCTTAATTAACATATACAATGAACAATTAACAAAATAGAAAGATGCTTAACAACAGACATGTATGTAACAATATAGGAATGAACAAAATAAAGGGTAAGACAGGTAATAGAAGAGCAAGAACAAGTGCTGGTAAGCGGGCATTAGTTAAACAAGTGTGTTTTGAGGTGTTTTTTGAAAGTCATTAGAGAATCAGCAGTTTGTACAAAATTGGGGAGATTGTTCCATGATTTTGGAGCAGTGGCTATGAATGCCCGCTTACCAGCATTGGTTCGACACCTTGGGGTATCTAAAACTGTACGAGTGTTGGATCTTAGGTTGTAACTGGAGTGCCTAACATGAACGAGATCAGTAAGATATGAGGGAGAGAGATAGTGTAACGACTTAAAGACAAGGGTGGAGGTCTTGAAGAGCACTCGCTGTTGAATAGGAAGCCAATGCAGAGAGTTCAACAAGGGCGTGGTGTGTGTGCTCTTTGGTTGTTTGAAGATGAGGCGTGCAGACTGGTTCTGGAGAAGCTGAAGACGGTGAATGTTCTTTGCTGTTGTGCCACTCAACAAACTGTTACAGTAATCAAGACGAGATAAAACTAAGGCACGGACTGCAGCATGAGTGGTACTTTCGTCAAGATATTTTCTAATCCTGCATAAGTTCCGGATATGATATTTGACAGTCCTGACTACATTTGAGACGTGAACATCTGGCAGCATGAGGTTGTCAAAGACGACGCCAAGAATACGCAGCTTCTTTGACGGTTTAATCACAGTCCCATCATGAAGAGTTAGAGTGAAGTTCTGGAGCAATCGTTGATGGACTTTCGAAGCAAAGACTACTAACTCAGTTTTGTCTTGATTAAGTTTCAATTTGTTGGATGTCATCCACCTGTAGACATCTCTCATTGCATCCCGTAGTCTGCATGCAGCATGATCAACAGAGTCCTGGCTAGAAGGGTCGCATTGTATATACACCTGTATATCGTCGGCGTATACATGATAGCCTATGCCATGACTATAAAGGATATCAGATACAGGTTTCGAGTAGAGCGTAAAGAGCAGCGGGCCCATCACCGATCCTTGCGGGACACCGAACTCCAACCTGGTGTCTAGTGATTTCACTCCTCTGATTCGCACATGTGATAGTCGGTTGCTCAGGTATGATCTAAACCAGTGCAGTGCTGTGCCAGAGACACCATATTCATCCCGAAGCCTTGTCAGCAAGATCGTGTGGTCAAGAGTGTCAAATGCAGATGACATATCTAGCGACAGTAGAATGACGCATTTCCGATCATCCAGAGCACATAGGATATCATTCTGAAGACTCACCAATGCAGTCTCAGTACTGTGATTTTTCCTATATGCAGACTGTTTAGGATCACCAAGGCTGTTGTCTTCCAAGTAGTTGGCTAACTGTGATGAGACGACTCTTTCCAAAAGCTTGGCTACAAACCTTATGTTCGAAATGGGCCTGTAGTTTTTCATTCTTTCTTTGTCAAGTCCTGGCTTCTTCAAGACTGGTGTCACAGATGCAACACCTAGAGATGATGGAAAATCGCCTGATGCCAACGATGCGTTGATGATATGCGTCAGCTTTGGCAGCAAAACAGGAAGGTGACGCATCAGGAGCCACGTTGGAAGAGGATCCAAAGGACATGTCTTGTTGGGTGAGCGTTTGATCAGCCTCTGAACCTCCTCTGATGTGACCAACTGGAACTCCACGAATAAACCACAAATGAATTCAATTGGGGGGGGGGGGGGGCAGGCAACTGACCCCAAGCCCCCCCTCCAATCGGGAGCAGGAGAGGGGCGAAGGTGACGGCAGTGAATACCCCTCACATGTTTTTGAAGTTGTGTAATATTAGTGTATGCCGGCGGTAATTGTGTGCTGTCCGAACGGTTGTAAATATCAGTTTAGTAGGTAAATTTTAGTAAGTAATGAGCTTGGGCATGGATGGGATTTCTATTCCCCACTCTAGGCCTCCGTCATTATGTATATTGATATCGCTATGGGAGTTGAAATTGCAAATATCAGCCTACGAATATATAGACCATGTTGTAGTGATTCTTTACTGAAAATTAAGAGCAAGCGGAAATTCATTTTTGTAGCACTGATCTATTCCTATATCTCTTAATTAACCTTCTAAACATACTGTGTAAACTGTGCTTACGTGTATTGTATTGTATTGATCAAAACTTCAATGATGTACATTAATAATCTGTTTATAAACATAAAAATCAATTTACAATGTAATGTAACAAATTAATATTCTTTTTTGGTTCTTAATAACATGATACCAATACGTGATACCAACGTACGGAATACAGATTTTTGCATTTTTATTCGTCTAAACGCGCTTTGGCCCTCCAGAGCCTAACAGTGTGTTGCAGTATTTAGTCAGTATTTGCTAAACAGTTTCTTATTTTGCATTTTTAAAAATTTTCCGGGGAGGGACGTGCCCCCCCCCCCCGATCGCCGCCGTTGGTGATTATCAGGTTGTTCATTGTTGAAACTCACGGCTATGACTGCTCAATAGAGGGCGATCGTCTATTGCAAAAAAATTGCCAAACGACCGACGCTACATACCGCTCGATTCTGTGTTAGGCCTACCAAAACTGATTATGGCCACGAATTTGCTTGGAGACGGTATGATTTACATTCTAAATAGTTCATTTTCATCCCTTTTTCATTTTTATTACGAATTGTTTTCATTATGTGCTTACGAAATCTTATATTTCATTCCCCCCAATCATAACTTGGATTGCAGCCCAGCTCGGTCCCATTCCTTCTGTTTTTTGTTGGGAGCTAAGAATCTAAATGTTACTTTACTGTGTGCGGCAGTTTATATGTGAAGTGCATCACCTGTTTAAAATGACATGTCAAAATCTCTGTGGTGTGACGTAACATTTCGTATTGACATTGCCATTGAACTTAAGTTGCGCTTAAGTTAAGTAGAACCTAGGCCTCTCTCACTCTCACTTAAATTCAAAGCCACTCGAGTGGATCGGCCAATATGGGAGCGTGTAAACTCACTGTACAGCCCTTGATGCGTAAAGTTTTTTGTGGTGTGCGCGTGTGTGAAGTTAGCGACCGTAATGAAGAATTGCTTAGATCCTCATTGGCATGAACGGCCTGCCATAGTTAAGTCCAACTTAAAGTGGATCTTAGTCTTTGTGAAACCCTCCCCAGGAATTAAAAACAAAAACAACAAAACTTGCCATTTACTAATTTTTGTGAGTCAATCATTCAATCTTGATAGTCCATTAATGGCATTATTACGATCGCTAATCTTTGGTATCTATCTCATTGATTATGTGGCATTTTCATTAAGGCACAGGTACCTTCGCATTATTTAATAGGAAAAAAATTGCTTTAAATAACAGATCTTTCAAAGCAGATGGGCAAAGGAGACTTAAACTTCATGAATATTATTTGTTACTTTAGATCTGTGTGAGAAAAGGTGGTAAAGTTCCAAATAAAATACTATACTTGCTGGCTGTTAGCTTGTGAATTATGAATTCCTTAATATTACACAAAATTCTGAAAACCTAAGACAGGCATATTGATGGCTCAGGCAGTTGCAAGCTACTTTCAATTTTGTTACCTACATGTATTATGTTCTTAATTGGTCTGAGATGAGAATGATGTGCAGAAATGTCCTATTTTACCAGCTGAAATTTGAAAGTCATGTACATGTGGATTAACTTAATGTAGATCTAGACTTTATTTGCAGTCTGTAAAATGCGGCTTGAACTTGTGTATTGTCCATTCTTATCTGCAGTTTCATTGGTGATTTGCTTTTTTTGTATTTTTTTTCATTTGGGCTATGTGAATCTGGATATAAACCTTGTGATTATGTGAAATTTATCATTCAATCTCTATTTATTTTTTCAAATTGAATTTTTTGAACAATTTTGAATTGAATGAGATATGTATTTATATAAATGTTTATTTTTTGAATGACAGGAGACCATGATGATTTCATGGACTTCCAAGAAGAATTAGCAGGATCAAGGTAAGATAAAAACCATTCAATCTATTATTTTATCAATGTTGCTTTGTAAATAGCTTATTCCTTATGTTTTATGCTGACAGAAGGTTTTTGTTGAATTTCTACAGATATGAGATGATTTTCATATTCATTTATTATAATATTCTTGCTGAGCTCTTCAAATCACTTTACAATTGAGATGCTCTCATCTTGTTCTTTCTTTATCTTATTTTGGAAATTGCTCTCAATCATTAGATTTGAAAAAAATGTTCTATCCTTTGATGCTCAAAACAAGTGATAAATTCCAGTACAACCACACTTTTCACTTTCGGATAAGTATGTGAATAACTCAATACATTTTCACGCCTTAACATGTGATCAGATTAGCAGATGCAATGCCATTTTAAATGCCTTTGAAAGTTTAATTATAAATAAACTGAAAATATTCTTCTTATTGTATAGTTCAAATCTAGCGGATCGGAAGTTTGATGCTATCATTGGTCATATTGAAGATATCATAATGGGTAAGTTTAATGGCTATCCTATTTACTTTTTCTTTGCCATCCATGTATCAAATAGTGTTTGATACACATGAAGTATCATAATGTAGGTTAACCTACATAATAAAAACATGTACATTTGGAAATCATACAAAAATATGTATTTTTCATGTGTTTATGCTCAATACCCTGCTACAACCAGTTCGTCTACTGTCCACATGGTCTCATAATTATTTTGTCTACTTATATTCATTTTGTCTAATGATCATTTAGGCTAATAGTTATTCGGTCTAATTTCCTTTTGGTCCAATCTCCAATAATTCTACTACCCATAACTGATCTATCAATTATTTGGTCTAATTCCCAGTTTGTCTAATGCCCATTTTTGTCTACTATCCATATGGTCTAATTTCATTTAACCACGAAATGATTATTAGACCTTAAGTCACCTTATAGTCCTAAATGAACGATAGACCAAATGGGTGGTAGACTAATTGGAGAATCCTATACAAAGAACATACATGTAGTAAATATTATAACACCAAAAAACTTTCAAATTAGACCATATGGAAATTAGCCCGATTGAATGTTAGCCTAAATGGTCATTAGACCAAATGATAAGTAGAAAAACTGATTATGAGACCATGTGGATAGTAGTCGGGCTGGGTGTAGATTATAAATATAGGAATAGACTAATTGAATAGTAGAAGAACTGGCTGTAGACCAAACAGCAATTTACTTTTAATTGAAGCCACTGATTTTGTGTGTGGAATAGCTATATCAGTCAAACACAAGCCTCTAGATAATTTGTGAAAATTATAAAGAATCCACAAGATTCAATTTTTAATGACTATTAGTTAAATGTTGTTTTATGCTATGGTATAAATAATAAATGATGATTTCAGTGTTTTGAAGTTTCTTATATTAGAGCCAACTAGCCAAGTCACATGGCAAAGTGTCACAATGTAAATGATTTCAACTTTCGAGCTACTGATGAAAACAGAGAATTGGGCCAATATACTTTACAACAACAAAAAGTTTTCACATAAAGCACCCAAACTCCCGATTTTCTGGTAGGCATGACTCTCAGGAGGTCTCAAGAGTTGGAATAAATTTATATCAAAGTTACTTAAGTAGCTTAGTATTTAGTAATGGAATATTCTTCCCCTGACGCATTTAAAAAATGCCATGATTTGTCAGTCTTAGTCATAATGCATTTACAATTTAAAATGTATTTCTCCAGGTCATCCTGGAATATAAAGAAAATCAATATACATGAATGAAATTAATGAGACTGTTAAAAAAGTTGTGACTCATCGCTCGGACAAACTTTATATTGTAAGTATTCAAATCTTGAATTTTATGTAACTGCATCAAGGCATTTATGTATGTATTCTGCATATTTCTATTGGATTTGTTACACTTCACTCATTTTACATTTTTGTAAACCAAATTCTTTGCAGAGGATGGTTTCCACAGTCTGAAAGATGACTTCATGGAAAAGCATTATGAAGTGTTTGAAGATACAGAGGAGAACAAGTTTGAATACACAGACATCTTTAATCAATATGTAAGTCCTTTGCTTTGCTTTCTTGTAGCAAAATAATAATTATTTAAAAAAAGAGATTGGATAATAAATATATGACTATCAACCTAATGTTTTGATGGGTACATGTAAATCAGTCAACATATTACTAATCATGATTGGAAAGAGTGTCTGTTTGAAATGAGAAATCAAGATAATGTGTTGCAGTGTGCTTTTCTGTACAAGGGGAGGAATTTAAACAAATTTCATCTCACACAGTTTTAAAAGTGAATGTATTTAGAATGTTAACATTGATATTTGAGAATAGTTTGATTTTTTTGATAAGTACAGGCATGCAAATGTGTAAATCTTGGTTGATATGATAGACCACACGAAATCAGTGTATTTAACTCTTAAGAAACGTCTTTAAGATTTAAGAATATATAATTCCCTGTAATACATTAATTGCACCAATTCTGAGGTGTATTAGATGCTAATGATATAAAAGATTTGTTACATTTAATAATAATAATAGTGGTGGCTTCTTATATAGGTCACATGTCCGTCACGTTTTGACGCTCCTGGCGCTGCCCCGATTATTACCCCGGCTTTAGCAAGGCAGCCACTGCAGCGCTCTAGCATTTCAAGGAATTAATTCCTGCCCCCTTATTATTAAACCTTTGATAGAATGACCCATCATAACTACTATTCATGTATGATGTACCTACATATTATTTTAATAAAACACATCATACCAAAACATTTCTTTATAACTTCTTAAAATTAATATTATGTCATTATTTTTCTGCCTCTTTAAGTTTAACCCAATATCTTTACTTTTATGATTATATTTTTTTTGGCACCATTGCTTTCCTTTGCTTGTCTTCCATTGTTAAAGGTTATTTCTTATTGATTATGATTAGTGAATGAATATACCGGTAAATAGAAAATTATGAATGTTGTATTACCGGAATGTATGTTTGTATTAGGCCTTTTAATATACCAGTATTTGTAAACTACTTATTAGTGAGGAGATACACTGTAGGAGTAAGTTTCCTTCTAATATCCCCAGGCACTGGTCTGTGTTATTTATTACTTCCTTCGTCTGTATACATTCCTTTTTTCTAACTGCCTGGAAATTTAATAAAAACATAATGGATATAGTTTTCAGCCAATTGTCATAGAGGCCCTGCCACCTTCCCTTATCAGATGTTTATAGGCTGCATATTGTACAACATGTATGGGGCTCCAACTTGTCTGCACCTCCTTTCAGACTCAGAGAGTTAATGAACATATCATACCCTGGAGAAGGTCATACTTACTTGGGAGGTTACAAGGACGTTGACATTGTTTGAATAGGAAGAAGAGCAGGCTGTAATGAAAATCAATCAGAGATTGAAAGATATAATGGACTAATCACTGTAGTACAGCTAGAATGGGAAAAGTGGACCTCAAAATTTATTACCCAGCATAATATGGGCTAACTGATAAGGAGTACTAAAAAAGAAAGAATAACAAATAAATCATAGCGCATGCACGGAACCCAAGTCCGACTCGAGTTCCATGAACACGTCCGGTTGTGTCAAGTGGTCTACCATATACTTACTACTTGCTCTTATGTTAATTGTGAATGCATTTAAACTTGCAGTATCTCTTACAAGTTATATTTGGAGGTCATATTTTGAATATTGTATAGTCTATTGACATAAAGCTTGTAACATACAGACCAAAATATTTTTGGTGATTGTTAGGATTATACTCATAATGAATTTTCTTCAACCTTTTTTAACATTAACATTTATCATGTTCAAAGGAAGTGTTTTGTATGTTTTGTGTATCTTGTGTTTCTTGTGTTTGAATGAAATGTGTTGATATGATTCACCTGTTTGAGGTTTGATGAGGTAGACTGCATAACAGGATATGAGAGATGTAATACCTAAGGGTTGAAAGAAACATTGTCTCTGTATGTGATGATAGTCAGACTCACATGAAACAATCAAAGTGGAAGAAAAGAACAGCTTATTTAATTCTTCCTTCTTATTTTTCTTTTCTTAATCCTGTCTGCAACACATCTGTGTTTTCATTTGTTGAGTTCGCCGAGTTCATTTAGAGGGTAGTGAGATCACATGGTGATGAGAGAAAGATGGGGGCAGCAGACGCGCATCTGCTGACTTGTGGCTTTTCTTTATCTCCTGATATTTGATCATGTTTCTTTAATACCTCTAGACTGTTTATTCCCCTTTTCCTGTATTTCCTATCTCCCCATCCCTTGCTTTCTTTCTCTCTATTCTATATATATATATTTTTTTGTATCCCCTAATGTTTTCCCTATCTTTATGTCAATTTTAAAATATTTCTCTCCCTATAATTTTAATATATTACCAGATAAGTTTTATTTATTTAAAATTTGAATTCATTATGTATTGATTTCCTTGTATTTATTCTGCGTTTACAACACATGCTTCAGTGACGATTGTTCTGCTGTGATTGTCCAACACTTTAACTATCCCTAACCCTAGCCCTTACCTTATCCTAAACTAAAGCCCCAGTGTTGAAAAGTTGATTTAGAATAAAGCAACCAACAACAAACAAAAACCCAAACAAAATACAATATAGATTAGGGTATAAGGTACAAGAAAGTAAACTTCATAAATGTTTCTTTCAAATTTGTCATTAACAGACAAGACTGATAGAGAAGTACATTGAAGAACAACTGACTGCTAGGATACCTGCTTTCTGTATGGAGGAGTTTCTCAAGCAATTACTGTGAGTACTAGCTGTACCCTGTCTTAAAATCAATTGTGATTCCCTTTGAATTGATTACACCCTTGAGCATGATCGAGGGCCCTGTCTTAAGAATTATTGTGATTGATTCCAATTGATAATAACTTGAAATCGAGCTTGATGCTGGTCTATAGAGATCCAAGTTTGTAAGTTTGAATATCCAGATCAATCACAACTCTGACTGTATGAGAAAAGGCCCAGAAGTTGTTCATTGTATCTTTGAGATCTTGAATATTGCATCTCCTCAGATCAACCTCTTTGATTTGTATTTTTTTTTCTTTTCAAGAAGTTAGTGTTGTGCTGAGAATGATTCATTTCATAGTGTGTAAAGTAACTGCTCTTTTCACAGATGTTTTTTCTTTAAAAAAAAAGAGAAAAATCCTGACAAGTTGCAGTGGGTGAAAGCATAAAAATTTAGGAAACTGTCGCCAATTTAATTAATGAGTTTTCATTAGTTTTCCTGGAGGATGTATCACAACATGAAAGTCTAAATGTTTATCTTGTATAGAGCCTCAAGGCAAAGGCACTCTGGAGACACATGGGATATGTCCTCAGTTACATAATAATTAGTTACCAGACCATCTTGCCAATTCAAGGCACCCATGCATCTAGTGATGACAGCTTTCAAACAGTTACAGCTTTTTTTTGTGTGTGTGCCAAATTCTTTGCAAATTTGTTTCCAATTTTTGTTCACTCTTGTCTATAGAAAATGTTATGGAGGTTGGATTGCCCTTGAATATTTTATAGGATTGAATTAAGAGATATAAATGGCACATATTAATGTGTAGGATATGTACAATAAACGGAAATGAAATGGATTTTAAATCAAAATTAACAACAGTTATATTTTTTGCTGCTATGAATAGAATAAAATATTGATTAGTTTTATGCTTTGCAAATTTGGTGTAATACGATGAAATTTTTTCATCTGAAAAAAATTAATCTGATTTATTTATTTCATCTCAAAAGACTTCAATATGATTGAAAATTATTTATCATTATGATTTATGAGCCAAAATATGTGTTTTTGACCCCATCTTATCATGTTGCAAAGTATTTTCTAATCTTCTCACTATCCTCCATGTATAGGAAAAGGAAAGACAAGTTGGAAGGAGAAATCTTTGAGATTCTCTACACATTCAGTGACTTTGTAGCATTCAAAGAATTAATGGTGGATTACAGAGCGGTAAGTTGTACTATAGTGATAATCATATCCATTACATTGGGACATTTTATGGCAATACAGCTTACACAGCAAATTTTAAAAAGAAAGATGAAGAATTCTGTTAGTCATAGGTTTTTTCAAAAATTATGAAATATGTTGATTCAAACATCAATTGCTAACATATTTCAAAATGAAGTGAAGCACAAATTACTGTTTTTACTTTCGGAAGTGACGGGATTGCTCTAAAGATCTGTCATCCTTAAGGAAATAGTATATTTGTAAAGCACTTAGAGACATTTGTATTAAGCGCTATATAAAAATTAAATATTATTTATTATTATTATTATAGTTTTACATGTATTTTATCTGGAAAAAATAGATGTTTTTAATACACAACTTAAAATTGAAAATAAAATGTTCCTCAAGTGAGAAAATAAGCAATGTAGAGAAATCAGTGAATAAATGTAATCATTTGTCAATGCATCTTGTCACATGTGATACCTTTGGTTTACTTTTCAAGAAATACTTTTAATAATGGAAATTAGATGTTTCCTACTTTAGTAGAATGGAGATATATGACATGCTTGATATGATTTGTGATTGGTTTTGTGTATGTACAGGATAAGGAGGGTACATGTATTGATATGGGTGACAATCTCATAGTAACTCCATTCACCGTCAACAACACCAAAGCAGCACCATCATCATCATCATCCTCCTCCAAACCAGCATCAGGGTCATCATCAACATCAGGGCCTTCAGAAGCAACGGGATCGTCATAACAGATTCAGGTTTTTAGTCCAGTTGAAGTTTTATCAGCAGTAGTGTTTCTTTCTTTGATAGTTCTATCATAGGTATTCAGTACTTACTCCTGTAAATTGGAATGTTGTGATGGAGGGCAATGAAAGACACATTTTGTAGAAATGTATTTATCCGCTTGTTTGTACTTATGCTGGAGAACAGGAATGTGTTCTGTACTAAATGGCAGTTTTACTCAATTCTTTGGATTCACAGAACTTTAAAACAAGTGTCCATTTTGGGCGAGGTGTATGTTTTCCATGTTACATTGCTCAAAAAAGGCAAGAAATGAATAACTCCATATTAAAAATGCAAAGAATGTCATGTGATAGCAGTTTTATTTACTTTCTGCATTATAACATTCCTGCTTTGAATAACTTACAGAGGGTGGTAATATGCACATCAAATGTGAAGGAACTTCATCCAGGTATCGCAGTAAAGTGTTGGGGTAGTAATAGTAGTAGTAATGGGTGGTAAAAGTTGAAGTATATATTGGCAGGCATGCATACATGTATGTGACCTAGGACTGTACAACTTTGTAGTATAAAGTGACAATCGCATAGTAATTTCATCATTCATCAATTTTAGTTGGGGGGGGGGGGGGGGGGGGGGGTTCTGTGCAAGAAATTAACATTAATTTTGGTTGTAAATTTGCAATCTGCAATATGTACCTTCTCTTTTCTCCTGAAATGGTAAAATTTCATTTATAGGACATTCTGATATGAGCTTCTTAAAAAAAAACGAAATGAAACTTATCAAAAATGTGTGAACTTGCTGGTTTTAAAGATAGCTTGGTTACTTACATTATATTTGATTTGTGCTAGCAACTGTCAGCCTCAGAACAAACTATATGCATACATGCAGCAAGAATAACCTCTAAATTATTGATTACCCAGATTGTCTAGAATAACATGAAACCACTGCACACAGTGTTGAAATTATTTTACTAGGGGAAGTATGTACATTTGATCCAGAGCCCTGAAAAATGAACATAAACTACCACTAGCAGGAATGAAGATGTGAGAATTGCATGATTTTATACTTGAGCAGTAAATTTTTGGTTTTGTTAAAACAATATTCTTGGTCTACAATCATACAATGTTACTAATACTATCCAAACATGGTATCATTACATGTTCATGATTCAAGTTACTTAACATTTTTATTTTCTGTGCCTTACTAGATTATGACACAAGTAAAAATGCTGATATTACAGAGCATGTCATATTTAAAACCTGTTTTTGCTTTAAATAAATATGTTTAGAGGACAGTGCAGATGCGCTGATTCAATGCATTGCATACAAACTCATTTCTTGTAGATTTGCATGTATTTGAAAGTAAGAATGATGTATTGTGTAAGTGCCACAAAGTACATGTTACAGGTTAATGATTTTCATTATTTTTTAAAATCTCGTCTTCTTTCTCTCTAACCGAAAAATGTGAGTCCTACCACAATTTAATAAATTTGCAGCACAACAGAGTTTGAATCGATTTGTTTGCCTTGCTTAACCATAGTAGTGATTATAATTTTCATGGCAACCTATTAATATACCTTTACCTCTCATAATAATTGGACGTTATACAACAAATTTACACCTTGATAAACGTAATCAGTACTCCGTCCTAAATAAAGATGACCTTGATTATTCTTGTTAGCTCTAATAATTTATTCTTTGTAAAGTGAAATGTAACGCACTTGATGAAATGTGTTCATGAATAGTGACCTTTACATTCTATTTGTTGATTTCTTTTCAACCTAGAACCTTGTTTTTTCCAATATATTTGATGAAAACATTTCAACCTCTAAAAGTAAATAGATTATGATAATTTAAAAGAAAGGACTATATTCATTTTTAAGGGCAATTCTATAGCCCTAAATGCTCAAATGTTTGCTCTTAGCTTGCTATAACTATACTGGATAGACTGTTAAATGAGTATCTTTGACTAAATATATATGAGCTGATTGCAATCATATTCAGGATTGCATCTAGTTTTCGTTTTCGGTGATCCATAGAATATATCTTGTGTTACTTACTCAAGTTTGAAAGATGTAGATATGTACTATTTGTATCATAAGTGTTTAAAATCAGATGTTTTTGCAGTGAAGATGACATTATATCTTAGTAGTACGTGTATTAGAAGTTCAAGCATATCTTCCTCATTATATCATGTGCATCCCACTTCAGTCCATTTCTAGGATGAGGACCAATCTATTTCATAACAATTTTCTACTCTCCATTAAATTTCTGTTGTAAGTTATGAGAGATATCAAGTAGGATGAAATACATTTCATTGATTTCATGTGTAGTGTTGGAATCCACTTGAGACATGTAGTTATAATTATGATTACATGGGGTACTCATTGGTCTCTCATAACTATACAAATATTCATGTTTCCATGGCATACAGTATAGTGATGCTTTAATGTATCAGTCAGTTTTTAACTTTGGCCTTAAAAAAAAGGTTGCCCTTTGCAATCTAGCCCAAAATCTTGGAATCTATGGTCAGCTTTTTGAAAAAGTTTTTGTTGTTAGTTACTGTTTTTAGAGAAGAAAAAAAATAAAGCATTCAAAACTGAGAAATATCAGCCCAAAGAGTGAGAAAAAAAAAAAAAAAGATTTCTTACCAACCGACCCATGTTTTGGCACCTAAAGGGCGATACAACCCCTTTTTATTTTTTTTATTTTTTAGGCCTTATCAAACTTATCTCCTTCAAAGCTGGAATACTTTCTATATTAATGTGATTATCTTGATAAAGTGGGATGCTTGAAAATGACATGTTAGAATTTTGTGTTGTACTATTCTTGAACAGTTTGCTAAATGTATTCAAAACTTGCTTTCTACAGTTCTAACTGAATATACTCTTTGAGATTCTGTAATAATTCTTTGATTGTAAATAAATTGTATTTATACTTCACTGCAAATAAAGTTATTGTTATTATGACAATCTGTTTGTTCCCTGTCTCGTGATTTCACGCATCTTATTGCATAACATTCAGACTTAAAGTGAAGGAGACAGAATGAATTAGACAATGAAAGACGGACAGGGAGAAATGAGAGACACAGCATGAAATATTTTGAGATTTGTAATTAAAAAGAGAAAAGGAAAGAAAACTAAATGATGCCTCTGCCATAGAGCAATTTTACAAACCAAAACATAAGCAATTATAAAAATTTAAGTTTGATTGTAATCCATTCACAGGTTCTCAGAATATTGTGATTAGTACAAGCTATTTTTCATATACCGGTACATGTATGTATGACCCTTTGATCTTTGACCCCATGACCCTAAAATCTAATTGGCTCTGCAAGCACCATACATGACCCGAGTTTGATGGTAATCTGCCCATCGGTTCTAATGATGTGATTACAAGCTATTTTTGCATACATAATGAGCCCTTTGACCTCATGACCCCCAAAATCTAATCAGTCCATTAGGTATGCAAGATACATATATGAGTCAAGTTTGGCAGGAATCCATTAATCGGTTCTTGACATACGGACGGACAACCCCAAAAAACATAATGCCTCCGGCTACTTCAAAATGGAGGCATAAAAATAGAAGAGACGGTATAGTAAGATAGGATGACTGGGTATTTTTGTCACATGTGAAAAAAAATATCAACAATGTAGAAGGTACTATTCAAAATTTGAGGAAGGAAAAAAATAAAATTATCCAATGTGTTTAAAGGCATTGTTTAACAATGTTAAATCTGAGATGCACGGCCCTATGTGTAATCAGTGTCTGTGATATAGTCATGGTGTAATATTGAAGCCCTAAACATTTCGGGCTTCAAAATAATCAAGAAATGCCTCAAAAATTAAAAATATTTGAATGACCCGTTATACCATACTCGTTTTCCCCAATAGACTGTAGTGTTATGAAAACCGTTAGGCGAACGCAAAATTTGGTTTCAATTTCCAATCATAAATATCTTGATAATCAGACAGGTGATTGGCTTGTAAAAGTCATGGGGTTTCTGACTGACCTAAAGGTTTATAATTATTATTGCAGCATGAGCTAAATCCAGGATTTTGTTTCAGAATATGAGACAAAGTTACTAGATCCCTTTAAGATCTGAAACTAACCAATAAAGACAAGTACCAGGTGAAAGGTTTTACCTTGTTTTTCACACAAAAATCTTCTGAGGAAAAATGAGGCTTTAAATCAAAAGAGGTAGCAAAGACAATGATATACACTCAACACACAACAATTTCCTTTCTTTTTCTATGAAATATTTAATAACAAAATTCACTTTTTCAAAGCATTTTACATCAAATCTTGATGTGATTCTTCTTTTATCTGACAAATACAAGACATACTGGTAATCCACATGATTTACATATTCACAAAATATTGTTTACTAGTGAATTACAGGTGTACCGCCTTAACTTTAATAGGTTCAGATTTGTTTTTCACAAACTAAAGGAATACCAAATGAATGTATAATTCTTACAATAATAGAAGTGGGTTCTTGTATAGCACTCACGTCTTCAAAACTTTACACTCCTTGCGCTCCACAACTATTACCCTGGCTTAAGCATAGCTGCCATTATGGTGCTCTAGCATGTCAAGGAATGAATTCCTACCAGGTACCCATTTACCTTACGTGGGTCGAGTGTGGCAAATGTAGATAAATGTCTTGGCAAAGGATAGTAAGCATTACGAAAAGCTCTCGTTAAAACTATACCCCACCACTATAGCACAGCAGTCAATGGGAATCTGGTGGGGTTGGACTACCCCAATTTCGTTTCTCTCGTTAAAACTCTGAGAGAGCTACTCCTATTACACAGGCACCAATGGGAATCTGGTGGGGTTGGACTACCCCAATTTCGTTTCTCTCGTTAAAAACTTGGACAGAGCCTTGAGGCTCTGCGTGAGAGATTATGATATTGGATTGCAGCTGGACTCTTCATCATCTTACTAGTGTAAACAAACTCTTACTGGGGCTCTGCCTGAAAGGAAATGAGAAGTAGGAAATAAGTATTTTACTTGTTTTAAGATATTTTCATGTCAACAAATCACTAATAAGTTAGATGAAGACCAAAATGAAAGTTCAAACGAAGCAAAATGACCCATAATTGGCGATATAACAACAATTTTAACTCTGGCAGCGAACCCCTGCATGTGTCTCTTTCTCCCTACTCCCTTCCTTTCCCCATCCATGCTTTCCCCCTATCATGCTTATCTCTCTCTCTATCACCTCATCAATGTCTCGGTGGGGGTGGATTACAACGCTAGTGTTTACTTATTGGACTTATCACAATCTCTGCTCTAGTACAAGTAGTAGTGGTGAAAGTCAAATGGGGGTTTCAATTTTAAATGACGAGTTTTCGTCATGGCTGCGGCTGGAATCGAACAGCTAACCATGGGATTCACAGTCCGTGATGTCAATGAAAGATAAGTTTGATGTTCTTCGCAGCTGTTTTCCCATTGATTGATTGATGCTCAAAAGTCTGTATTATATGTGTTTCTTATCGAGTTGTATTTGATTCTTGGAAATGATTTCACTGGAATTTCTTTGCCAGATCTTCTTATTCACTTTTAGAGTACATCAGCACAGTCATCACTCATCCATAAAATTAATATCTTTTGAACATTTTGGGTTTAGCACAGAGAATAGGTGAAAAGGTAAGTTTAGTAAAAGGTGATAAAGAAATAAAAGACCAATTTCATGAAAAAACTCTTCATGATGAGAGATACTCGTGGTAGAGCTTTCCAATTCTTTTAGAACCCTTTTTTATGCTGTGAAATTGTAACAAAATACTAAAGGAAAAGTGATTCAACTGTAATTCGTAAAATTCAAAATAGCAATTTTTCATCTTCATCAATGCTAAGATGACTATCGTCACATACAAAGAGAGTGAGTGTTTATGAATTCCTGTTATACTTGGGAGGAATCCCCATCAAGTCATAGCGATTAATAATTTTCTGAGGCACAGGTGATGCTGGACAATTAATGATAATAATACCAATAGTTTCTTCTGAAAATCTTGTAGACTACCAGGAAAAGTTTGAAGTCATCAGTTCATGAAAATGTCCATCTGCCTTGGTATATAGTATTCTTTAAACCCAAGTTGTTTTCTCCTAGCATTATCTAAGACCATCTCTGAAGATATCAGTTCATGAGGACTTCTATCTGCACAAAGCATGTGTTGGTATGTCCTAGAATTCTTTAAACTCGAGGACTTGTTCCAGGCATGTGTTATCTCATAGCATCCTGTAAGACCATCGCCCGGCGAGGTTGTCAGTTCATGAGGACTTCCATCTGTACAAGGCGTGCATTGGTATCTCCTGGCATTCTATAAGGCAGCATTCCAGCAAAGGTGATCAGAGCTTTGGCTTGCTTCCTCAGATGTGCTAGGAACTGAATAGAGGTTGACAAGAGAAAGAGAATTATTAGCTGTTCAAAAGGGTTCTGAATGATCATGATTATCAGGAAAGTACACTTCATTTAGAAGTGTTGTGGGCAGTACTACATGTAGATGTGAGGTCTGTGTCTCCTTACAATGATGATGTTACTAATAAAGTGAAAATAATTTCTATTATTGGTGATGTGTTAACTGTTGATTCAATGCAACACTTCACTTAGACTGTTCTAGAGTGAGCAAATATTTGTGAGCAATTTTGTCTCACACAGAGAAAAAGAAAATACAGGAATTTGTTTAATTCAGCAAAATAATAATGGCGCATATATCGAAACTGCGTGATTGAAATAAAAGATGACAAACAAAGCGTAAGGGATACTTACGGATTCCTTTCCTCCATTCTCATGACGTTGGCCAGCCCTAGCTTGAGGGCTCTGAGTTCCACTGCTACGGCATGAACGATACTTGGTGTAGAGGATAGTCATGGTAGCTAGGAGGACATCTGGAAGAGTTCTTCGAATCTGGTGATGTAATGAAATGATTTGCATAGGACTAAATTCATCACAATAACAAACATGCAGTCTTGCGATAGACGAGGTTTCAAACTTTGCAAACAAGAAGTAATCATGATTATTTCACAACAGCAACATTTCTTTGTTTTTATTTTTTAAAAAGAAGAAAAAAAGTTAAATAATTAATTGGTCTATAAAAACCAAGCAGCAGCACACGCTGAAGGGGGTAAGCTCACAACAAGAATAATAATATTCATTATTTTAGGATGATGTTCATAGAACAGTAGCCTTCTTTCTTTTGTTAAAATTTTATCTCAGTTAGTATTCATTATTCAGTGAATGCAATACTACCCCACAGCTGATTTTTCAAACTTCAAGCACATTTTCACTATTTCTCATTACACTTCCCTCATCAATTTGTCAATGTTATCTGAATCCCTGCTTACCTCGTCCGTGTACTGCTTGAATCCATGGACTCGGTCATCTACTGATTCAGGGCTCAGGGCAATCAGCTGAAGTTGACTGATCGTCTGCAAAGAACATATCCACAGAAAATTAGTTTGACAGATGCAGCTCCTTTCTTTCTTAATCCATAGAGAGAACATTCTAGTTCATGCATATGTTAAGAAATACATGAATAATGAGCCTATATTACATCATTTAATATCAGAGCAACTTATACTATTTTTTTTCCCTTCCCTTTTTTTTGGTTGTTGCTCCAAACACATCTACTTAAGGTGATTTTAAATGATCAATGTGAATGCAATATCAGACACAAGGTCTTGAATACGCTGGATATTCATTTCATTCATTCAAATCCATATTCATTTAACGATGTGTTCCTAATACTTCTAAATAATCATATTGTCTATTAAAATTCAAATATTCTCTTTGGCAGATCTAAATTTTTACTTTATTAATGCTTGTAGAAGAAGTGTATTGACAAAGCTTCTTGCTCTACAACTGTGATAAACACTAGCACAAATGATATAATTTGCTACATGAAAATAAAATTTAATCCATTTTGTAAGTTGAGTCCTCAGCCCCCAGTCAAGACATCCTACAGAAAGGACACTCCTAACCAGGGGACCCTTTAATTGTCAAGCACTGCACCACGCCCCTCCCATCTAGACCACACCCTCAATAAAAGGTGCAGCTAAAAGGGAGATTGTGACACTACGAGCGCAAGGATAAGATTCATCATTGGACTTAACTAATCTATTTCAATCTTATTTATCATGTTTAATTGGATGGGTAAAGCAAGTCTTTTTGAGACAGAGAATAAGACTAAGTATCAGAAAAATATTGAGTAATATCTCACAAATTTGGAAACATCACCCTGTATATATTTCTCATACCCTCTTGTGATTGAAGAATGTTTATGTTTGACCGATTCCAATGAAGTTCATATGCAAATGGAATTAGAAAATAATTCCCTAACTAGAAATCACTACAGGTATACAAGCATTAAATACCTTATTATTAGCAATGATTCCCTCCAACATAAATCCCCCAACACACAGATTACTGAGAATGTGTCAAATAAATTATTTCCTAGGAAGGAAGAACTAACCGTTAATGCTCTATCCAGATCTCTATTGTGGTACGCATCAAAGAAGGTCATCAGGTCAAGCAAGAGATAGAAGGACTTGGTGTTGGCTGGACTTCCTGTCAGACCTTTGGATTGATACCTGCATTAAGAAAAGGAATGAAGAATATTACTTGGTTAGATGTATCAAGAAAATATAGGAAGTACAGGTAAAAAAAGGAGTGCAAGAAGGATGTAAAACAAGTCAAGAACAAATACCATGCCTTAGTAAAAGCATTCTATTTAATGACATATATTATGAAAGGCAATCTTTATGCAACACTTGTGTTGTAAACGTATGTAAGGAAGCAGAGTGAAAATTCTTCTTCTTCTTCACGTGCCATGTCCTGAGACGTTGGCGACCATGGAATGCCACAACTCTCTGTCCCATATTCTATAAATTAATTCATTCTCCCCGAGATCAATTCCACTTCTTAAGCTACTCATCCATAGAATCCTCCTTCTACCCCTACTCCACCTCCCCTCGATGATTCGCTACATGAAATAAAATTTATTCCATTTTGTAAGTTGAGTCCTCAGCCCCCAGTCAAGACGTCCTACTGAAAGGACACTCCTAACCAGGGGACCCTTTAATTGTCAAGCACTGCGACACGCCCCTCCCATCTAGACCACACCCTCAATAGAAGGTGCAGCTAAAAGGGAGATGGTGACACTACGAGCGCAAGGATAAGATTCATCATTGGACTCAACTAATCTGATTGAAAATTACATGTAGCAATTCTACAACTACACATCCAAAAGAAAATGTTACGTATCAGCAAAACCCAAATGGATGGAATTATTGCAACACTGGATAATAACATTCACTAGATTCCTGTTACATAAACCTACTTCTCACCGCTGCTAATGTAGTAAAAACAGAAAATAAGGATGCAGGCTCAAGTGTATTTAGTTCAAAGTCAATCTGCTTTATTTAAGTCCAGGCAAAATACCAAACATGATAGAACAGGCGGTCTAAAAGACTATCTATATTGGCAGTCTGAGTCTTGCCACTCCTTACAGGTACATCACATCTATACCCGGCCCTAGTCTTTCTGCCTCGTGCCAGTACACGAGGCCCACTTTTATCCTTTCTTCTGGCATGTTAATCCAGACATATTAGAGCACGAGTACAAAACTTTTTTGCGTCACATTATTTAGAGGTAAATCAATCTTCCACCTGTCTGCATGCCTGGTTGCTAAGTCAAGAAAGCAGGTATGCAAGTCAGGCAGACATTAAACAAAAGCTATAAAAGTCAAAACATTCTACTTCCTGACTGTATGCCTGGTTGCTAAGTCAGGTAACCAGGTATGCAAGTCAGGCATACATCAAATAAAAGCTACAAAGTCATTTCATTACACTAATAATATTCCCTAGATTCCTGTTACATGCACTTACCTCTCTGCGATGCTGATCGAGAGTGCCTGTAATCTCTCTCTGTTTGACTGTGGGCTGTTTGATGATGCTATGATGGGGCTCAGAAGTCTGGTCATCAGCTCAAGAACCTTGTCCGTGTTCTGAAAAAAAACAGAGATATAAAATCAGGATGCTTACAGGCTGACTTCTGAGTGAACTTCCCCAAGCAAGTCATAAGAGCATTACTTATATAAGAAAACTGGAGTTTAATGATCTACTACATCCTGGTATCCTTTGTGTGAGAGATCTTTGTTAGCCTGGCCATTTATCTGTACTTCCAACCAATCTGGTAGTCCCATGGGAGTTAACAATGGCATTAAACCCTTTCAATGCAGCCCCCAGAGGTGGCCCACATCCTGTACATTGTCAAGATATTCTTACACTCAATTCAAAACACCATGTATCAATCTAAATCCCAATGTAACGTAACTAGCTACATATTAGCTGAATAGTAGTGTCAGTGTAAAAGTAGTCCAATGTCTGCATTGTTTTTGCTAGCACAGAATGTACAGGAAATAAGATTCCACACAATATACCGATAGCTACTTTATACTTCAAGGCATTTTGCACAGTATTTATAAACAAAACAAGGCAATTCATTGTTTAACTGACCTGATTGTTTTCAACAAAATGAAGGAGGCTTGCAATAATAGAATATGGAAAATCAGATCATTTCACACTTAAAATAGATATATCAATTATGAACTCATATTTGTTAGTTGCTGTCATCTATTCCAGCTTACCGTACATGTATAATGCATTCATGACATGACTCAGGATAATGTCTTATATTAACCATCAGCAGAAAGCAGGAAGGGTGTTTACTCATAGACTCTCAGGTTTAATGATTTAATGTTTTCTCTTGGTTTATATTTTATGAAACACTAGTGGACAATATATATGGGTTATTCCATAAATTAGGGACCCGCTTTGTGACATTTTTGGTGTCCCTCTTACATAAGGAAGCCACACGTATTTGTGGCTCTGAGTACAGACTTAAATAGTAAAGTATGATCGTTAAGTGATTCTAGGTATGAGGATGCAATATTATGCTTGGAAATCACTTTACAATCTCACTCCACTATTTAAGTCTTTACTCAGCACCACAAATACATGTGGGTTCCTTATGGAACAGGGACACCAAAAATGTCACAAAGTGGGCCCCTAATTTATGGAATTACCCATATGTACAATAAAACTTGACTGTTGAATCAAATTTCTGTGTTTTAAATGGATAATAAAACTTGGAACGTCGAATCTTGAATCTTGAGATTGTAATGTTATTTGAATTTACCCCAGCAAGGTCATACAGCTTGAGGGCATCCTCAAACAATCCTTTGGTCTCTGTATCCATAGCAACCGTCTCAATGATGCTCTGAGTATCCACTTGGAACTTGTCGACTGCTCCCGGTCTCCTAGCTCCATCCCTCTCCCTGCGCCCTAGTAACGTCTCAAACTCTCTCGTCTCAATCACAAGCTCGCTCAGGCAACGCACAAAGTAACTCTTTTCACTTGTATCTCGGAGATTCCTGAAAAATAATTATAAGATATTAAGATATAGTCACATCTATACAATAACATACAGACCTTCAGTGACTGTTTCTGAAACTCACAGAAGAAACAAAGATCTCCATATGTCTTGTACACAAATCAAATGTGCAGGCGGCCAAGGCACAGGCGTCAGAGAAGGCCAAGAAGGAGATGAAGAATACTGAAATAATCAAATAATCAATCCTATCTATAAAACCGAAAAAACTATCTCTTACCTGAGCAAGTAGAAGTATTGCAGAGCTTCTCTTGGGTCAGTAGATTCAAACTTGGATGTGTACATGCTGATAAGACGAACAAAGTTGAGTCTATGCATAGGAAGTGGGTCCTGGGGATCCCGACTCACTGGATAAACACAAACAGGTACAAATATTTTGATAATTAATGTATTCCTTAACGTTTGACAATCTGCCATTTTCGGCAATTCTTGACGATCGTTGTCACGTTCAGAAAATTATAGTCCATTGCAAAAATTGAGGGTATTTATTACACTTCATTTCCGATGCCTACATCACATTTAATGCCTGCTTTATTGTACCCCTATCCAAGTCACAAAAGCAAGAAATATGATGGTGTCTGACCTGATGCAACAGGTCTACCTACGTTAGTTTATTATTCAATGGAAGCCACAGTGATAATGATCTCCGTAAATAGGTTTCCCCTTGTCTGGTATAACATAACAAAGAAGATTTTGTGAAGATTGTCAAACAAGAACTCCATTAATGAGTTCAAATGACTGATAACCCTGCAATACCAATCCATTGGAATACCAGCAAACATGCTCCATTTCCTTTGCAACAAAATACATCATACCTCAATCCATATTGTACCGTAAATCTCTGTGTATAGGACAGAAAGTCGGGGTACGTCTTATACACAGGTACAGGATATTTTGAGTCCTCAAAATGCTACTTTTTAGTGGTTTTGACCACCTCTGGTCTCAGCATAAATAACATAATGTGAATAAAGAATAGAATCTACTATTTGAAGATAACCTACGTTCCTAATTTGAAGGGAAAAGAGTTTTTTTTGTTGTTGTTGTTGGTTGAAGTCTTGATTTATGCAACTTCCCCTAGCAGTGCAGTAGCACTTTGCTGGCCGCCGCTTACTGTTGCCCGGAAGAGCGCCGGCATGGTCCCAGCTCACTCACACACTGGATGTCGACTCACCATTCAGAAACTATAACCAAACTATAGCCTAGGTCCGACTTTCTGTTTGGACTCGGAGGAACTTTGTCAGTTTTTGTGTTTCCCTTGGGTGGCCTTAATATACAGGTTTGACTGTTCAGGCAATTTCACATAGAGATGACCATTCCAAGAACTGCAAATGGCTACTTACACAGCTGAGCCTGTATGTTACCAGGTAGCGCTAAGAGACCTAGCTCATGTAGAACGATAGCAGCATGTACAGCATGGCTTCGAAGACCACTGTCATGTCTGGATAAGAACTCTATAGCAGCCTCAAACTGAGCGGACAGGAACAGGATCTATGAAAGATAGATATTCATATTTTTCATTCTTATTTATATCCAATTTCCATTAAAAATCAAAAGCATACATGTACATACCACATCATAGAAACAACTAACAGGTATCTTGATACATAAGACGTTGTGTGATGTAAAACAAAACTCAACATGTTATTACATATGAAGTAATAAGCCATTAAACAGGAAAAACATAGAGAATACTTAACAGATGAGGAAACAAGTTCTTTACAGACAGATCATTTCATTTTCTTATGTGAATTTGAGTGGAAGCTAAACTTGATAACTTATATTTGTAAAAGACATGTATTCTGTGCAGGTCAACATTTAAGTTGTATCCAAACAATTCTGAACAAAGATGTTTAGAGGCCTTGGCTGAAGCAACTATCCCCTACTTCCTTATCCCTCAAACTGGAATTTCAAATGTCAAATTTCAAATTTATTCATCTTTCCAACAAAACATTACAAATCAATTATAAGCATTTAAAACATATTTAAGAAATACATGTTGGAAACAGAGGGGTCCACTAAAAAGCAATGCTTGTACAAGTGTGAACACCTCAAATGAAACTTAGAAATAATGCGTAATTAAATTAACTAATCTGTAACTACAAAAGGAACTACAAAATAGGGGAAAGAAAAATGGGGATGCCAACAGAGACAAGAAAGGGACAAGACAATACTTTACACGACAAAGATAGAAGAACACGGTCATAATACAAAGAGTAGACAATGACAAAAAGAAGTGAGAGATCGAGGGTACAGAAAATAATACTGAAGCAAGAGCTCCACATGTTCCTTGTATTAAATCTTGCTTTCGTGTTGCATAGATCTCAGGTGAAATTAGTCAATAACTCACTTTGAAATAGAGGTATGGGTTCTGATGTGCACTAAAGTGGCTCTCTCCGTATTCTTCCAGGAGTGTGGTTTGTAGCTGTTGGAGAGTCAGTCTATCAGATGAAGCCTGGCTGCTACTACTAGACGATGATGGTGACTCACCAAACTGAACTTGACTTAACTGTAACAAAATACAAAAATCAGATCCCCTCTTATCTCAAGCCAAAGGGGTTTTAGGGTGTTGATCCTCCAAGCTTCTCACATGTATGTTTAATCATGTGATTTTTATGACATAAATTGAATTGAATTTATGATTAAATATTATAAATGTAGAAGTATTAAAATTAAAACAAGATAAATGCATCCCATTTATGAAGGGGTGACAAAGTATATGACAAAGGAAGCTGCCTAAAAACTGTGATTCTCAAAAGGCATTTGCCTAGATGGCAGAGCAACATCCTCACTTCCAAGTACAGCAATCACATTGCCATTTTAATAATTTCCCCTTCGTGATACTGGCATACAATTAGTAATAATCAATTAGAAATGTATCATAAACATGAATAATAACATTAAAGATAAACTCCAGTTGATCATGTAGCATGTAAGTATTGGTGTGCACTGCAGGGTTCTTGAGTCATCAAAATCATAACAAATTTGACCGAGTCTTGGTAAAGTAACAAGCACTGTACACAAAAAGCTATATATGGGACAACACACATGGTGTCGGGGCTAGTACTACCTTGATTTCCTTGTCTTTCTATGCTCATTACTCAGCCAGTATACATTTTCTTCCAAAATTGTTTGGCACATGTCATTTATTTGTAATCTTGAACATTCAGTGTAAGTTTTGTTTGATTCTGTGAGAATTAATTTTCTTTTTTTTTACAAGAACTGGAGTTTATCTTTAACTTGTTTTCTACTTTTTGCTTTTGACTCAAACAGCATTTATAAACTCATAAATCCTGGCTACACAGACAGTAATTCACAAAAGTGTCCTTGATGTGACTGACCTTGAGCCATAGGTAATCTTCAGTCTTCTCGCAAACCTCAGCATGGTTGTCCATTGTATCACACCGTCCTAGCAGACAATACACAGCCCTGTATAAACCAATCATCAAATCAAATCACTATGAAACACAATGTGAGATAATAAATGAGATGCTCAAAACTATTTTAGTTTAAAGATCATGGTGGTATCTGTGCCACCCTTTCCATTCCATGAAGTCCTCAGCCCTCATCTAGGTTACCATGGTGACACAGTCCTCCTACCCAAGGGACCCTTAGATTGTCAAGCACTGTGCCTTGGCTGGCCCATACCCGTGCATGGCCACACCCGCCAGTGTAATGTGGCCTAGGATAGGACTTGGGCACTACAAGCGCAAGGATAAAGAATCATCATTGGACAAACATTACTGTATATTCAGGTCAGGGTAGACATACTTATATCATCTGAAAAGATGAATTTTACATATTTGACATTTTGATATCTGATAGTTAAATCTGCTTATACTTTAGCAATATTACTTCTCTTTTCTTCCATTTCTAATCTTGGATAAAGAAACATGAATATTGCAATTTAATGAGGTCAGATAGAGTTTCATCTTGAGAATTATCAACAGATTACAAATAGTTAGCAAAGTATTCACCTCTTGAATGGATCTGTACTGTTCCTCACAGCTCTCCTGTTGTGCAGTCTCAGCTTGGTCTCTGTGCTAGGTGATAACCTGTAAAAACATCAACAAACAAATCAATGTAGATCATCAAACTTCATACTGATATTTTTGATATTTTAAAATAAAATATCCATTATTTTATGAACAATCAGGGAGGATATAAAGTGAGGACTGTATATAAAGATTGCTCAAGGGCAACATGAAAAGTGGTAAGTATAGGCAGGTGGTCTTGAAGTACAGGTTCCTTTAGTACAGGTATCAATGAGAAACCATATTCAAGGCAAACAAACAAACAAATGTGGTCTTTCTATACAGGTGGTCGCTAAAGCAGGTTTGCCTGTACATGTATACTGTTAACCTACATTTACATTTTTTTAAACCCACCCACAATTAAATGTAACACAGGCAGAAATATTCCTTACAGTCTGTGAAAACTGATGAAATATGATGTTTTAAAGGCCCACTGCACTACTTGTAGCTACTTGCGCCCTCTATATAACAAACAATGTCTAATCGGTGACCATTGGTCCCCCATGATCCTCTTTTTCTTATGGTAACTGAGAGCTGAGTTGATGAGATAACCACCTGTCCAGTGACCTTGTAGGGCGGTATAATCCCTCCTGTAAACTATGGCAGATAAGCTTTAATTTAACATTGAAACTATCACTTTTCAGTCCAAACGATATGTTTCAGATATCTAGAAGTACACAAACATCAATTGAATATGAATAGCTTCTGTGGTTAGTCTCTTGAAGATTTCAACTTACCTTCTATCTTCATTCTGCATGTATTCTTCGAGATACTCACTGAACTCACCAAGACCCTGGCTGTAAAACAAAATTCAAGAGGAAATACAAGATGAATTTGGATTTGATTGTACAAAATTAACAAACTTATCTCTGATGACAAGCAGAGACAGTATATTAGAGTTGGAAAGTTCAAGGGCTCTGGATAACTCAGAAGAAGAAAACAAGTTTCAACCAAAGTAATGATTGGCTGGTAAATCTAGAATACTATTTTTTTTGTTGTTCAAGTGGAAATCATGGCTGTAATTCCCTGTAAATTTGACAGTTTCAAGAAATGTTTCATTTTCCATTGTTAACTTAGACTGATATGGATATGAAACAATAGCCCAAATTAAGTTGAATGGCACCTTTAAAAATTGATTTCATATCAGAGGAAATACCAGCATTCACAATATCAAATCCAGGAAGACTATAAGGGATCAACAGGAAATCCAACCTTATGAGCAAACAACTCTAAACAATATAGCATGGCCCCGCCTAGCTTATAGACATTTGCGACTGATCACAACTTATTTGGGATTGATATCAATTGCAACCATGTACATAAGAGATAGGGAATTTATGCAAACTGTGATTGATTTGGTGGATTTGCGACTGATTTGGATCAATCTCAACTCTTTATAAGACAGTGCCCAGAACAACCAGAGAATCAGAAAGTTTGAACAAAATCAGACAAAAAATAAGAAAGTTATAAGAAAATCTAAGTTTAAATTGTCTGAATCTGTCATCTCACTGTGATGTAGTACCGGACACACAAAATAGCTAAAATGTTATTTTGTTCAAATTGTATCACTCTGTAGGGTTTTTCTCTTTTATAGGACCTACTATATCATCCATAATATATTATGTATGGGCACTTTGGAGAAAATCAGAAATTAACGATACGTTTGTACATGACCAACAGAAGAGTTGTCTGTGACAATGTGATAATCCACTGACAAAATCACCAATTTGAGATTCGAATAGCTATAGTGATCTCATATTTCAAACATTCATAAATCTTTTATTATTGGTCAGATAAGGTCAAACTCTTGCCATCCTGTTTCTCTTAAGTTTCTGCTTTCACATAACTGAATTTATGGCAAGGGTTGGGTTGCCCATTAAGGTTTATGTGACTGTGAAGATTACGAAGATGAACTTACGCAGCCTTTCTGGTTGTGATCTTAGCAGCGTCTAGATCTCCACATCGGATACAGTAGTATATCACAGGCCAGACCGGTAGACCCTCCACAAGACCATCCTGAGACGGGAAGGTAAGAAAAGTGAAGACAGAAAGACATAGAGGGAAAAAAAGAAAGAAAGAAAGGAAACAAGAAAGGGAAACAAAAAAAGATGCATCTTCAATTTAATGAGTAATTTAATGAGTAATTCAAAGAATGAGCTTAAAAATCAAGGAGGGTTAAGGAAATAAGACAAAAATTCACAAATGTTGTAAATAAAATCAAAGGTTAAAACTGTTAAATATCTCGAGCGTACCTAAATCAGGTGATTTTTAAGAACAATTTTTGTTTCGGTTATTTCAAGCAAAACAATTAAAATGCTGCACGGATGTCAGATTGTTGATCATGTGATGCCTCTGGGTCATAGCAGGATGTAACGTCCCCTTGAGCCTATAGAAACAGCGATGCATCTCATAGCAGTTAATATATCTAATATCAAGTCTGTAATATCTAGTTTAGAGATATTTTTTATTGTTTATATCAATGGGCATTGTGACGTCAGAAGCGAGTTTATTCGCATTTCTAAACAGGGCCGTTGAGGGCGAAGTTGTTTTGGTTCAGGAGATGAAACATGTGTCAAGTCGTGTTGCTTGGTACTGAAGTTCACTGTTATTTGTCAGTTTACACACAAGCCCAATGTTGTAAGTAGAAGTCGACCTAAGATTATTGAAATTAAATGTTTTCTTTATTGTTTGAAACTGTACGATATGAAAATGGAGGAATATGAATGGGCTAAATCTGAATTAGAAAGTTGAAGTCAATGCACGAAGCTCACGTTGTGCCAGTGTTTGTTGTGTAGCGCATGATATGGACATGCGAGGGTGCTGCTTAGTGAAAGTAAACAGTGTTAAGTTAAATATGATGACTGACCTGGTATTTATAACAGGTTTAATAAGAATTAGAGGAAAACTCTGTGTGATTATAATCTAGCTAATTTGGTGTCTTATAATGGCAATCGGCCAGGTAGACAGATTTGAGGTATACTATGACAGAAAGTAGGTCAGGTTATAGGGGTCAATGCAGGGTCAAGCTCATGAATATGTATACGCTTTTTATAATTTAAAAAAAAAAAAAAAAAAAAAAAAAAAGAAAAACACACTGCTAAAATGATCTATTTCTGAAATTTAAAAAATAATTTCCCTAAATAACACTGAGTGGGGTGGGGGGAGGGGACCGGGCAACCAACCAAGAGAGAGAGAGAGAGAGAGAGAGAGATAGGGGGGGGGGGGGGGAGCCTGTTGGAATGATTGACATTAGGCAAAACAATAAAGAGAGCAGTGCCATATTCCTTGAGAAAAAAACTTAATGTATATATTTTCCCCCCTTTTAGTTAAATGAAGGTTTCAAGTTTTATTTGTTCCACATTTTACAAAAAATATAGACATGTACATGTAAAATAAAAACGAAATATAAACAAGTCATGTAGTATTACGAGCATGTCTCAATGATTATCAATTCATATGAGCATCAAGACATAAATAACATATCTTGTAAGTTGTAGTCGATCGTAGCACCTATATTTATGATTATAAATCAGCTAGATGTGTTTTCTCCATCTGTGTACACTACTGCATGTCAAAGAAATTTACTCCGTTTTCCTACCAACTACCAAAGATATTCAAGGACATGGATTTTTAGGGTGGAAGACAAAGAGAGATACAGTTCCCCCCACAGTGATCAACTCAACACAAGTGCTGATGCTATCAATCTTTTATTGTGATTTATTATATCTCAAATACATACATATCTTGCACAAAACATGCATCCAGAATATATGAAGTTCCCATGCATGCAGTAAGTGTACTCCTTACTTTTCTACTCAAATCCCACACAATGTACAAAGACACACAGACACACACACACTACTCGCAATGCATCACTTATCCATTGACAGACACACACACACACATTGGGGAATAGGATGCACCAGCTGTAGTTTGTCAATGAAGAATAGGGGTGTGTGTGAATGTCATGTAAAGTTAAGTACTAAGCCTGTTGCCAGAAAGGTCAACCACTTAAGCAACATTGCCAATCCTAACCTCCAAAATCCAATCCTACAGCTCCCCATAAACATTCCTTCCAATAAAAACCCCATCACTTCCAAGAGTTGCCAATCAGATAAAAGTCTAATGGAATGTGATTTTTCTAGGCCTGGACAGCCCAGATAAAGATGAAAAGACCATTTGGGTTGGGGAGGATCCTATGGGTTGGGGAGCTAGTAAAATTGGCAACATGCACTTAAAATCTGCCTTAGGTGTGCATAAATCCTTTAGTGAGCTAGCTAGCTAGACAGTAACATCCTAGAGAGGGTTGTCAGTCTGTCTGGTCTGGTTTTATTGGTTGCACAGTGGGAAGTATATGGATTGTTCAACATGTTACCATCACAGGTAACGTTTACTTATCATTCTTTAAGTTATAGCTAGCATCCACTTAGAGTAAGATAAGTAATTATGCATATTGTATACATGCATGATGAACTCCTTACTCTGTTGTCTAATCTATTTGTGCATGCATTGTAAGTGAATGTAACTTGTAATTCATTGAATTCTAATTTCAACAATCTCTGTACCAACATGGTTGCGACTTCCATTACCAACAGGACTTACATGTAAGGGTTTATAAAGCGCATGCGACGCTTTAATACAGCACATTCATATTTTCAACTCTTATTCATACAATGTATGTATACTATAGATCTAATAACCCAAAAATTAAAAAATATTGGTTCTTTTCTGTACAAAGTACATCTACAAGGCGCTCTAGTTTTACAATGTTAGATATAGTCTCATTTGCTTTTGTGAAATAAAATATCTGTTCAATTCATGAACAACATAGTATGTTTTGGAGTACCGGTATGGAAAGTGGTGCGTTCATATTTCTTAGCTCTTTCCAAGTTTGGCAACTGGTGAGAGTTAGACCTTATCAACTGGATATCCTTCAAATGAATAGTGAATTAAAGGCCCGATGAGTAAAATATTCACCGGACATGGCCTAAAAAGGTTTAACATTATGTAAATATACATGTAGCTTTAATATTTCTGAACAAAAGTAATCTGGTATCTAGCTTAAAGATAAACTTGAGTACTGGTAATGCGATTGCATTGTGAAAGAAAAGGTGTGGAATGGATCAGAAAAGTTGATCATATAGCATGCAAGTAATGGTGTGTAATGCAAGGTTCTATAGTCATCAAAATCATCATAACATTGGCCCAGTCTTGGTAAAGTAACAATCACTGTACACAGAAAGATGTATTTGGGACAACACAAACGGTGTTGGGGCTAGTACTACCTTGATTTCCTTATCTTTCTATGCTCATTTCTCAGCCAGTATACATTTTCTTCCAAAATTGTTTGGCACATGACATTTATTTGTAATCTTGAACATTCAGTGTAAGTTTAATTAGATTCTGTGAGAATTCATTTTCTTTTTTTTTTACCAGAACTCAAGTTTATCTTTAATTCCACATTCATTTATATGCTTCTTCTATCCCCCCCCCTCTCTCCTTTATACTACAATTGTTTTCCCTCCAAAGATATCATCCATCAGGCTGGATCGACTTATCTCTTTATTCTGAGCAAAACCACCCGATATGTTGATTAACTATCTATTTCATAAGATCCTGCTCAACCTAGAGATTATATTTGGTTATTCTATGCCATAGGAACTACTGTGGGACCTCGTATAACGAGCTCCAATATAATGAGGTATCTGTTACAACAAGGTTACTTTGCTTGTCCCAGCTCTGAAAGGTAAAGACCAGTTATGGTCATGCAATTGCATTGTGAAAGAAACGTTGTGGAATCGATCAGAAAAGGTTGATCATCTAGCATCTAGCATCTGCAAGGTTCTGGAATCATCAAAATGATAAGAAATTTGGCCCATTCTTCGTAAAGTTACAAGCACTACACAGAAAGATGTATATGGGACTACCCTATATCTCTCACAGACCATGAGAGGAACAAATTTACCAAATATATGAATTAGTAGGCTGTTTCCCGGCAAATTTTTTATCATCATGTATTAGTCAAAACATATTCTTTCACATGATTGGTAATGAGAGCTTCCATTTCATTTTTTGAAATTGGGGCATTTCCAATACTGGTCTTTACCTTTAATAATCTTTGGGTTTTTTCACCCTGATAAAACAAGGTACGGTAATCCCCATGGTCCAATTACCATTTAGAAAGGTACTTTTGAAAAGATATGGAGCTTTTGTTTTTGACACACATCTAAGATGTCAAGCGCAATGTAGTTTAAAATCCTCATGTAAAAATAATGAAACAGAAAAACTGTAAAAGTATGATATAAGCACAGAATTAAATACATGAAACAAAAGAATATTGAACAAAATTGACATCTAAGCTTTAGAGGTCGGTCTACTTTATATCACATATCTTATTTAATTCCATTGCTAGGTTTTTGTGTCCACTTGCAAGCGCAAGAGAGGACCAAACTGGAGCGAGAAAGAGAAGGTAGTTTTAGTCGACGAGTACAGACGACATCGTCACGTCCTACGACCCAAGGGTTCCGCCACATCCTCTGTGGTAGAACGTGAGAAGGCTTGGGAAGAGATATGTGCTGCCCTCAAGATCGTCAGTGGGCCATATGTCAAGAGGGATGTGGTGGATGTGAGGAAGAAGTGGGACAATCTATGCTTCTGGGCCAAGAAATGCATCGCAGAATGGAAGGATAAACACCATACAGAAGGTACAAATTCAGTGTGGTCTACTGGGGCTTTGTTTGGATTATATAGACAAAAGTGATAGTTTGGGCATTAGTACAGTCAAACCTTTCTATAGCGACCGTCCAAGGGAAACACAAAAAGTGGTCTTTGTAGACAGGTTCCTTTAGTACACGTTTCAATGAGAAACCATTTTCAAGGGAAACAAAATATGTGGTCTTTGTAGACAGGTGGTCCCTAAAGCAGGTTTGACTATATTATTCCCCCCCCCCCCCCACAGATCTAGGAAGTTATTAAAAGCTAGTGCCTGGCTTTATCAATCCCACATATATGCTCAAAGAATCGTAAAAATGCTAATAGTCATTGTTATATAATTAACCCATATTTCAATGGGATGTCAGGGAACATGTACTTGGTTTTCGTGAAACGGTGCCTGGATTCTTTTCCACCCAGACATAATATTCATCATGTTGTAAACTTCACCTTCAAATACACTGTAGATGCATACTGCAGAATTCAATGTAAAAGATTTGCCTTTAAAGTTGGTGGTGAATTTAGGGTAATCATTCGGAGCTTCTATTTCAAGTACATTCAAGAGATTAAAATTAAAGAGATTTGTATTGTAAACTCTTTATATTTATTACATTATAAGTTTATAACATGTAGTCATTACTGTAGAGGTGTAGTGGTCTAGTCTAGACACCATCAATCATCGTTCTTTGGTTGAACGCTTCTGCCACACTTTCGGGATTAGTAGCACAGCCTCAAAGTGGTTTACATCATACCTTGAACATGGGTGTTACCATAGACACTGCTCTCAATATGAAGGCTCACAATCACATAGAGAAAATATGTAAAGCTGCATCTTATGGTATCCACAAAATTGGTAAAATTAGGTTTTTTTTTATAGATAAACCCACTTCAAAATGACTGATTCATGCATTTGTCACTTCCCACTTAGACTACTGTAATGGCCTCCTTGTTAATTTGCCACCCTCAAACCTTGCTCCTCTTCAGCGTATCCAAAATGCTGCCGCTCGTCTAGTTACCAGCTCAAGACCTTATGAACATATTACTCCAATCCTACGCAATCTCCACTGGCTGCCAGTAATTCAACGTATCCCAATTAAAAATTCTTCTCCTTGCCTTTAAATTCCGTAACAGTGAATGCCCCACGTACAGTACCTTTCTAGTCTCGTAAAATCCAACCCCCCCCCCTCCTCCAGGTTGTGTGCTTCAACTTCTTCTCAATTTCAACTAATTCCTGGCCCTCGTGTGAAAACAAGATACGGGGATAGAGCACATTTGTAGCCGCCCCCCCCCCCCAAGTTGTGGAATAGCCTCCTGTTTTACATCCAAAATGCTCCTTCTACATCCACTTTCATAGTAATGTTAAAAACCCTTCTGTTCAAATCCATATTATGAAGTTTGTCTTCTCTAAACATGTCAAATTAAATAAATGTTGTACTTCTATTTGTTATGAAATAAGTCATCTATAGCATAATTTAAGTTAGATTAAGTTGATTTATTCATTTATCTGTAACAAACTGTAATGTTGTAACGTAACACAGCGTAACATAATGTCATTTTGTACTGAATAATATTGTGTAATCGTGGTGCTGTCGTCCCAGCTTTTATTTTGTGTAAGGACATTGCTTCGCTTAATGGCTTCAATTAATGGCTGCTGGGACAACAGCACCACAGCGCCAAGAAACAATGTATTAGGCACATTATAAATGTAATCTATATGTCATTGGACTGTGGATCACATGGATCATGAATCATGATTCAAGTCATGCTACAGCAATAGCATCCTTTGGCAATACATTGATCTGCATTGATTTGCCACACAGGTGAAGTAAATGAGTACCCGATAGGAAGAAATTCCTGGAGTGCTTTAGCGCCTTATATTGACAGGTCAGCTACAGCCAGGATAGTAATAATATACTTTTTTTTAAATTTTTTTTTTTTTATTTGTATGTTTTATTAAATCAAAAATAATATCACAATATTTACAGGTGTAATAATATACTTTGTATTAAGCACTATAGAATGTCCATGTTATCATTATCATAATTTTGAACAGATGGGATACAAGCTGCACTAACTGGTGACCATTCACCCCCAACACTAGCACTAAAGATACTAGCTATCTACCAGGAGGAGTGGGTTGATCTCTTTCCTAATGCACAGGTGGTAGACGGTGGAGAGGTCTTCTTTGTGTTCAACAATGACAACCATAATACACCACAGGTACGTGTTCTTTCTAGCATGAGAAAGGTAAATTACGTTTTAAATTGAAGGTGATGGCTGTAAAAAGGGCAAAATAATAGAGAGAAGATGAAAAGAGGAAATAGGAGAAGGATTTTCATCATACCTCTTTGCTTTGGTAAGGAATTTCAATATATTCCCCACCCCTTTATTTTCAATAGTGAGGTAGAGCTCCATTTCTTCATGCCATAATTGTATTAAATTCTATAGGTATTCTCATTTTAGAGATATAAACATAAAGAGATAGACTCAGAGCGAGCGAGAGAGAGGGGGAGGGGGTGTAATCAGATGAGATAAGAGCTACATAATACATACTACTAGTACACAGAATGACTTCCCTTGATATCCATTCTTCACCATCATTAACTTTATATCCTGTGGCATGGGTAAGGCCCAACTCTACAACCCCAATATCCAGAACTCTTCAGTACAACATGTCTGCATACCACTTAAAGCCCCACTGTACTACTTGTAGCTACTTGCGCACTCTGTATAGCAATCGATGCCTAATCGGTGCCTGTCGGTCCCCCATGATCCCCTATGATCCCCTTTTTCTTATATTAATTGAGAGTTGATTTGATGAGATAACCACCTGTCAGTGACCTTGCATGGAGGTCTAATCCCCCTAGCCAAACTAATACAGACGGGCTTTAATATATTTAAAATAATTCTCATCCCCACACACTCCATGTAGGTTACGCAAGCTAACTCGGTGTACACAGCTGATAATGGAGACGGAAGTAAAGCTAAGACAGGAGAAGATGAAGACATCTTTGAAGTGGAAGATGGGGAGGAAGAGATCAATGAGATGAAGTCGGAATGCTCACCAGCCGTACACGAAGATACAGACGGAGGGTACGTACTGCTTTTTTGATAAATCAAATTTTAAAAGGTCATTTCATCATGATCTTACCGGTATCTGGCTGCCGCCATTTATTTGTCCTTACCGGAGATTGTGACGTAAATGCGCTATGGATGTATGATTGGCCGTCTATATCAATCATACCTAAAAGTATAATTTCATATTTTATTAAATCTTCAAAAAATTTAATATTTCATTTTTTAATTGAAAATATTAATTTGAAGTCTAAATAAATTATTTGTCATATTAAGACAATTTCAAATTGGTTGGCAGTGATTCGGGTGAACGCGTTGGCACTTGATCAGAGCATTTACGCACCCGTTTGTCTAGTCTTGGATATTTTACATTTTAAAAACCGTTCTTACTGATATTTGTGAGAGTTCGGTTTTTGTAGATCTCACGCTATTGCAGATCTATTTCAATCATCAAAATAAAAAACAGAAATCATAGTTTCGTACTCGTGGTGTATCACTATCAATTATTATGGATGGTCAACAGCTATATGCATTCGAACCGATGTATACGGTTCAGGACATGAGAATAGCTTGAGGCTTGGTCCCTGTATGTAAGCCTTGCGATTGCACGCATATCCTCCCATAGACCTCCCTTCTGAACTTATAGCAGATGATAACCGTCTTCTTTTTTTGGAAACTTAAGTGAATATACATATTCTACAAACCTGACTGTTGTATGAAAATGTGAGTTCAAATGTCCTATACATAATGACGTAGGTTACAATGAAGGGTTTCATTCTCCATTAAAGTCCATCAGTAAATTAGTGCTGTACTTAGTACAGAAGTTTGTCCCAAAGTAGAAAATAACTCTTTAATCTCTTATAGTTGGCAGTTATTTTTTTCCTCTCCTCTCTTTTGTAGATGGCAACCCGATACAGTCCCCGGAGAGGAACAGAGCTACCAAGATTTCTCTGTAGATACCCTAAACAAACAACAAAAGAGGCCTCCCCCCAACCATGTCATAAACTCCCTCCCCCATCATTTCATCCAGAGAAGGTACTTTAACCAAGCCTCTTCACCTCCTTTAGATGACACTAGCAGTCTTCCTCAACCCGCATCCTCCCTGTCTCCCATTGTAACATCAGCTCCACATACAACCTCACCAATTGCAAGTCATCATCACCACTACATGCCCTACCATCCCCACACATCCATTCCATCATCCTTTGTACCAAATCAACAACTCCACACCAAGCAAACCACTACCAGCATCCCCCGGGCTTCCTCCCCATCCTCCAAGCGCATGCGCTACTCTCAGCTTGCTGCCGAGGATGGTCACCATAGCGATATAGACGATGAGAAGGACATTGAACAACTCAGCAAGGAGCTGCTGATTTTGAGGAAGGGAAAGCTTGTGCTTGAGAAGCAAAAGCTGGAGATTGAAAAGGAGAAGTTGGTGATTGAGCGTGATATCCTGGATATGCAGAGGGAGCGTCAGTGGCTTGAACTGGAGAAAGATCGTATGGCTAATGGGCAGATCAACTAGAGACTTGACAGTACTACTTAGAATCTCTTCAGAGCCACAAGGACACTAACTCTTTGTTGAATGATACAAGTTAATGCCCTTCTTAGCCTAGGCAGATATTTATTCTAAGATATTTGTAACCAAACTGACCAAAGATGCTTGCTAGTTTCCCTTTTTGTACTGCTTTAATTTGTTTGATTACCGTAGAGCTAACTGATAAACCTTAAATATGTTACTTTTTTATATTTTTACAGTATTAAATGTTTTGTATTGTTTTATGTTGTATTCTTGGCTGAAGAAATAATGCAAGATTTATGGAGGTCTTGATTTCTTGTTGTTTAAAAAATTGATTGACTTGGCATGTTACCAACTGTGAAACCTCCCCTGAATAATGCATTAGTAGTAGGCTTCTTGTACTTAATAGTATATTTACAATCACTTGCCAACTGAAGCTTATAACTAATAACAGCATTTAAACTATTAATTTCCTGACCTGTACATAATGGGACTTACTATGTTTCACAGGGGTGGACCGTGAATATAAGAACTGCATTTGCTTTTTAACTTTGAAATTTTTCTGCCATGCCTAGTCTGCCTACATCTGGTCATAGGCTAACATTTAATTAAATCAGAAAAAGTTCTATTAAATTTTAAGTGGGGGAAACTGACTTAATTTAATTGAATGAACAAGAATTTCATTTCTGGCAATTCTTCCAAAGAAAGCTGTTTCCTATAAGAGTTCAAAGTTACTTCAAATACTCTTCCATTGTCAGAATGTATCTTTTCTTTTGACAATTCTTATTAGGCTAATTCTTATAAAGGACACCGGCTGAAAGTGTAAAAATAAAATAAATTAACTTTTTAAAACATTTTTCTGATTCAGAAAGAGATTGAAAGTATTATCCATAATCCGCTTATAAATAATATTGAGTTCTCTACCCATCATATTCGAAGTTTATGAATAAAGTTTACATAATTTCACGTCTTACAAGCCCTCAGTGAATTCTGCCAAGTGCCGACAAACACATGGTTATTTATTTTTGGCAAATAATACAGTTCCACACTAACTTTTTTGGAAGGGGGTCAAGATTGAACTTCTTGGAGTCTGCATGCATGTGCCCTATTTGACAAAAATTGATTGTCTGGAGTCTGGACATAAATTATTTGCGCCCATGTGTCCGGGCACCTGTTAGTGTCTAGCCCTGCAGTATTACATCAGGGCCCCGTTTCACAAAACTTGTCATCAGTAACAAATGACAGACTTTGTTATAAGCTACCGAAATCCTTGCTTCTGATTGGGTATCCACAGATATGTCACTGATTTTTGTCATATGTCATTGAAAAAGGCTTTGTGAAACAGGTTCTTGACCATTTTGTGGACGACTCTGAAGAGCTTTGTAAGGAATCTATAAATATTCTAACCTTTGTCACAGCAATAGAAAACATTTGAATGCGTGTTGGGAGGCAGCTTTAGAGCCATCAATATAAAGAATTTTCCAACCCCCAAACTAAGTGATATTTCTAAGACAGAAACATTATCTTTGCAACCCCCCTCCCCCTCCCCCTTGCCAACGTTAGGAAACAAATGACGCAATGTAGTCAGGTTTGCTTTGCTATGAAGTTACTGTGGTAAGATATCTGGTTTAAGAATTGCAAGTTTTTATGTAAATATGATGTATGTTACCAGTTTATCTTTCAGGGTGTTTTTTTTTATAGAAAATTTAACATCACCTTTACAAGAGCTGTTCCTGAAAATACTTGTACTTTATTACATAGAACATGTTGTTTTGACGAGTTGTACTACATATCTAAGACTTTTCATATCAGTTATGTACAGAATACCTTGTTATTGAGAAAATAATTTATTTCAAAACCAAATACATGCCTTATAAATGTTGTTGTATGCCATAAAAGAGAGGAGAATGTGGCATGATTTTCAGCAACTGATCTATATGAGAGCAAAGTCTTGTAAACTTGGAACTTAAAGGGGGTGGATCGCCAGTTTCCATGTGCAGAAGGCCATAATTCGCTGACACCAGACTTGGTGGAAATACCATTAATGGGGGTACAAATTTACACACAGCAAACCCATAGTCCAGTCAAGAATTACCCCCTAATCTCTCGGAGAGCTCGAGAGTCTTCGGGCAATTCAAAGCATTACATAAGGTCCAATGGTCATAAAACTCAAGGCTAACCCTGGTGATTGACAACACCTGTTATTGGGTAAACACCCGAACGGTGTCGAATTCCCCATGAGAGCCGACTACTCAGTGACTTTAATGTATACCCATATCTACCTTGTGCCACAAAATGATTGAGTTACAATACATTACACCTGTTAGGTTGACTTGACCACAACTTTGACCCAACTTGATAGAACAACATGTTAAATATTTATCATTGTTTAACAAAATTCAAGTAGATATTTGACAGCTGTGATTGTATAGAGAAAGATTATAGTTTAGTGTGTTGACAGAGAAATTAGCCTCCCCCTTATTTTCTACACTTGTCTGACAAACTGTCAAGCAAAAAAGAATGTGGTAATTCATAATTTTCTCTGAAGTTGGCATTCCTTCTGTAGGCCTTTCTTCCAAAACATTTTGAATCCTAGTCTCCCCTCCCCCCCCCCCCTCTCCAAATTTTTTTATAAAGTAGCTTTAAAATGAGTGACAGCCACACTAGCTTCTTCTTGTGGAAATGGTTGATCCATTTCATCTTAACATCAACTGTTTTTTGAACATTTTGTAAGACTAAACTGTAATAAGCCAAATACCTGCCAACTTTAAGTAAAAGGAGATATGTTTGTTAATAAAGAAATGTATTTGTTACATATATGAATAATCCTGTATTTTGTCTGTTTGTCTGGAGATTGAATCATGTAACAGTTTTCATCATGGTCATGTAGCAGAAAGGGAGGCATCATAATGAGACTGAGAATATCAATAAAGAGCACTATGCAGTATGCACCCATATCAGCAATTATGTTTACAAATGACATGAAACCCAATGTACATCCATTCATTATTGCGCAACATTTAATGTGCATACAGAAGAACACCATATTTCAGATTACCACTGAATAAGATTATTTTATGACATAAAATACTGAGTGTTCATGAAACAAAAACTGTAATGAGATTCACAAAGAAATCTTTGCACAACATCAACGTTCATTTTAGTGAGAGATTTCACTTCAATTATCTTCAACCACATCACCTCCCAAGAAAACTATGTATAACAATAACATTGGAGATGATGATTCAAATTAAATTCACTTGAAAACATGGATCACGACAAACTGCTCTTTGACCATACATGTACAAAATAACACTTTCAAAACAAAAAGTAACGTTACAGGTCTTTTGAAACTCAAATTTGGGACTGTTTACAAGATAAATTTTGCCTTTTATAATATCTCCAACAGGAACAACACTCATTCACCCATTAGTCAACAAAGAAACAACTTTTAAATCTCAACTTACAGTAAAACAATCATACTCCATGATGGGATTTTCAACCCATCACATAGCGGAGGTTGATAGATCTCTATGAAAGTCCCTTATTCATTTAGACTCCAGGGGTGTGTTTCACAAAGACTAAGATCGACTTTAAGTTGGATTTAACTATGGCAGGCTGTTCATGCCACTAGTTGCTCTTACCATTGGTCTCTCAATTATGATCTTTAGATACTATTTTTTCCTTCAATAATGAACTATCAAAAAGGGCAAATTCTGTAGATTTGTGATCACGATTTGTACATCCGTTGAGAAACCAATGCCAGGAATGGTTATAGGAACTAGTGGCATGAAAGGCCTGCAATAGTTAAATTCAAATTAAAGTCAATCTTAGTTGTTGTGAAATACTCCCCAGACATAATACAAAGCTTGAAAAGGAGAGGTATATATGACTTACCTCGAGGCCAGGGACGGCTGCAGGAAGCTTGACTTTGAGGAATCCTTTGACAAGCTGGTAGACACCAGGAACACCACCAAGTCTAGCCTGTCTCAGGTTATCACCTATGATGTTACTGATGTACTCTATGTAACTAGACACATGTGGAGAACAAATAGACAGAAATAATCCCTTGTCAATTCAAGATGAAATTGGTTTCTTGATGTACACGAAGGGTATTGTGGTTAGAAAACACTCATTATAAGATTGTGATTTGGTTACTTGATCAAATGTACATAATATAGGACATAATATAATAATTAAGAGGAGATATATATCAATCCCTCTTTAAAGTTAAGTGAACTATAATTCTTTAACATTTTTGCCGATTAAGGAATGGATTGATATATCAGTTACATTTGTTTTGTCATTTCTGAGGTCTGTATGCTTTGTATGAGCACAAAGAGTTACTTACAAGTGAGAACCCATTACTACATAGCTACAAAGCTGACGGTAGAGTATACTAAAATAAAGTATTGTTACATGACAAAGAGATTGTTTCTTTATCTTACTCATTATACAAACAGCAATAATACCATTACTAATAAAACAAGTCAACGCAAAGCGTAGCATCCTCTCGCAGGGTACAAATGGCCTATAAACGTCCGAACAAGTTACCTCCATTGGACTATACTATTATATTACTAGGCAAGGAAGTTAACCACATTTTCACATATACAATTAGGGGTTTATGCATATTTAATGAGCTATGACCTTTCACCTTTGACCTACATACTCAGAAATCGAACTTAGGTATTTTGATACCATGAACCTTCATATTAAATTTTCATTAAAATTTGTCAAACATTACTCAAGTTATCGAATGTAAACCAGATTCGCATATTTAATGAGCTATGACCTTTGACCTACATACTCCGAAATTGAACTTAGGCTGTGTTTTGATACCATGAACCTTCATATCAAATTTCATTAAAATCCGTCAAACAATACTAAAGTTATGGATCAGAAACCAGATTCGCATATTTAATGAGCTATGACCTTTGAAATACATACTTCGGAATCAAACTTAGGCTTTGTTTTGATACCATGAACCTTCATATCAAATTTCATTAAAATCCGTCAAATGTTACTGAAGTTATCGATCGGAAACCAAATTTGTTATGGACAGACGCACGGATGGCAGCGTTACTATATCCCCTCCGACTTCGTCGGCGAGGGGATAATTAGGGCTTATCCCCATTGTCATACACTTTCCAATTGAGCAACTACTTTATCAAAACCACTCACCTATGTTCTAAGAATTTCCTTCCTTGTCTGATAAATGCCATTTGCAAATTTTCTTCTGTTCTCACAGACACAGAATCTGAAGAGATCGTCATGGGAACGGATGACATCTCCCTGACCATGGCCCAGAAGTCTTCTATCCTCTGTAGAATGATGGAAGATAAGAGTGGGGAAATATTTCATGCATTGTGCTAGTCTATAGAACAGTGACTTTGGTATGAAGATAACACGTATTAGGTATGAAGATAACAGAGAAATGAAATGACAAGGGGGGGGGGGGGGGGGGGGGCTTCTAAGGCCCCCCCCCTATGATCTCGGCCGTGAAACGACCAATCGCCACGAAAATTTGCATACATGTCAAGTGAAGTGTACAAAATACTATGGTAATTTCAATTTTTTGAAAAATTCACTCATTTGCATATTTATGGTAATTTATGCAAATAAGGTCATAAAATTCACACTTTTGCCCATAAATCAGACATTATTGATATTTAAGCATTCTTTTTCACTACAGATATTTGTTAGACCATTTGGAATAATAATACAACACAAAAAATTGAAAAACCAAGGTTATTCCTTATGTTATCTATTGTTTTGATAATTTCTTATGTATTTCTTTGTTTTTTTAACTTATGTATTTTATTGTTTGTGTTGTTGTATTTCATTTTCAATTATAGTTCAACTATTTTGACCCCAAAATAAACACCTAAACTATAAACAAGACCAAATAACCAATGTTTTATTTCTTTATTTGAAAAATGAGATTTCCATATGTTTTGTACACAAATCACAAAAATGAGCGATTTTCAGGCTGACATGCAAAGCCAAAAGGACACGTGACTTTGTAATGGTAGGTCCGATTTTCGAAAAATTTCTTTCAAAAGATGCGCAAGACTCGAAAGAAAAAAGTCACAAAATTTCAGTGCAAGATTTTCTTGTGTTAAAAAATTAACACGAAAAATGTCGAGGGGGGGGGGGGTCTTCTAAAGCGCCCCCTCCCCCCCCCCCCCCTGCGCTAGAAAGGGTTAAGGCTTGTTCAAATATGGTACCGTAACCCCCCCCCCCGCAAAAAAAAAAAAAAAAAAAAAAAAAAAAAAAAGCCAGCACGTTATATAACGTCTAAATAAATGGCAACTGCACACAACATAGGACTTGCACGTATTCACTGAGCTCTGTGTGTTATAAGATACAGAAATGTGAAGTCTTAAAAATGCCACATTAAATCATAAAATCTGTGATACCAATAATTTGAGCTGATAGTCACTGTGTAATTCAACTGCAATTGTGATCCGAGTATATAGCTATACTAGAGCCCCATCTCACCTTGTCTTCAAACTGTTGTGCCATTTCTTCAAAGAGACTGATGAGGTTTGGTTTCATACCACCTTTCACTACCTTGTCATTGTAGATGTATACCTAAGATAAAGAGAAATCCCAAAAATGGATATTAATTGTATTTATACTTTTCTCAAAACAAGTGAAAACAACAAAGGAGGCTACACATTAGCAAAAGTAAGGGGTCAAAAAGAAATAAAAGGTGGCTCCTTGTTCATGTTAAATGGAGAACTCCACATCAAATTCATCAGAATTCCCAAATTGGTAGAATGTCTCAAATTCATACTCATCTGCGTGGTAGATGCTAGGGGCATAACAGGTAAGGAAATTCAGCTGGATATGTTTTGATCAATCAACTATAATGAGTAGTCATCCAAATACTGGTAATCAGGGATATCAATAGAAAATGGGAGGTGGGGGAAGTACTTGAACACAGAAATTACGACCAAAAAAAACACAAGAGTATTTGTTGTCGTTTGCTAACCTCCTTTCGATTTGAAAGTACATGTATTTGTTTTCAGTGTCTGTATTCAATGGTTGGTTATTATTCAAGTGGATTATTGAGCTACCTGTCTGGCATAAGCCATCTCCATACTATCCATGGCACTACGACCTTCTATCCTAGTGCTGACATCACTGAACAGGTTACTGGTTTCAGCCGAGACATCAATGAGTTCAGAGCTAGAACCGATCAGTGTGTTCAGAATCCGCTGTTTCTCAACCTCCCATTCATTCTGCTTAGACTGCCAGAAGCGTTGTTCCGTCTCTAGTCTGGTCTGTATGATAAACAACAAACACATTCAATGCATGAGCTACTGAGATGGGTTTCAAGATGCCAGAATCGTTGTTCTGTTTCTAGTCTGGTCTGTATGATAAACAACAAACACATTCAATGCATGAGCTACTGAGATGGGTTTCAAGATTCCAGAATCGTTGTTCCGTCTCTAGTCTAGTCTGTATGATAAACAACAAACACATTCAATGCATGAGCTACTGAAATGGGTTTCAAGATGCCAGAATTGCTGTTCCGTCTCTAGTCTAGTCTGTATGATAAACAATAAACAGATTCAATGCATGAGCTACTGAAATGGGTTTCAATATGCATTATTATCGAGGTCCTCTCCTTACAACTTCAGTATTTTTACTACTCTGATCCCTGTCCCCTAAACATAAAGGTACCGTAGACCTGATAATTTAACCAAAATCTCAATTACAAGGATTTAAAGTAAATTAATGTTTGTGAAGTCTACATTAGAGTTCTCAATTCTCATTACTGCTCCTTATGGAGCAACTAAAGGAAAGCTGAACTGATTATGTTACATCGATAAATCATAGCGTAACAAGGCAACAATGAAACCTACTCACATTCCTTTTTGTTTCTTCAATAACAGCTAGCAGGGCATTCTCTCTCTCATTCCTCAGCAAACCCTAAACAGATAGAAAAAGAGAAGTAGTCAGGAGTAAAAATAATAGATAAAGATTTCAATACAGAAAAATTGAGGCTGTCAAATTAAATTCAGACAACCAGGTAGCTTCATTGAAGCATGAAGTGTGATCACCGATTCTTGGTGCATGCCCGATGTTAATGAAAACAGTGATATACAATTGCTGACAAGGCTTAGAGAATACCATTTAATCTGTTATTCCCTTGGTTCAATACATACAGATAAATTCACTTCTCAATCCATTATGTGAATCGATATGTTGGTTGACATGTTTTGAAAGCAAACACTAAAGTCTGACTTTGGATCCTTGATAGATTTATACTGGAAGATAAAACGGAAGAAAAACTAGATGGAATTCAACTGCGCGCAGTCGAAAATGATGCCTCCGTTATAGAGCAATTTTACAAACCAAAACAGAAAAAAAAAATTGAATTCACGTTCAATGGTAATCCATTGACAGGTTCTCAGAATATTGTGATTACAAGCAATTTCTCATATACATATATGACCCTTTGATCTTTGACCTCATGACCATAAAATCTACTCAGTTCATTGGCTCTGCAAGATGTTCTGAGTTAAATAGTAATCCATCTGTCAGTTCTAATGAGAATGCGTTCACAAGCTATTTTTGCATACATAATGGGCCCATGACCTTTGACCTTTGACCTTATGAACCAAGAATCTACTCAGTTCATTGGCTCTGCAAGTAACAAACATGACATAATTTTGGCATGAATCCATCAATCGGTTCTTGAGATAACGCGATCACAAGCTGTTTTTGCATTCATAATGTGCGCTGTGGCCTTTGACCTTTGACCTACGTGCTCCAAAATCTAATCAGATTGTCTTCCTATGGTGATACACACTATCATTAAGTTTGAAGTTTTTACATCTCCAGTGGTTCTTGAGATATCATGATAACAATCTCAATGTATGGAATTTCATAAGTTGACCTCTGTGACCCTTGACCTTTGACCTACGTGCTCCAAAATCTAATCAGATTGTTTTCCTATAGTGATACACACTATCACTAAGTTTGAAGTTTAAATCTCCAGTGGTTCTTGAGATATCATGATAACAATCTCAATGTATGGAATTTCATAAGTTGACCTCTGTGACCCTTGACCTTTGACATACGTGCTCCAAAATCTAATCAGATTGTTTTCCTATAGTGATACACACTATCACTAAGTTTGAAGTTTAAATCTCCAGTGGTTCTTGAGATATCATGATAACAATCTCAATGTATGGAATTTCATAAGTTGACCTCTGTGACCCTTGACCTTTGACATACGTGCTCCAAAATCTAATCAGATCGTCTTCCTATGGTGATACATACTATCCTTAAGTTTGAAGTTTAAATCTCAAATGGTTCTTGAGATATCGCGCTAACAAACTCAATACAAGGAATTTCATAAGTTGACCTCTGTGACCTGTGACCTTTGACCTACGTACTCCAAAATCTAATCAGATCGTCTTCCTATGGTAATAAATACTATTCCCAAGTCTTAAGTTTAAATCTTAAATGGTTCTTGAGATATTGTGATAACGGTCAAACGGGACGGACGTACGTACGGACGGACAACCCGAAAACATGATGCCTCCGGCACCACCTTCGGTGGCGGAGGCATAAAAAAACCATCACAAGGAATATTCCGAGACTAGGTACCTGTATATCTGTGTCAGCAATAGGTTCAAGAGGTTCATATGTCTTCACTGCACTCAATGTCTCTAAGCGCTGTGATATCCTGGGAATGTCTAGTCCTTTGGAACCTAACAGAATGGACCTGGAAGGTTAAACATATGAAATATAAAACATTTACATTATCATGTTTTTTCGTTAATAAAGAAATATTGTTTTTCTTTCCATCTTATCAGATAGATATTTATAGTGGATGAATTTTTGTGGTGTGCAATACTGAAATTTCTAGAGGGTCTAGACTATAGATTCTAAATCTAGATTAGATCTATTTCATTATTTTTATCAGAGCTTCGGCTTCGAACAAACAGTCCTGATTCAGTGTGACCGACCGTACTGACTCAGGCATATTTGTTACAGTAAAATTGGCCCCAAAAGTGAAACAGTATTAAGTTTTAAAAATTATAAAGAAAACAAAAACATGGTGGCCGAGTCCTCGAGTATCCGCCTGTAAGCCTGGGCATGTACTCAAGTACCTTATTACACGCTTATGCACAGCCTTAGCACACAATAGGCCCATCGAACCTGCTTTGCTGATGATTAAGATTGGAAACATTACCCCTAACCAAAAGTGACCATAATGAAGGGGCAGACCTGCCAACCTCTGGAGTTCAAAAACTGTATTCTTTAGTGCCAAAAGTTGTATTCTTGAAAATAAACACGGATTGTTACGCGGATCAAAGCCTCTTACAGTTTCTACCTACAGGAAGAATTTTTTTTATTGATCATTGGTTGAATATGCATTATTTTGTCACGACTGGTGTGTTCGATGAACCAGGGAATAATTTTCCTGGTATCGCATCGCAATTTGCTATGCATTTTTGCATGACTGCTATACAAAATATCTTTTGTGTAGCAGTTTTCTTCCATAGAAATGTACACAATTTCATTTGAAATATTTATCCATTGCCTGAAATTGCTAATCAAAAAATTTGAGGAAAATTATTCCCTGTGAACCAATAAACATCCCCAAATTGCCAATGTGAGATGCTTGTAGGATACTTTACAGGACAGAATGGACATTTTGCCATTAAAAATGGCGGACGCACACACAAAATATTAATTTAAAAAAAAAAGAAGTTTTTTTTAAAATCTGATTTTATTAAGGAAAATCGTACTGTCGTATTTGCTTCTAAAAATCGTACTAAATACGACTAAATCGTACTGGTTGGCAGGTCTGCAGGGGTGATAGTAAGCATAAAAAAAAAAAAAAAAAGTTTTTCATTAAAATTTTGATTCATGCCTGGTTTCTGTTAGTAACTTCACAAGGCAAGTTTTTGAAATTTCTATCAAAATGAACTCACGCTTTGACATCAGCTGCCTCTGATGTACCCAGCTGAGCAGTCTTTGTCCAAAGCCTCTGACTGGTTTCCATGATTTGATGCAAGGTCTGTTCTACCCTTGGTAGTTCACTGCCTGTATCCACGTCTGCAGTCAGCTGCTCTGCATCGCGGAGAAGGTCTCCAAACCCTCCTGCTATACTCTCCATCTTGGTGCCGCCTTAATTTCTATACCTGTGCAAAACAACATGAAAGAATTCTGGATATCAGAATTTTGTTTATGATTACTTCCCTCTTCATGCATGGGTATGTATTGAAACCAATTAAGGCTAGGTGACATCAATAACATATTTCATTTCATCACCAGCTACTCCAGGGCCAAGGCCAGGGCAAGCCAGCGCCAGACGATCAAACTCTAAACTTCCGAAGGTAGTTTGCAATGCAAGGTTTGTCGGGTGTGGGAATGGCCAAATGGGTGAACGTGAATGCAATATTAATATAAGTTTTGTTTACATCACTCTTCATGCAGGCAAATAGGCGCCAAACTGCCAATAAATATAATTGTAAAGCCCTTTCACACTGGATCTGCATAGAGTTGTGTAGTGTGGTGTACAGAGAATGCCAAAATTAGGCTGCGTATTCATGACAAAAATCTTGCTTAGGTGTAGTCCCTGCATATGTTATGCGTAGACTGGCGTATCGTTAAATACCTGCGGCGTAAGCAATTGGAGTACCTACGCTTCTGATTGCGTATAACAGGCGTTAGGGTTGCGTACGTTTACGTAGGCCTGGGCCCCGTCTTACAAAGAGTTGATATCAATCGCAACTTATTTGCAATTGATATCAATCGCAACTACGGTATGTACATAAGAGATAGGAGACTGCAAACTTGCGATTGATTGGAGGACTTACGATTGATTTGGATCAATCGCAACTCTTTGTAAGACGGGGCCCTGGTGTAAAGGGTACGCAGGTTTGCTTATGGTTTATACGCTTATACCGCTTCGTCGGACTGGCATGGCCTACAGCAGAGCTGCCAACCTCAAGAACAGAAAATCAGTAATCACAAGGCTCAAAATCAGCAATTTCCTAAGCGGCGCTATGAATCTAAAAAAACATGGCATGCTAACACTGCGCGGACCCATGCGCAAATGACCGTTTGAAATTTTGTTGATTTTACTCACAAAAAAGTTGCTAAATATTGATTGGTGGGTCATGACAAAACATCATTTTTCCATTAAAAATTGGCTACTATTAAGAGAATACTGCTATACTGCATGGCACTTGCTACCATAAATCCTATTTACAGGGGGAAAAAAAAGAAAATTAAAAATTATATTGTTTAGATTCATTTTTTTAAAATTTTTTAAATCCGTAATTTTAGACAACATTCTGTAATTCCGTAATTCCGTAATGATCGTTAATTTCCGTACCAATTACAGGAAATTCGTACTAGTTGGCAGCTCTGCTACAGTAGCTTGGTGTTGCTTAGACTTGCATCTACACCGAAAGTATGCATACAAAATTAAACATGTTTTCTGTTTTGCGTCCCTCAATGTATAATAATAATAGGGTGTCTGATCGCGCACCCAATGTTGTGTGCTAAAACCCTTCCCATAGCGATTGTACGCTTCCCTATGTGGTCTACGTGCATTGCGCGACCATCCAAAATTGGTCAATGATTTTATGAAAAAATTTGAAATTCAAACCTTTATAACAAATGATCCTGAAGGTGAAACTCAATAAATGAGGTGTCATATGAAAGAGCAGGTTTTTCTCCATATTCCCCATCGGGGGCCACCCCCAGAATTCTAAAAATATCTTGGTCAAAACAGCGATTGAAATGTTGTTTGCATCCTAGCTCCAAAATTTGCCACTTTCCTGAGCTGCCGCCCCGCGGCTTAAGCAGGGCTAGACGTAAGGATAATATCCAGATGCTTTTTTTTTCGCTAGCCCCAAGGGATCATTTGTTATAACAGTTTGAAAATACCCTTCCCACATTTTTGGAATCAGCTAATTAGGGAGGCGTGAGCTCCGCTCAGTCCAAACCATGGTTACATCGCGTAACATGTGCGCTTATAGTGAATGAAAGTATGGGTGGCCGTTCCCGCCATAGAACCCGGAAGTGAATACACGTTGTAGTCAATGGCAATATCGCGGAGACAGTCTCCGCGATATTGCCATTGACTACAACGTGTATTCACTTCCGGGTTCTATGGCGGGAACGGCCACCCATACTAGTCAATGGCACATATCGCGGAGACAGCGTGGCACAAGCTTGCAAGTCGCGCATTGGCTGAGCAACTTGCGTACGATATGCATACGCTTGCATATCGCGCGATACAGCTGTTTGGCTAAATTTAGCAACACAACATAACTCTGCGTGTACGTCTTTTTCGTCGATTCTCAGCGAAATGCTATGAATATTTCAGCGTTTTGAAGGGGCTGTATCTTTTGATAGAAACATCGGCGAGACTTGAAATTGGAAATGTATTATTCTGATTACATTTTTAATTCAAATATCAAACAAAAATGGTGAAAAACGATCCCAAATTGAAAATTGAAAAATCGTTCAGACACCCTAATAATAACAACAATCTTTTACAGTCCACTCCAAATTTAATTAAGTTAAACTAAAAATTGAAATTCTTTTTGCCCTATTGATCGTGATCCCCGGCAGCCACTGAACTGAGCAGAACCAGATCGACGTTGCTTTATCCTTTATTGTTGAACGCCAAACAAGGTAGCAGCACCTCGCTTCTTTTCGAACCCACGACCTCCTGGTTGTGAGGTGGATGCTCCACTGACTGAGCCAACACAGTAGGAGCGCTGATCTGGAGTAAGAATTGTCCGCATAAACGAGGACAAATCACGTTATTTTCTTTGGCGCTCTACGGGTGATGGGTTCCCAAAATGCGCGCTGACGATACAAAAAACGGATTCCGGCCTTCCGGGTAAAACAAAAACCAGTCAACCGTCTACATTATGGATTTATCGTTCATAACGCATGTCTCTGTGCAAAGGGAATGTGAAAAGCATCAAGGACGAAGAATATCACATAGACCTAATCCTTTTTTTCGCCCTGATTGCCAACTCTCACAGTCACAGAATCAGAATCATTCACATATTCACATAGACTATTCATATATTCGCGGACTAAAGTTAGACCTAGTCTAGATCTAGTCTATCCTTATTTTTTAGGTCGCATCTGTAGTGAATTTATGCTTCATTATAGTGTCAACGAACTTTATGTAATGTTTTGATATTGCCTTGTTGTGCCGACAACTTTTGAGAAATTTACGCTGATAATTTATGCAGTTTTCCTGCGATGGCGTATGTTTCACATTCTTGACACATTTTGGCACCTGCCTTCACATATCTCGTCGCCATGGTTTGTTTTCGTAATTTGACCAATCACAGCTTCCGCTGGTCACGTTTTCGCCACGGAGCTGGGGTTTTTCGTTAGTTAGCCTGCATGATCTCGTAAGATCATCACGTATTGGATTGACTCATTTTTATAGCGATCTTCGCGATTTTTCATCCAGCAGCTACGGCGACCTAGTGTAGCGTTTTCCGTTGGATTTTCTCTAGTACACGCCTGTGATTTCTTCACGACAACTGTTAATAGCGAACTGCTTGTTTTCTTTTCGCGACTCGACATTTCGTGACTTCAATTCTGACACTTATTTCACTTGGAATACGCGGTTTATTTACAACGCGCCAGTGGTTATTTTCGTGTACTTTCTTCCTGGGCTAGCATATTTTGATTTACGCTTGTGCTAGCCCGAGGTGTTTATATTTGCGTTACTTCATTTTTGCCACAACTTTAGAAGAACGCGATCCGCTTCTCGTACTTTAGCCGAGGCCTCCGGTTATTAGATAGCGATTATATTACCAACTCTTGCCACAACTAGACTCCACTTCTTCAGTCTTCAGTCTAGTATTTTGTATATAATCGTCGGGGACATTTACTACGAACACTCCCTCTGTTCCCCAACATTTAGGAGTGTCAATTTCTACAATTCTTCTTCAACGTGTTACACTCGACATTGTATATTGATCAACACACATCGCGATCGCCATTGTCATCTTCATATTACATGTATAGGATCACTCTCAAGTTTCTACACAACAAAAGACAGTGGTGAGTAAAAGTCTAACTCGTACTAGACTCTATTTATAGTCAGCATAGAATTTTTACACATCTGTCTGCAATTAGGGATAATCAGATTCAGAGGCGATCCTCATTTATGCGGATGCATGCCCCTACTGAGCTAATATAGTCTAGATTCTAGATCTAGTCTAGACCTAGATCTATTCCTATTGGGGAAAGTAAACTAAAAGTAAAACCGGTCACCGTCTCAAAGTCAAAGTCAAAATGTTTTATTTTTTAGAGGCACGTCATGACGTTAGACCCTATCATAGCCTCATAGAATGATCATTTTGAAGCGCAATTATTTTGAGGGCTTCAATATTGCATTTGCACTATATCACAGACACTGATAGTGATAACATACGACTCACAGAGAGTCAAACTAGTAGTAATCTATAGACTAGGGTCTAGATCATGTAGCTAGATCTAGTGACCGAGCATTCCACCCTTCTTTCTTGTCATTTACTTTTCACACACAAGTTTCTCGAGTACGTGCACAGCTACAGCCACAAAATTTAAGAATCAGTCAAGAAGTAGGCAAATTTTCAAACCATCACTAACATAAATTAATTAAGGGGTCAACCACTTCAAATTTTATTGTTCGAATAAATGAGTTTACGTAATTACCGTCCTCAAAATCAGGATCCGAAACTTCTCGTTTTGAATGAATGACAGGAAGTGCTTGGTGGAGTAACCACATGCCGCATGCAACACGATAATATCCGACCCGCGAACTTTTGCGCGCGCCGCCTGGCATGTCTGGACAGCTGTAATTATGCTATGTTTACAATACATTGCTCCAACGGTCTTATCACACGCGGCGGACCACCTAACATCAATCTATTTATTGACGATTGTTAAGTACAGTCAACTAGATTAGGTCTACCATGTCTACTCTCACAATCTCAGAGAAACAGACGTATACTTGTCACCTCTAACTGTCTGAGCTGTGCTGAGCTGAGCTACAACTAATGCGTAGCTGCCTTAGGTTAAATAATCAGGGATAATAAATAACTTAGAACAAGTCCAACTCCAAGTCGTTAATTAAGAGCGGGGTTAAGATTAAGAGTCGCGTTATTAAGGGTTGCAAGTCAAGTTTCATTTGCTCGAGTTGAAATCAGGATGGGAATTCACAATCTTTCGAGATTGATTGCTGACTGTGCTCCAGGAGCGGTGAGAGAAAATGAATTTAAAAGTTATTTTGGTAAGTATCTTCATCATCTTCTTTGCTTTGCTTGGCTTCCTCCAGTTTGGAGAACTGCAGTTGGTAGGCATTGGTAGTAGCCTACACAAAGGATAGGCAGGTTTACAGTGACATCACAAAGTGGAACCTTTACTTTAACGGGGAGGTCAAGTACGAAACTGAGAGAGAGATTGTGAAAGAGTGAGGGGTTGATCCAGTCGGAAAGAGAGGTGTGAGAGCAGGAGCCAATCATTAGTCAACGATAGCTTTGTGAAGCATTCACTTCAGTTGACCCTTCGTTTTTGTGATAGAATAATGGCTCTCCCAGCGTCTTGGCCAGTGATCAGCTATAAAGTTTTCTCTGAGCGAAGTACGGCAGAATCCTTCTTCCCTGAAGTTGTAAAACTCTGGAATGACCTACCTCAACCAAAAGTGGACATCAAATTTGCAACCCAAACAAATAGCATAACCCCTGAAATACACAAATAATACGACTGAAAGCTTCAGTCTCCGTCTGATACTGATGGTTGTTCCGCTGAGATTACATCTGGCTCCAACTGACCGCCTCCATGCAGTATGGGAAATGTTGACAAATGTCAGTTTTATTAAAGAATGACACATACCAGACGGTTATTTCTGTCTACTACTCTAGTACTACTATAATATAGGCCTAGTACTGCTATGTATGTATGTTCAGTTTTGAAGATTCAGTAGGTCTATACAGTTTTTTATTCACCTGTTGTTCTTTCAGGGCGTAAAGTTGCCATCGATGCTTCTATGTGTATCTATCAATTCTTGATTGCTGTTCGTCAGGATGGTTCTGTACTGACAAATGAAGAAGGTGAAACAACAAGGTAATTTTGTAACGCATATCTTATCACAGGCCAAAAATATATTGAAAGTGTAATCACTCACCCTATTTTTAATTTAGAAAAAAAAGGAAAAAATATGTAATCACCCCTAAACTATATGAGACATTCAACTGGTTCACAAGAGCACAAAGGGAAAGTTTTGTATGAGAAAGTTTAAGTGTAGTTTGGATAAATATAACTAGTCCTTGATATTCTAGAAATGATTCTATGGGTATGATTTGCTTTCAATAAAACATGTCATGTACCCTGCATATATCACTTGTGAATTACTTGGTATTTGTAGTACACTTTTTAGAAGAAGAAAAAGAGAAGTTAGAGAATGTTCATCTGTTCATCCATTTTGCCTATAAAGAACATAAGTTGAGCTGTAATTTCATACGCAACTTTTGATTACTCTGTCATCCCCTAGAAGAAATGAACTTTATAGAAGTCTTTTTTTCTCTCTTCCATATAATGGTGATGCTGATGATATTGATTTTTTTTCCCTCTTTTATTTTTCTTGCAGCCACCTGATGGGAATATTCTATCGTACCATCAGAATGATAGAGCATGGACTCAAACCGTGGTAAGAGAGATGTACTCCCACAGATCATCAAAATTAGATTATTTGTTTTTAACTCTTTACCTGCTATCGTGCAAAGCTGTAGACAGCCCCATTGTATGGAGTAAATGATGCAATGCACCTTTGAGAGGCAATCTTCCTAGGAAGCCCTGGGTTCATCTAAACCGCCTATGATCAGGCGCAGGCCACTTTGCAGCAAACATGAAGCTCTAGGGTTTCAAAGGCTCTCAATAGAAATGAAAGTTTTGGAACCAATGATAGTGCCTACGTAGATCTCATCAAATTATCGAGGGGGGGGGGGGGGGGTTATGAAACATGAACAATAGTTTAGTGAGATAGGGAATTAGTTGACACTGCTGCGCAGGTACATTCTCTATGGAAGCCATAAGAAACCTGGTCTTCTCGTCTTCCCCAGTAGTGTATCTGCGCTTGTGCTGATCTGCTCATTCTGGGAGGAAGGTTGCCATCCAATGTAGAACATTGTATTTGGGGTAGGCAGAATTTGAGTTTGTCAAAAAAACAAGGGGATCTTGCTATCATGCATGCATGCATGGGATAGTGTGGAGATCTTTCTGGTCTATAGAACATTTAGATGGACACAAGCCCTTTCATACATGGGTTTTGATCAAGTGTTATTTTATGTCCAACAGCTATGTGTTTGATGGCAAGCCTCCTGAGATGAAATCTGGAGAACTGACCAAGAGGAAGGAGATGAGAGCTGAGGCTGAGAAGGAGCTGGAGAAAGCTAAGGAGCAAGGAGACCAGGAAAACATGAACAAGTTTGAGAAACGATTGGTGAAGGTCACAAAGCAACACAACGAGGAATGCCAGCATCTTCTCAAGTTGATGGGTGTCCCGTATGTTAAGGTCAGATTGTAGCCCCATAAAGACTTCTTTTTTTTTATCCTCTATCCTTTTATTACTCTAGTTTTGGAAAGTGATTATAAAATCGGTCAGCATTCCAAACACTTTTAAATTTAAACAATATGTATATCTCTCTATGTGAAAGGTGAAACATGGGTCATGTATAAAGTGTTCATTATTTTGACGGATGATGACGAGTGAATTCATTTTGCTCTTTCTAATTATAAATTTTATCCTCCTCACAAATCTTTGAAATGGAAAGAATATAATGCTGTGATCAATAATTCTTACCATTTAGATTACAAGATCTTTAAGATGTGTTGAACAATTTTTAAGTTATCTATCCATATTGGATATGATATGATACTTTGTATTAAGCGTATAAAATGGACCTATTATTATTTAGTTGATTTTGACCATGACACTATTTCCTCCTTTAGGCTCCGGGTGAAGCAGAAGCACAGTGCTGTGAACTGGTGAAGAAAGGCAAGCTTTATGGAGTAGGAACGGAAGACATGGATGCCTTGACGTTCGGAGGCAACGTGCTACTCAGACATCTCACAGTCAGTGAAGCAAGGTTTGTTGGTACTATAACATGGTGGTCAGGAGGGGGGAGGGGGGGGGGGTGTGAGGAGGGGGTAGGGATTTTAGTGACTGACCGACAGATAAGACATGGTTGTGCAGTAGGCTTGCGGGTGCACCATGTGAGAGAGAGAGGGAGGATTGAGGAGTCCTGAAAAGGACTCGGTAATCTTTCTTGAGGGTGTGTAGTCCTGAAAAGGACTGTTGGTGTAGTCTTGAAAAAAGACTGTTGGTTATCTTTCTTAGCTTATATTTCTAAGGAGAACTATAGCCCTTGGAGAGGATGGGTGGCGGGAGTGGCTTGACGTTTCAAACAGTTTGACTATCTCTCACATGGTGCACCCGCAAGCCTACTGTATATCTACATCACCATGCAAGCGGATACTTACAAGCAGCATCTAAGACATGGTTAGGGTTAAAAACTGTGGGTCGTGCTGGTCCATCCATACCAACCTGAACCTCACATCATCATTTCACCTGTTGACAACCAAAAAGGCAGTGAAATTTGTATGTCACTATATTTAACAGGGAATTTACGTTGACTGAAGAATTGATTTTGTTTCAGATAAACCATGTTCTGAGCAACGACACAGATTTTAGCACCTGGTTTTTCTTTTTAGGGCCTGAAAATCAGTAAGAATCACAAGTGAAGAATGAAATTGTTTGGCAAGCTTAATCTTATTTTATTTTCTAGCTGAATTTGTCATGATTTGAAGATATTGGTGCCTTATTTTTCTAGGAACTGAATATCTTATCTTATCTTGCCTCATAGGAAAATGCCAATTCAAGAGTTTAACTATCAGAGAGTTTTAGAGGGTCTTGGACTGAACAGACAACAGGTTAGTAGAGAGTAAAACAATTGCATTAGAGTCATCCCTGATATCAGAGGTGAAAATTGTTCACGGATGTTGCAACTGTATATGTACTCATTGTGATTAGATGACTTGAAAAAATGGATTGTAGATAATTGTAGTTTTTATGTACATAAATTTGCCTAATTAACATACATTTGCCAAAAGAAACAAAGGAGGCAAATTTATTGTTTTAAATTTTACATGAAAGGCATCCCCATTTGTTTTTTGAAGCATTTGTAGAAGATCATATGCAACCTCTTTCTTTCTGCATCCCCCGGCCCTGGGGTGGGGATGTGCACGACATAATATTACTGATAGCTATTATTAATTATTCTTTATTTTCATTACTATTATTATCATCATCATAATCATCATCTTTCCCTTTTTCTCATTATATTAGTTTATTGATCTGTGCATTCTGATGGGGTGTGATTACTGTGGTACCATCAAGGGTATTGGTATGAAGCGAGCCTTTGAACTGATGAAGACCCATGGCAGCATCGAGACCATTCTGGAGAAGATAGACCAAAATGTAAGAATGTTATGAGGGTGAAAGCTAATGTGCTTAGAATAGCAAGTGTGCGCTTGTAAAAATGACGCCTGGCTGTAATTCTCCCCATGGAGTGGAGAATGTGCATACATTGTCTGCGGGTAAGCCTGAATCCGATGACCGAGTTAATTATATATATATCTGTAAAGCGCTTTGAGAGGGCCTTCGGTCCTGAAAAGCGCTATATAAGATCTAGCTATTATTATTATTATTATGAAGAGAGTCCTTGAACTAATGAATCCCGTTTGTTTTTATGTAGATAGAGATATGATGGTATTAATAGTTCTTCATTTGTATGACTTTACAGGACATCTGTGAAGTAGTGTACAAGTATTAATTGCCTTGAGGGGCGTGGTTAATTATTTGAGGACCGAGGTGATCTCTAAACTATGCCCTCTTTGACTTCATCTTGGGGCTTGACATAGACTAGAAATCACAGAGGTAGGAGCATTTTCAGAAGCTAAGCCCTGACACCTGATGTGTATAGTTGTAATTATACCCACCTATTGCAAAGACTGTTTAATAATTCATAGACCTGAAGTCAGTTTTATTAAAACCATACTGAACTAGAAGCAATGACACTAAATCCCCTCTAGCGTCGTCTCAGGTCAGCTGTAGCAGTATGGTCCCGTAAATCCCTGCTTCTCTACTGGTTCTCGCAGTACCCTAGGACAGAAAGTTTATCAGTTTAGTATCGCTTTAATATTGTCTTCCAGAAATACCCTCCTCCTGAAGATTGGCTGTACAAGGAAGCCAGAGAACTCTTTCTATCTCCTGATGTTACTCCTGGTGAAGAATTTGATGTGAGTAAAATGGAATATTGTAAGTGTTATTTAAAAAAAAAAAGTGTAACTCTATATATGGAGTGGGTGTCTTATACTGCCAAAAATGGATTTTCTACTATATGTTTGGATCAACAGTAGCTATTTCTATTAGCTTGAAACAGATAATTTAAAGCCCCTCTGCACTAGTTTAGCCAGAGGGATTAGACCTCCCTGCAAGGTCACTGACAGGTGGTTATCTCATCAATTCAGCTCTCAATTAATATAAGAAAAAGGGAATCATGGGGGACCAACGGTCACCGATTAGACATTGTTTGCTATATAGAGGGCGCAAGTAGCTATAAGGAGTGCAGTGGGGCTTTCAGTCCAGTTGAATAATGAATTTTAACACTGAAAGTTTATTCATGGATACTGTTCAAATTTGAGTTGCACAGATAGTCATTTACAAGAATGTTTAAAATTTTGTTTACTTCACATGTGTTACGAGTGGTATCTCCATTTGATAAGGTTGAGTTTGTTATTGGCAGCAGGCGCGTACGCGGGGGGGGGGGGGGGGGGGGGGGGGGTAAGAGGACACTTTTTAAAACTTTTTTTTGGTCTCGAAATTTGCTCCCGTGGGGGGGGGGGGGGGGGGGGGGATAAGTTCTTTTTTAGGCCAGCCATTTTTTTTTTTAATAATTTAAAAAAAAAAAAAAAAAAAGGGGGGGGGGGGTTCCTCTCCAAAATACACACATTCAAAATACCAAAGGGGGGGGGGGATCAATCACCGCCCCCCCCCCCTGCGTACGCGCCTGATGAGAGGAAAAACTACTACCATCAATGATTTGCGCATGTGTTTTTCTTGTTCTAGTTCAAGTGGACAGCACCCGATGAAGAAGCTCTCATTGAATTCATGTGCACAGAAAAAGGATTCAAGTAGGTGCCTTTAATTCTCTCTTTCTTACATTGCTTTCTCCTAGCTTTGGCATTACAAGTCTCGACGAGATTTAGTTACTTGAATATTTGCAGATATCGAACTTAAACGGGTTGTAAAATGTAGAAGAAATGCCAAATAAATGATCACTTTGCCCTCAAAAAGATTGAATTATAGTCCTCCATTTTCTTTTTCTTGATGTTCAGACGACATCACGATCACATTTGATTAAGCTATGTCTTTGTTACACATTACAAAGATAAATCCAACTTAGTAGCCATTTTAAAGCGTATCTGCCATAGTTTACAGGAGTGATTAGACTGCCCTGCAAGGTCACTGGACAGGTGGTTATCTTATCAACTCAGCTCTCAGTTAACATAAGAAAAAGAGGATCATGGGGGACCAACGGTCACCGATTAGGCATGGTTTGTTATATAGAGGGTGCAAGTAGCTACAAGTAGTGCAGTGGGCCTTTAATGCAAGTTATCAGACTAACATGATTTGAGAGATGCAGTATTGCTCACTGTAATGTTCATTGCAATCTAAAAGAAGAAGAAAACAATTGTGGTCCAGGATTTTAATTCCTGTGTTTAATTTGAAACCATTAAAATTGAAATTCAATGGTTTGATTTGTTATATATAGTGAGGACAGGATGAGAAATGGATGTAAGAAGCTAGTGAAAGCAAGAACAGGAGCAACCCAGGGAAGGCTAGACTCATTCTTTACTCTCAAGCCTTCTGCATCACCGGCTGGAAAGAGAAAGGTATATGTATATGCAAATCAAAATGGTATCATCAAATGCCTTTACTTTAGCCCTTTCAGCAGGTTTTCAGGGGGCGTTTCACATAGACTTGCTCTAACAATCCCTCAAGGGACATCACAAATCTACAGAATTCAATTTTTTGATAGTCCATTATTGAAGATTTTGTTTTACTTACATTGTAAACTTAGGTTATATTTAAGCCTTTCTTCTTGAACAATGGTGAAAGCAAATAGTGGCATGAACGGCCTGCCATAGTTCAAGTCCAACTTAAGTCGATCTTAGTCTTTGTGAAACACTCCCCTGATCTCCATTTCATTTTTCTCAGGCCTCTAGTATAGTATTAATGACTGCTTTGAGAGAAATAGTTGTTTTATTACGCTCAAGGGAAGGTTAGAATTGTGCTATTCCCCGAGGCTTGCCGAGGGGAATAGCCCAATTCTAACCTTCCCGAGAGCGTATGAAAACAACTATTTCTCGAATATTAAAGCAGTCATTAATACTTTTATATGCCGAAAAAAAATAGACTAAAAAATGAAAAATTAAATATATTAATCATTTTTGTCGAAGACGGGATTCGAACTCTTGCGTACAACAAGAGGTGTACCTAAAACCAACGCTTAGACCACTCGGCCATGGCCCGCCGTTAACATGCTTGGCAGTTTTCTCCAATATATACATTAAAATGGATTGAAACCGGCTTCGCGTGTGATGAATGCTTCGCAAAAGCTCCATATACGGACTCTTCTTTTACTTTTGCAATGCATATTGGCACGAACTTAGATCAAGATCTATCGGCAGATGTTGTTTTAATACTAGCAGTCATTAATACTTTTATATGCCGAAAAAAAATAGACTAAAAAATGAAAAATTAAAAATATTTATCATTTTTGTCGAAGACGGGATTCGAACTCTTGCGTACAACAAAAGGTGTACCGAAAACCAACGCTTAGACCACTCGGCTATGGCCCGCCGTTAACATGCTTGGCAGTTTTCTCCAATATATACATTAAAATGGATTGAAACCGGCTTCGCGTGTGATGAATGCTTCGCAAAAGCTCCATATACGGACTCTTCTTTTACTTTTGCAATGCATATTGGCACGAACTTAGATCAAGATCTATCGGCAGATGTTGTTTTCTTGTTTTTGGAAGTTTATTTTCGTCTTCATGTCAACAATGCAAGATAAAATTGTCGGTAAGATCGATCGAGATTCAATTGTATTGAAATTACCGACCAATCCTTCGCACACATACGGCATCCTCCATCGCTCAAACCATTTTTTAACATGTAAACCTATGGGGTAACCATGGACGCTGACCAACTTTTTTTAATAACCATGGTTATTAAAAATATTGAAATGTTTTATGCATGGTTACCGAGAATTTTACAGGAACAGTTGAAGTTTATGAATGCAATTCGACCAATCAGATGGCTGGATTTCTTAAGTGAGGTATATAATTGCACATATTACACAATACTATTGTTGATATTACACTGTAATACTATTGTTGATATTACACTGTAATACTATTGTTGATATTACACTGTAAAGCATTATTCTCTATTAAGCGCCTTTGGAGATTAACAATAAAACTCTCATGAATACATATTGTGTACTCTACAAATTGTAGCCTGTTTTAAAGCTTTGCATGATAAACAATTGATTATACAACTACTTCTCCCCATCCCTCCGCCCCCCCCCCTCTCTCTCTCTCTCTCTCTCACTGTCTCTCTCATTGTCTATCTCTTATACAGTCTGAACCACTGAAGGGAGCAGCACAGAAGAAGGCCAAGAAAGGCGGAGGAAAGTTTAAAGCAAAATAGAAGATCGAACGGTGATGATTAATCTCTTTCAAGCCATCCAAAATAATCTGTGTTGCAGAGACTTTGGTTTGTCTCATTTGAAGAACCCACCAAAATTTATGCCTCGTGAAGAGGACTGTGTGACTCAACTAAAACCATTTTTTTTACCGGAAAGATCAAGTTAAGAGTAAAACAGATTCTCTGGTGTTTCTCATATTTATACGATTGATTAAAGCATGTTGATGTAGGGAATACTAGGGATACTCAAAGCGCTCTAGTCAGGAAATAGACCCACTGTACTGGATAAGTGCACAACTGGCCCAACATCATTCTGCTTCAGTTAATTTGGTATTCTTTTGATTTTAAATTGAAAGAACAGTCATATCCTCAATATCGAAGATTTTACAATTGTAAGTTTTGTATATCTACTTGAATTGTCACTTTCCCAAGATTTTTACTTGTAGTTAAATTAATCATATAGTGTGTATAAAGCTTTACATTGCATTGTATGTTGCTTTATACAGATCCATATATAGTGTAATCTACAAGGGTGCTACTGAATTGTACTACAAGTACTAAAGTCATTCCTACACAATAATTGATATATGAATACAATTGATTCCTCTTTATTTCATAACTTATCACAATGAATGTCTTAATATTTTACATTATTGAATAAACAGGGTATATACAAAATAAATATACTTTGCTCAACAAGTAATTCTAGTATAATTTACTCCATAACGTTAGATTTCTCATAAATAGAAAAGTTCGGAAGAATGGAATTCATGAATACTTTTGTTTGATTCGATGAATACTGAAGACACGTATGAAATACAGTAGATGGTTCCAATTGCATAGTCTTTGTATTCTGCATTTGCTACAAAAAAAATACTTGTACTTCGTACAGCAGTGAATTGGAAGAGATTGAGCTCTGTACAGTAAACTCTTTGTTCAAAGTGATGCACATATGCATTCCGTGTACAATACCATTTCTGACTACTCCCTTGTAATCAATGTCAACGAATGTGCTACAATATACTTTGGTAACATACATATCCAGCCCCATGGTGGTTATTTTATGGTCCACTTTTTGGCAGTTTTTACGGAAGCAAGCAATTCAGCTAAGTAGTTGTATATACATCAGCATACACAGGAGTACATCGGAATCTAGTTAGATGTGTACAGTACGAAAAAAAACTTTCCCCACTAGGCTCAGTAGAATAGTCACCAATTTTCACGTTTTCAAGTATTTGTAAAGAAATTGCTCTCATAAAAGGATGGGCATGTACTAAAGGTAGTTCTTTTGAAAGTCATATGAATTCTGAACAATGTTTTGAAGCCTGTTTTGTAAATAAAACAATTTGGAAACAAATGAGATATTTTGTTTTAAATTTTGTATGTACTTGTAAACAAAATGATTTGGAAGCAAATCTAAGAGATTTGTGTGTATATATCTATTTTACCGTACGAAAAAGGTTGATATATTGCACACTCTTGCACATATAAATATAAATTTTGAATCATCAAAGATTTTAGTGAGAAAATCCATATGTATCACTACGGAGCTAGGAAAGTAACTTTAAGTTGAACAGAGGTTGTTCTTGTGCATAGTAGAAGGGGTATTTAACTCGAAGCCATTTTAGCGCATACAGTTTGGAATTAAGGACATTGTTGAACAAGTACGTAAGCTGTCCAATTAGCAATAACTAATCAACCAGCCTGTACATGAGAAGAGGTCTACAGCTTTGTTACACACGAGCCATGGTTTATTTCCTTCTTACAGTGTCCAATCAACCAAGTCAACACACTTGATGCAGACCAATGTTTTTTGGATTTTCCATTGAAGCACTAGCAGGAAAAGGCAGAAGAAAGGTGTCAATCTGATGCATCCTGCAAGTGCATACCGGTAATTCAATTTGACAAGGTCTCTCCTGCTATTTCTCTTATCATACCATTGATGATAAACATTTTCAAAGTGTCCAAAGTTCTTTTTTGCTTCAAGGGAATGCTACACCATAAAACCCATGCCCTGGTTGGTTAAAGCACTTGTAAGAGCAGAGCAGAGCTCGGATAGGGATCTTGCCTGGAGAGTTGCCCAACTTCAAATCCTACAGGATAAAAGTATAAAGAAGAAAACAAACAAAGCATATCAATCTAAGATTATTAATAGTAGGTAGTAATATGTATGTTCAGCATTTGCCAGTTTATGATCAAGTTTGTAGCATGGCATTCAGTTGCAGGAGTTGCCACTCCTTTGTATAATTATCTAATGTATGCTTATGTAAGACAGATTTTTGGAATATTGCTGGTAATGAGAAGGACAATTGGAGGTAGAAAGGCTTACAAATGCTGAGTCAAGAGCTATATTAAACTCATTCATCTTTGAAATTTAATTCCAAGCTGAGGCGGAATTCAATATCCGGTCAATGTCATACATACATCAAGTCAAAATGATATTTGTACAGTCGGACTACTATACCTTATGGCCATCTACGAAGCACACACACTCCAGCCAGGTGTTGAGGAAGGATTCACCACAGAGGGCACACTTACTAGCTTGGGCAAGCATGTCACGCACATTGGGATAGTGTCTGATAGCTCGACGGAGATAAGACCACCTACAAGATTGAATCACAATGGTTAATCTCTATCCAAACAAACTGGGTAATTTAAGGAATTTTATAATTTATTGAGCTACATAAATGTATGTTCCTTATATTATTTTGAAAGAAGCATGTTCCTCATAATATATATTTCTGAATTGAAAGATATAAAGGGGAGAGGTGCTGTAGAAGAAAGGGACAATACCGACTAAAGTGGTCGCATGGTGTTATCTAATGACTAGTATTCCACACTTTCACCACTTCCATTAAAAAAAATATACTTTTACAAAACTTGTGTATTCCTTTAATTCTACCAAGAAAAATAATCTAGAATATTGTTCCAATCAATATATGCATGCATACATATATATATAAGACAATGTTTCAAGAAAGTTAGAGAAATTGGGTGAAGTAAGCATTTATAAAGTGTAGGTATAGGAATAACAAAAAATATTCACACCAAATCCTTCATCCTTTCTAGTATGCATTGTACCTCTTATTAATTATCCCACAGCCAAATACTTTGTATGTTGATTAATTTTGACAATTCATGTCAACATCTTTCCCATAAAAGAAACAAAGGCATTAATGGTCAACTGCTTACAGACACCTGTTCTAAAGTAGAACAAAAAACCTGCACCACCATCCCCAAATTAGACATTTCCTGATTATCTGAAGGGGTGAAAAATGAAGATTCTGGGATAAATTTTTGAGAAATGTTTAAGCCAATTGTAGCACTAGCAGGTCTTGTGAAACACTTCAGAAATACTTCACCACACTATGAATGTGACCATATCAGGTTCCGTAAAAAAACCCCAAAAAACATGTCTATATCAACAAACTAGAAACAAATACTTCTCTACGAATTTGTGATGATACTTTTAATATAAACATACATTGGGAATTAGACTACCGGTAGGCAGCAAAATTATCCAAACTCAACATTTGTTATTTATTAGTTACATACAGTATCAGTATCTGGTTGTCTACTATACGTAGTTCACAAACTAGTTAGAGAAAAAGTAATATGTTTATTGGTCTGGATTATGTGTTACTCATGATTATGGTTTAGAAAAGAACACATATTAGACTGTTAATTTATGGTAAATTTGTACATCACAAATCACAATATATGACATATTAAAGTTATTAAACTTGATAAATGAATGAAATTAATTGAACGATTTTCACAAAACAGATTAGTTGTATGTATTTAATTAGTTGCTTATACAATCTGATAGCTCTCAAAGATATTTATAAACAAATATATTTTAGTACTTTTATATAGGTATAACCAATCTGAAGGATAAAAATGCAGTTCCTCAATTATTGATAAACAAATACATATGATACTATCTAAAGTGGGCATCTTAAAAGATATTTGCATTTCAATAATATTAGTTATACAAGACTCTAACAGAGAATCACATGTGTACATGCACATACCTTAAGAGAAATATGGGACTTTTAAACATTTTTTGAAACATAGATAAGGATCATTGAAAATGGAAATATCTCATCCCATATGTCTTTTTCATCACAAAAATATAATTGCTAAAGAGATTCTACGGTTATACAGATTCAATAATTAAACAGATTCATAGATAGGCAATGGATAAATGCTGTAAATAGTTACACTAAATAGATGACTGCAGACCTAGTGAAGATATGAGATTAAGGAGACTGATTTGTGCATTTGATTTGGTACTCCGGAGATGAACTAGTAAACATATTCTAAATGAAGATAAATACAGCACATCCCAACACAGTGATGACCCATATGAATACTCCAAGTGATGTATTGATCAAAGCAACCAGATTTCGTCTGAGAAAATGGATCTTTCTTTTTGGCCTCGACCATTACTAGTTCACTGGCAATGTTAAATAGGACCTGAGCAGAAAGGGCAATCACTTATAAAGGTCGACTCGCATGCAATAATTGTCTTTATAAGACTAGTAACAACCATATTCAATTTCATGTTCTGACTCCAACACATAAATATCTTTTAATTTAGAAAAATCACTGTGCTGTCTAAATTCTTAGTAACTAGAGTACCAAAATATGTTTGTGTATTAAGACTTCATGGGTTCTACATCTACTAATCACTGCAAACTTGATTACGCCAGCACTTAAGGGCATTAGTGCACAAACTTACGCTGGGTTTTCTTCATAAAATAACTGGCCACCGACTTTCACCAATCTACGCCTTTATGTTTCAGCATGCAAAAAATAATGTTACTAGTTAGCAGAATGATGCTTTGGTCAGTAGCAGAATTAAATCCCAGTTACATAGAATATATAGTAATACTATAAAAAAAAAAAATGAAAATAAAAATGAAAATATAACACCATCAATTTTTTACCAGTTTTAAATATCAAACAATTTTATTGATAATGTCTCACAGTCTGATATTGCTACATATTGATTGATTGATTTTATTCCATTTCATACATCAATTGTTTGCATATATATATATATATATATATATATGCATTGTAATTATGCTAAAACTTATTTATTTTAGTTTACCCTGAAGGGATAGCTGTTAATCTTTAGGGGGGAGAGAGAAATCTAATTCCCATATGTTGGTTAAATATTCTGTTTTCAATTTTCCAAGTATCAATTAATAAAATTAAACTTGGCAAGTTTATTTTAGTAAGGAAATAAAAGACATTTAAAAAAGATATATCGACTACTTATAGTTTGAAAGCCATATTGCAGCCTGCCAAAATCATTGATAAAATTGAAGAGAACTAAATTAATAACCCTTTTGACATACATACCTGTCTTTCAACTGCTTCATGACATACCTCGCCGTTAGTTCCTATAAAGCAATATGATGATACGATATGTATTAAAAATTTGCCGATATCTTTTATTAACATGAAATCTCCTTATATGCTTGGTGTGAAGATAGATGACAATACACCTGACTACCAACCTTTATAGAGAGAAAAATGGCAACTTAATTTTTGATTATCATACTCAATCCACCTCAAAAGGAACTATTTCACCATTACTTGACAAAACCATGAATTTAGATAACTGAGCTAATTCCTCAGTCATAAAATATACCAATCCTTCAACTTAGAAGGTCCATTACACAAATATAGCAAATTGTACTTTCTAAAGCAAGTCGGCATGACACAGTCTTGAAACCTTTGGTATAACTATCCATGAAGAAGAAGAACGTGGTACAGGGAAGTCATTTGTGTGGCACATTAAGTTAATTTTTTCATTTTAGTCAGACCCCTGCATTATTTAAGAATAAAAGTCATCAAAATGTGCTTTTTACAATGAAGAGTTGAAAATCAATGCCTAAATGAGCATCCTTATACCTAAATAAAGACATACATGTCAATGTAAATACTGTAACAATTTCAAGAAAACCCGGTATCCAAGAATATGCAGTCTTTATTATAGATTTATTATAAGACGTGCACATGAATCATTCTCTATAGTATTGTAATATGAACAAAGCTTTGATACCTTTAGTGTTAAAACCTCATCTTCTTGGACAGATTGAACAGGGATCTTGTCCAGAAGGGGATTCTCTTCACAGTAAAGTTCCTTTAGGGGCAATTTGTGTAACTGAAATGAGAATAAGAGAAAAGCAAAATTAATGATTAAAATTATATCTCACTTGAAGTCACAACATGCTTCACTCATTGAATAATCTTAAAATATACCTTGCACAAAAAATAGTATCTGGAAAAAAGTATATATTTGAAGGGAAGCATGGAACAAAAGTTTTTATTGAACCTACTAACATTTTACAATCAAATCAATCTCCATTTACTACAGTAGAGACTGAGGTTTCATTGACTGTCGGTTCAACATTGGGGATTCATAATGAGACAAAAGTGGTGTAACACTCAAAACTTTTCTTGCGATCAACTTCTTTGCAACAGGTTACAGGTTATTTCCAATGGACTGTTGTATTTCATTCATGCATACCCACCTCCGTTGGGAAGATACGTAGTTCATTGGCTGCGACATCAATGACCTCAAGATTGCGAAGCTTTCCCATTCCTTCAGGTAGCTCCTTGATACGATTCTGCTGGACATGGAACTTCTTCAGTTTAACCAGGAATCCTAACTCCATGGGGAGTGAGGTCAGTTGGTTATTAGCAGCATGGATCTCAACCATATGACTTAGAGCACAGATTTCTCCAGGGAGTGTTGTCAGTTGGTTCCCATCTACACTCAGGAATTCAAGGTTGATTAACCTGTATAGAATGAGTTATAATCAATTAAATCATTTTCGACACGCATTAAACCAATGCCGCTTAATGAAAAGGCTGTTAATTTAAATAATGACATATGAAAACAAAATAAAAACAACATGGGGGATGATGATTATGAAAATCTTATCTTAAATCTTATCTTCAAAAAAGAACTTCTCCTAAATTAAAAAAAAAAAAAAATACATATATATATTAATGAAATAAAGACCAATGAGTAGTTTCTGAAGTTGGGTATGAAAACAATGGAAAATTGATAGAGAGTGGATCACTGGATATTATAATATGATCATTTAAACAGAATTGAAATTATTATAAATGGGTGCAAGTCAAAACTGTAATATGAAATGAATTGTCAAAAGAATTACATGTACACTTACTTGTTCATAGAAATAGGAAGAGATTTGATTTGGTTGTTGTTTAAGTTTAAGATTTTAAGATGCCTCAAGCATCCTGAAATGCAAAACACAAATGAAATGAAAGAAAGAAAACAGAAATGAAATATTACTTTTTTGTTATCATTAAAGGCAACACTTTTTGGAGAAAAGTAATTTAAAAAAAATATATTTACAAACTATCTTAAAGGTAAAGACCAGTATTGGAAACGCCCCAATTTAAAAAAATGAAATGGAAGCTCTCATTACCAATCATGTGAAAGAATATGTTTTGACTAATACATGATGATAACAAATTTGCCGGGAAACCGCCTACTAATTCATATATTTGGTAAATTTGTTTCTCTCATGGTCGTGTGAGAGATATAGGGTAGTCCCATATACATCTTTCTGTGTATAGTGCTTGTAACTTTACGAAGAATGGGCCAAATTTCTTATCATTTTGATGATTCCAGAACCTTGCAGATGCTAGTAGATGCTAGATGATCAACCTTTTCTGATCGATTCCACAACGTTTCTTTCACAATGCAATCGCATGACCATTACTGGTCTTTACCTTTAATTAAACGATCATTCAACTGTTAACAATCCAGATCCAGTCTTCTGGGGAAAAAGAATCTACAACATGTTGTGATGAAATCAGCAGATAAATTCAAAATCTCTTTTGGGATCTCTTGATCGATCTACATGTCATATTTATAATACCTATAGAGACACATGATTTTATACTGCTGATGAAAAAGCAATATTTTTTTATAACGATAAATATCAAGTTAAATGTTCTACTTACCTAAAATCTTGGACTCAACATTCTGTATTTTGTTGTTGAATATATGAAGAACTTCTAAGGAGTGTAAAGAGCTGAGTTCATCTGGTATCTCTTCTATGCAGTTATTTCCAAGGTTGAGTGTAACAAGCTGAAAATTAATTGCAAGAAAATATAGATCTAGATTTAATGTTGTACTTTGGAAATTAAAAATCCTTACAGGTTTACCTGGTCTTAAGACGTTACATGATCTTATCTTTATCAATGAATTGTTGGCTTAACTTTAGAATACCCCACCAATAGGGTTAATGTACATAAACGTCAAAGACATAGGGTTAATAGGGTTAGGGACTAGGGTTAGGGTGAGGATTAGGTTTACTTAAAAAGCTTAAGTCTCAATATTTAACTTCATTGGAAGCATTTGGTATCCTACAAACGTTTGGTCAATTTCTGTGGTGGGGTACTCTAAAGTTGCTCTGAATTGTTGACCCCAGCCCAGCAATACTCAGATTCAGAGTGATCAATGCCAATGCCAATTTTAAACCTCCAAAATGCAAAACAAACAAACAAACAAATAATCTGCAAGAATCAAGATTAAACTGTAAGTTTGATGAAGCAGATTTTCCAAATCTTACAGATTTTTTTTAATAGCGAACTATTAAAACATCACACGTAGACTATATGCCAATGGTGTGGTCACACCATCATCATCATCTTATTCTCCCTCCACCATGTCGGAGATCAGCGATCCCATGGGCCTCAAAGACTAAACTGGTCACAGTAACAGGAGCACAAGAGTGAAGCTAAAGCAAAGGCCAAGCACCATATCCATACAATGCAATACGAATACGATGTCATATTCATAACATATAGATCTAGACATTAATCCTTAGTATAAATTATATTAAACAGTGACTTAGATAAAACATAACTTCATAGATTTTTAAGTAAACAAAACATTTCCAAGACCATGAAATATCAAACCAAAAAGAAAAGAGGAAAAAAAAAGGGGGGGGGGGAGGGGTTTCCACGTAACAATACTCAATAGAAGTCTTCTTTTTTGCCTTTCTAGAAATCCTAACTTTGGACATGTTGATGTTGAACAGTGCAGTGCGCAGTTGAAATTTAAATTGAACTTGTTTGAAATTGAATTGAAGTAGATCTAGATGATAGATCTAGGTAGGGACGCATAGCTGAAGGCAAAGTCTTTGGATTGAACAAAAAACATTCATTAAATTCTAGATCTATTACTAAAAATAGATCTAGCTTCTTTTGAATATTTATCCAGTATAATATTGTCCAACATAGATCACGTCTTAAAATACTTTTTCAAATTGCAGTTTAAAAGGAAGTGTCCGAATACACAAAGATCTAGAAACTTGAATTTTAATCCTTCAAAAATCAAAGTCCCATCCCAGAAAACTAACATTATTTGAAGCATATGGGGCAATGTAATCACTTACCGTCGTTAAAGAAGTGAATTCTTTTGGCAATTTGACAATTTTATTATTTTTAAGTTGCAAATTATGAAGTCTATACAGCTTTCCGACCGCCTTGGGTACATTACTTAGATTTTTACTGGAAAGATTCAATGTTTGAGGCTGTCCTTTCAGTGCTCTCAAAACCAGAGTGTCAGCCATTTTGACGCTTTTAGTTGCTATGAAGAACATTAACAGACATTTATATTTAACAAAAGTAGATATTATTCAACTTTCAGATCTAAAAATATCTATAAAATAAAAATGTCTTATTTTCAAATATATTTAAAAAGCAATTTTTTGAGTTTAAATTTCTTAATTTTTATTTTATTAATACCAAAATATTTCCTGTAATGACCGTGCCTACTAATGAGATCTATTTCTAATCTCATCATCCCTGAAGAACAGCTTCATGCACCTTAATCATGCCGATTTCTGAAAGTGATATTGACCCGCTTGCCTTAGAAATAGTAGAAGAAGTGACTCCAGATATAAGGAGCAAATCTGGAGTATGGGAAAATGAAGACCTTGCTCAGGTATGTATTTCCATTCACCTCGGCTCATGCTCGACCAGTACCAGCAGCTTCGGTGATCGGTTGTTACCCCCCGCCTCCGCCTAAAGACTGGGGCTATGGGCAGCCGGGATCGAGTAATAAGCTTTTGATGGCATGAAAGGTTTGGCGCGGCCGCGGCGGCTGCTAGGTACACACATAGCTGTTTCAATGTTTGTGTACATTAACCCCATTGGTTGGGTATTCTAAAGTTAAGCCCATTACTATCCTGGCTGTGTATTAAAAGCTGTTGATTCTCAACATTTCAAACGCAACTGTCCTATAAAACTCAACTGATTTCACTAAAAATGAGTAGATCTAGGTCTAGACTCTAGTCTAGAATCTAGCTAGGTCTAGATCTAGTCGATTATAGATACTTTAGTGACAATTAAACTAAGACTAGAGTCTAAATACGAGCAGTAAAATACAATTTACAGATGATGAACTGGAATTTATCTGTAAGATAAACTTACAGATGATGTTACTTGTTACTGTTAGAAAGAATAATTTAAAAATTCAAATCCTGAGTCTACGGGAGTACTGTCAAACTTGCAGATCAGCCACATCATATTCATTGTGTGCATTTGTGTAGATTATAATAATAATAATAATATTGGGTTCTTGTATAGCGCTCTTGTCAGTCAGATTTGACCCTCCTGACTATTCATGTATGCAATTGCTGCTTAGCACGTAGTGCAGCGCTAGAGGTCAACACGTATTAGCATTGGAACGACTCTTTATGCTTTGTACAGCTACAGACAGTAGAGTAGTGCTAGCGCTAGACCCTGGTATAGCCTCTTTATCGATTGTCAATTTTCTTTTATATTCTATGTCTTCGTTTTTAGGAAAAATACTCAAAAAATAGATAAAAATCATGACCATTATTTGAACAATTGATGAAGTTGAATTTTGGTATGTTACGGGTTACGGGTCAAAGTAAGGATATGATTCTGAATTAGCGCCCTGAATACTATACCAAATTTTCCTTGATTTTAATTTACGCATATACTAACTACTATAGACCTACACTCTTTACTTAAGTCTTGGGCTTTTATACCTTTAGGTAGTATACGTGAACAAAACAAAAAGAATTAATTGAATCTCCTTTAAAAAAGTACCATTTGAAACTCTCAAATAATACAGCCAGGCGCGTACACAGGGGGGGGGGGGGGGGGGGTTTTGGGGGTTAAACCCCCCCCCCTTTGGTAATTTTTTGTGTGTAAACCCCCCCCTAAATTTCTCTAAAACCCCCCCCCCCCTTTTTTTTTTTCCCATGGTTGACCTAAAAAAGCTAACCTTACCCCCCCCCAACGGAGCAAAATGTCAAATTTTCAAATTTCGAGACCAAAAAAAAAAAAAAAAGTGACCTCTTACCCCCCCCCCCCCCCCCCCCCCACTGAGCGACTTTTCGGCTGGCTGAGTCGTTGCGATTTTTTTTTGGGCTCCAAAAAAAAAAAAAAAAAAAGTGTCCGCTTACCCCCCCCACTGAGCGACTTTTTGGCCGGCGCGATTTTCTAATTTTCCTGAGTCGTTGCGAAATTTTGGACTCGATTTTAAAACCCCCCCCCCCCCTTGAAAAAATCCTGCGTACGCCACTGAATACAGCCACCTGTCAGATATTGCGCACTGGTAGAGTGTCTGCAACGCACGCTTTTTGACTTTATCAATATCAGGAGGAGGGAACTTTGTAATCCGTCAACAATTAAACCAAACTTGAAGAAATTTGTTACAGGAGTGATAGAGCTTTGCTACGGCTTACCGGTACTATGTGTATCAAATAAATAGGACTTCTACATTTTTGTTTATTCGATTAAGGATGTTCTGTTATATCAACACTAATTCATTTACTGTTATTTCTCCCAACCAGGTAAAATACAAGGTGTTAAGAGGCCATCATGCAGGCGTCAATTCTGTTCAGTTCTGTATGAATGACACACACATTGTCACTTCATCAGATGACAAGACATGTGTGCTTTGGGTAAATATGTTCATCAATCCTTAAAAAGAAAACTTTATTCATTGCAATCAATTTAATTCATGTAACGGCTGTAAAAGTTTTACATGCATCCCCATACCCGGGGGGGGGGGGGGGGGGGGGGGGGGGGGGGGGGGGGGGGGGGGGCGTGCGTCACATTGAGCACTGAGCACTGTATGTACATCATGTGCATATAAAATATAAATCACTTTCTGACCAAAATGTACCATAAACAAGGATTAAAGTCTAGAGTGAAACCATCTTAACATCTCCAGTTTTAGACCCATTAAAGGGATTTTATATCTTACAATGAATTTAAAACCCTATTTTAGGATCGCTTTTTTTTTTATCTTCTATTTCAAATGAATTACATCTGCTCCCAACTGGGGCTATCACATTTCCTACAGAAAATGTATGTCCATTTTCATGACTGTTGATGTTTTGACTATTTTTCAGAGCATGGAAACGGGTGAGAAAGTACAGGTGTTTGAGGAGCATGGATCAATTGTTAGTGAATGTCATATGAGTCCTGATAATACCAAGCTAGCATCAGCGTGCTGGGATAAACAAGTCAGGGTGTGGGATGTGGAGACGGGCAAGATATTGGTAAGTCACTTTAAGGCAGGATGTGGAGATAATCATATTCTGATTTAAGTTTTTAAACATGGACCACCAATTACAGCATATAAAAGTTATTACTTGCCCAAAACATAATTTTGATGCTATTCAAGGAAATTCTAGCAATGATCATGATTAATGTATTAGAGATGTATTTCTTGTAGAGGTTTCTGAATAGATTATTTATTGACCATTTATAGAATATGACTGCAGTCATAGATATTATCAATATCTTCAACTTTGCTCTTTTGTTCTGAAAACTTATTTCAGTTAATATTGTTAAATGTTTTTGTGTCACATTAGTTTGGCTGTTGGGAAAGTTCTTATTTAAGAGCATATCCGTGAAATTGAACATTCACATTTATCTGATTTTTTAAAGTTGTGAACAAATTCTCTAGTGATAGGTTGCTACAATACTTTGCATCACCTACTTGAATTTAAAATTGTGAAGAATGAGTAAAAATAGAATGTATGCACTTTTGTGAAATAATAGAGTAGCAAAAGGCTGATTTGTTTAAATATTGCTTAATTGTATAGTGGAAAGAAACTCATGGTGGGATTGTGACATGCTGTCAGATATCACATGATGGCAAGTATGTAGTCTCTGTCTCAGACCTGGATAATGTGGTTGCAGTCAGATCTGTACAGGATGGCAGTCTGGTCAGCAGCACCAATGGTAAGCAGGCAATACCAACTATTTGTATGTACATGTAATAGTCAGAAGGTGCATGGGAGGGGTAAAAAAAAAGAAGCATCATGGTTGCTTTTATAAGCCCAGACCAAGTACAAACTAGTTGATAAACCTTATTGAGACTGGTGTAATATTTTGATATAAATTTATTAATATAAATGTTTCTTTGTGTGAAGTACATTTTATATACATGTATTATATATAGTGGAAGTGTTTGCATTATTTTGTTTTAAAGGTAAAGACCAGTAATGGTCATGCGATTGCATTGTGAAAGAAACGTTGTGGAATCAATCAGAAAAGGTTGATCATCTAGCATCTAGCATCTGCAAGGTTCTGGAATCATCAAAATGATAAGAAATTTGGCCCATTCTTCGTAAAGTTACAAGCACTATACACAGAAAGATGTATATGGGACTACCCTATCTCTCTCACACGACCATGAGAGAAACAAATTTACCAAATATATGAATTAGTAGGCGGTTTCCCGGCAAATTTTTTATCATCATGTATTAGTCAAAACATATTCTTTCACCTGATTGGTAATGAGAGCTTCCATTTCATTTTTTGAAATTGGGGCGTTACCAATACTGGTCTTTACCTTTAATCAGACTCAGATTTTCTGTCATACTTCACTCTAAAGTGAACAAAAGGTGTGAGATGAAAATACAGATTATGAAAATGTGTTTTAATTAAGTGACTACGGTATACAAGTTTTTGTTTGATCAATTAAACATGATGATTACTGGTACTGTCTGTATTAACTGAAGAATATGAATACTATGTGATATAAAAAAAATGAAAAGGGCCTTTCTTGAAAGGTAAATGCAAGGGTCGTTGTAGAAGTTGACTACAACTAGAAGATGCCAGTCATGGTGCACTTATGACGTACTGGGAAAGCTGCCGGTGATTTTAGGTCTCGTAGTACAGGATTCAGAATTGGCTAGGCAATTATTCGTTGAAGTAAAAAGAGCATGATTTATTATTTTCCCTCTTTACAATCAGATCTTCACAAGGGTACGATCACATGTTGTCGTTTCTCCCCTGATGATAACCGTCTCTGTACCACCTCTATGGATAAGACTATCAAGCTGTGGGATAGGAACAGCAAGAAAGTCACCCTCCACCTAGAGTGAGTCAACCATTAATATAATTTGTTTAAACATAGCATTCAACAGGGCTCTGATGATTGAGATGAATTTTCTTATTGAAATATTTGCTGCCATTAAAAGATGTATGTGTATCTAAGGATCAGGGATGGATTAATCAGGTGAAATGTTAATCACAATTTTAATGTAATTCTGTTTGTAAAGGGATTCAACTTGCTAAGAGCCAGAAGGATGTTTAACACTTTGTGAAGTAAAAAAGAAATAATCTCCGGCTCTCAGCGGACCATTTCCAGATTTGGGTAATAATCTCCAAGTTTGGAAGCGCTTTGTGATTCTAATAAGCGCTATATAAAAACTGATTCTTATTATTATTATACCTGTAAAAAGTTTGATACATTTTACTCTAAATTTAACTTTTCTCTTAGATTAATCTTTGATTATTCATCTGAATTGGTTGTACACTCTACTTCATTTCTGGAATGTCTTTTATTCGAAGTTGGAGAATAATCAATACCATATGTTCCACCCTTTTCACTATTACCATTGTTATCTGACAGTGGTCACATCAATGTGGTATCATGCTGTTGCTTCAGCCGCGATGAGAGACAGCTCTGTACAGGTTCATGGGACAAGCTCCTGCAGGTATGGGATATCTCAACTGGCATGTTTCGCTCAGAGGGTCCTAGGACATTCAACAAAGGTCATGAAGGGTCAGTTAGTACCTGCTGCTTCAGCCCAGAAGGTAACAGACTTAAATGAGATAGTACATACACATATTATTGGGAGGGGGTGATCTTCTTGTCTTCACTCATTGAATTCATTGTTTGCATCTATTCCTCTCGAATCATCTCTTTCTCCTCCTTTTAATAACCTAGTTTTGAAATCTCTCCTTTATTTATAATGCTTTCAGTTGAGTTACTCGATCGGTCACTCCAGCCCTCCACCATTCCTTCTATTCATCCTCTCTTTCTCTACTTCTCTCTCTCTCTCTCTCTCTCTCTCTCTCTCTCGCTCTGTCTCATTATTTCTATTCCTTCTGTTTACTTACCGTATTCATAATCATGAAACGAGTTAATAACAGTGATGTACATGTCCTTATTTATGTATATATGCATTATTAGGAATGTATTGACATGTTTGTATAAAGTGCATATTTATTTTGACATCTGCAGGTACCTTACTCTTCTCTGGGTCGTATGATTGCACAGTCGTTGTTTGGGATGCTAATAACGGTGGACCAAAACTCACTCTTAAGGTACATCAGAGTTTACTTTGAATCATGTATTTAGGTCATATGATTATACTGGTAATACAATTTAACAATAATAATAAATATGATAATTATAATAACAATAATACTAATGACAATTATGACAATAATAATAGTAATATTAATAATAACGATGATTATAATGATAACAACTGAATACAATGATAAAAATATAAGAACTTTAAAACACCAAATCCACTAGACATCAAATGCTCAAGGCGCACTAATGCAAACGATGAAACTACATAAAAGCACTCTACACAAAAGTATGATCTGAGAAGGATACAACTTATACAAAATAAAAAAGAACAATGAATTAAAGGTAACACTAAACTGGTCTGTTTCATCTGCTTTTTTAATCTCTCAGGGAGAGCATTCCACAGCAAAGGCTCTGCATAAGCAAGATGTTCTCTCCCCCTCTTTGCATTTAGGTTAGGAAGAACAAGCAATCCAGAGCCCCAAGTGCAAATACACAAACAGAATGTTGTGATTTAACAAAGTAATATTGTGCTGTGGGAGCATAGGCATGGAAACAATGAAATAAAAGCAAAGGAATGGGCCACTAATGGAGTGCCTTGAATGAAGAAAGCTAACCTTTGCTTTGTGAACTTTGTCTTTGTGTTCTAGGGTCATCAAGATTGGGTTACAGGACTGGATGTATCGCAGGATTCTAACTGGGTTTTATCTAGCTCGCGTGATAAAACAGTGAGATTGTGGCACATCGGTGATAGCGACAGGATACCAGTAGTGATGGAGAACAAGATGAACATGGGACTCAAGATAATCAAGGTAAGACAAACATATCAAAGGCATTTCAAAGGATTTCATAAAGCTTGCCAGGGCCCAGATTGATCGCAACCTGACATCAATTGAGATCTCTTCATAAGACAGGTCCCAGAACCCTGTTTCATAGAAGTTTTTTCTTTTCTTTCTTTCTTTTGTTTTTTTCTCCTGGTACAGATACTGTAATCAATATAATCTCCTGAAATCATTGAATTTGTTATAGTGGTGTAGCATTTTTTGATCATTCCAAGTTTTTGAAGTGGCCCAGATGTTTGTTTATGCAGTATTTGCTTCAAACCAATTCAGTGTACCTAACCTAAGATCCATCAGTTTAGTATTGATTTGAAGTCCAACATCTGTGTAATATTTTGTCCACCTGTTTTTATCTTTCCAGTGCGATGAATGTGGGAAGCCATTTTCCATCACCCAGCTAGAGAACGTACGAGAGACTCATATGTGTGTCTTCTGCCGGATGCAAGCCAGTCGTCCACTACCTTCTTTTGAGGATATTGAGGAGTTTCCTTGAGAGATCTCCTGACTGCGTTGGTCTGCCTAGTATAACCTTGCATTCCTTGATTTCAGAGAACAGACTTAGAAAGGTGGATGTCAATTATTTGATAGTGGTGTGCTTACACCTTGGCCTATTAAAGACGCACTGTCCTACTAAAACAATGCATAGTCGGTGATCATTGGTCCCCCATGACCTCTTTTTCTTATGTTAATTGAGAACTGAGTTGATGAGATGGCCACCTGTCACTGACCACGCTGTGTGGTCTTACCCCTCCTGGTCAAACTAGTACAGCTGGCCTTTAAAGATCTAGAGAGGCATTATGTTTTGGGGTTGTGCTTCTGTCATACTTCCATCTTGCTATATCTCACTATAAATGATATCTCAAGAACCGTTGAATACACGAACCCTAAAAATAATACATCACTATAGAGAGATGAAGGGAATGCATTGTAAAGGAATAAGTTGATAGATCATAGAAATAAGAGAAACATAGATCTCATGATATCTTAACAACTATTGTCCGTTGGCAAGACATTGATCTACATTTCTCACACTCAACCCAGGTGATGTAAATGGGAACCTGGCAGGAATTAATTCCTTGAAATGCTGGAGTGTTGTAATGGCAGCTAGGCTAAAGCCGGGGTGATAATAAATGCGCCTCGGAATAGAATTTCTAGATAGACAGCGCTATAAAAATGCCTATTATTATTATTATTATTATGAACTTCAAACCTAAGATGCGAAAGTTAATGTGGTTTAATGAGCAAGTGGCGCTTGTAAAATAGCGACTGGCCTGAATGCTCCCCAGGGAGTGGAGAATGTGCATACCGGTACATTGTGTGCGGGTAAGCCTGAATCCGATTAACCGGGGTAATAATATGTACTGGGCTTAGAAACAAAGTATTAGGCGCATTATAAATGTGAGGCGTGAGCTATTACTATTATCAGATGAATGGTTCAATTGCACCATCTTTCAATAATTACAGGGCAAATTGAAAAATTAATTGTTTTGAGTCTTGTTAGTGCATATTTGTACTTGTATGTATAACATTGAAGGCATTGAATTCTATTGTTATAAGATGATGACGTGGATCCTAATCAAATCATTGGTTGAGAGCATACATTGACCAGGCATTTATTTTGCCTAACACATAATTTGATAATGACCGGTCACTATCAAATGCTAATGACCAGTCATTAGTAAAATCATGTTATAAAACATCATTTAATAAAACGAATAAAACATAATCTAATAATACACATCATTTTGTTCGGGTAGTAGTAAAATTACCCACACTCAGTACCTTCAGAACAGTCCAAACACCCTCGGATATCACCTTGGGCGTGTAAGACTGTTCCAACGGTACCTTGTGTGGGTTATTCTTACTAATGCCCTCACTGATGTGTATTATTTGTATACTAACACACCTCTATAACTCTTCTTAATTTGTTGATAAACTAATGGACAGCACCTTGTATCCTCTGGAAAATGCTCTATATAACTATTACTATGGAGAGGAGCTGCTTAAAATGTAAAGAAATTTCAGGATCTCATCTTATAAAGATTTGCGATTGATCATACGTTGTTTTAAATCGATATTCACTGCACTGCCCTACATTAGAATTAGGATAACTGTTGATTGATTGGATTAATCAAAACCCTTTATAACACAGCTTTGGTTGATAAAAAGATTTTTTTTTTTTTTTAATTTTGAAAATATTGCATTTGTAGTGGTAGAGATCACTTTTCTAGTTTCATTGTGACTTGTATTTGACCCCAATAGACAAGTATGATTTGTGCACATTCATGGATGTGACAATATATGGTTTACCTTGCATGCCATGGTAGTAGCACTGTTTGTCAAGCTTTTTAAGAGTAGCGACTTGTGTTTTCTGAATATTGCATTTGTGCGACTGCATGCAAAATGTTTGTGACTATTATTTGGAGTGTGATTTTTTGTAGATATTCTTGCCATTGTACTAAGGATACTGTTCATATGAATAATGTAATAGAAAAGCTATACTGCCCCCCCCCCCCCCATGACAAAACAGCATAACAAACATTTTGAAGTTTATGAGATATAAGGCAAAACATGTTCTTTTAAAAGCCTTTAGAGATTGTATTGTACTCTATTGTATTACGTATTGTAACAGGTGGTCGACTTCGGCAAAGATACATACCACTTTCTCAAGTTAGCTCATTGATGACTGACAGATGATGTCACAAGGGGAATGAGATCTGGAGGTTTTTGGGGTGGAGCTTAGCAAGTTTGAAAAACAAGTATTTCAAAAAATATTAACAAATCTATGAAACAAATTCAGAAGTTTACATATAAAAATAAGAGATGAATGCAGGACTGCACACCAACAGGAATACACTTGTATTTCGATGTCATGGGCCCTTTAATAATTTTAACTGGCTAGTAATATCTGTAGAGTAAATGTGAAGTAATACATGTAATAGGAAAAAACAGAAATACTGAGGCTATAAAAATCCCACTACTTAACAGCATATACAGGATTATTTGTATTTAATGAGGATTAATTTCTGTTATATCATTAATTTTGACAAATTACTGTACTGTCTGCATATACATTTAATTGAATTTATGCTTTTAATACTGTTCTATTGATAAAGTACAATATATGCCAAGAACATAACACCTTGAAAATCATGTACAGCATGTACATATATGTAAATGAGAATATACAATTTGCTGTGTGTATTGATGAAGGACGCAACTGATTTTTAAATATATGAATGTGAGTCCCTACTATTATATGCCTTGAACATATTACTCTTCAACCTTTTAAGTATGATGTAAATAGAATGATCATTTTCATATTTATATTCTATGAAATGTCAATAAAGTTGTTTTATAGCTCTGATAATTCTGTCCAAATGCCTCTTGTTTGTAGATGTTTATTAAAGGCTTGATACTTGTTCTGTGAAAGGTAAAATTTTCGGTTGGACACAGTCAAGATATATTTTTTATTTTTAAATTTTTTAAATTTTACCCCAGAACTTTATTAAATTTTCTTTAAAATTTTAACCATCATTACAAATAAGTGATTTTAAAGGAATTACATGAGGTTGTCACTATCCCTATAAATTTTTTCTTCCCATAATTATTTAGACTTATGCTTTTTGAAGGACAAAATTAACTTTTCGATTCTAATACATGTGTGTATTGATTTGTCATTGCTGTTCTCAGAATGCTATCATATATATTTTCTACTTCCTCATCCAGCTGTTTGTTGACATAGTATTCTTTAAAAAAAATCAAGAATCTTCTGATGGATGTGTGTGAAATAAATTAAAGGGGATGTCCACCCCGTTAAAAGCAGAAAACGAGAGAAACATATTAATGGAAGTGTGAGCAATATCTGATTGAAAATAGGCAAGATCAGTGAAACAAAAATTGGCAACACTGTGACGTATCTTGTGAGGTCCTCTCCAATATGCCCTGTACAGACAATGTTATAAACTTTTATTTTCTTAGTCATTGATGAAGGAATAGAATTGTTTTACACAGGGGTTGTATAAAAAAACATATTTACAATGATTATATTTAGGGTGCATGTACGACTGAAAATTTTCTTTAGGGAGAAAAAAAATTATAATTTTTTTTTTTACAAAAAAAAAAAAAAAAAGAGCAAATGGGAGGTACCTCGCAAGATACGGAACAGAGTTGCCAATTTGTGTTTGATTGATCGCAACTTCAAGAATTCGAAACTTCCACTGACCTGGCACCTACTCCTCTCATTAGTTCTGCTTCTATTAAAACCAACTTAATATCAGAGAGGACTTTCCTTTAACAGAATTCATAAGCAGGATATGAACTTATTAGAATGCCATTTTTTCTGTTGTATTTTTCACTCCTCAACAGTGTTTAATGTGGTGGAAAATATTGATGAAAGCGACACCTACCAACAGTAGCATTCCAATAGGTCCACTTTACTTTTCTTCTGCGTCACAGTTTCCTCCATTCTTTTCTTTCGACACATCTGTTTATAACTAACTCGATCAGAGATTTCTGGCTTCTATGTAGGATTTCATCACGTACGATGTGGGCTATTTTTAATTTGTTAAATCTTGTATCTATACAGTGCGTCCCAGAAAAAACGAAACCGAGAATTATTGATGTTTTATCATAACTTAATCACAATTATAAATAATATATGACACATATTTGTAAAGCTTATATCCTCCTCTTTTATTTGATGCAGCTCATATGGTAACCATAGACCATAGACGAAAGACTACATGCATGGCTGATTGTCAACGAAACGGAGTTAAGTATGTTGTCAATTCTGCTTGTTGCTACGGCAGGCAGCCTGTGAAAACTTGCGAAAACTTGTGGACATTTTGAAATCAAAATATGGAAATGGGGAGCTATATGACTCGTCGACCCCTTCGAACAGATAAGTTTGTTTTAAGTTTGTTTTTAGTTTGTTTGTCTGTTGTTTTTCTTCGGTTTTTCGGGGGAACAGTGAATGGGTCTTTAAAACAAACAAACCAACAGACAAACAAATTAAATTACTCACAATTAAATATATGTCCCTAAATTGAATACAAGAATACTAGATAGCACAAGATTACTGGCCTACATTCATTTATTTAAAGACAGAAAAAAGAAGAAGAGGAAAAGAAGAAGGAGCAAAACAAGAAGAAGACGAAGAAGAAGAAGAAGAGAAGATGAAAAAGAAAAGGAAAATAAGAAGGAGGAGAAGGAGAACATGAGGAATGAGGAGGTAGAGAAGTATAATAACAGTGTTAAGAAGAAGAAACGTTTACTCTCAATTTACTCATTGCACAATGTCAGAACAAACTCATTGAAAAGTCAATAGAGAAAGAGAGAGAGAGAAAGAGAGAGAGAAAGAGAAAGAGAGAGAGAGAGAAATAGAGAGAAAAAGAAAGAGAGAGAGAGAGAGAGAAGGAGAGAGAGAGAGAGAGAAAGATAGAGAATGTGAGAGAAAGAGAGGGGAAGAGAGAGAAGGATTGCAAAAAATAATTATTCAACCTGTATTTAACGAGAGCTGAAATGCATGAACCGTACAGATGAAAAACACCACCAAAAGTCAGAAAACGAAGAGATATGAAAGAAAGAAATGTCGTGATAACTCAAGCTGAAACTGCGCTATTATACATTATATTCACAAAAATGTACTGCTAGATTTTCATGGTTCACTTGCAACAAAAGCAGGGATGGGCGATAGCAACTTTTGTAGTGTCACGCGATTAATATAAAGGTACTATGTCCCGTTTGCAGACAAAACAAAATGAAAATGTTAAATTCCAACGGCATTTGAAAGGCAATACTAATTTAGAACTTCCCTCAAAACAAAAGGGCTTGAAAATGGTTTTTAGTGGGGAAAATAACGACCATTAGTTGTCGAATCGACTTAAGCGATTTAATCACCAAAGTAATAGTCTGATTTTCAGATTCAATTAGTTTCATTTACAAATGCGCATGTACCTGTTACAGCTCATTTTATGTATGTTATTACCAAAGAAAAAAGATGTCAATCAGTCACTCAATAGTGTATGACAGTGAAGTCTAGAAGGTAAACAGGTTTCCTTGTATAATTTGAATACTAGGACACTGCTACTGTTTAAATTTCACAGATAGGACATACATGACATATTCATAATTCCTGCAAAGTTCTACAGAATTTGATGTAGGATGCATAAGGGACATAGTACCTTTAAGGTAACGATCAAGCTATTGCGACACACGCAGAAGTAAGGGGAACGTAATCCTCATTAATAAACCGTCTTCATTGATAAAGACACGCACGACCGTGCACTTTTAGTTCCGCAGAGCATTGATAAAGATGTTTTTGTCACCAATTAATAAACATTCAATGTGACATATTTTGTCTCATACTCCGTGTTGATCTGCGAAAGAAATATCATCAGCTTGATTCATTTCTTCACATAACTTTAGAGATTGTAGAGGTCTAAAACAGAGAAATGACTACAACATTGATTGTTCACAGTGATTAAACAATTTTGTGTAAATATAAGACAAGCACTAGTTTCTGCTTTTTTAAAGTAAACTTTGTCAGAAGATACTCTACTTTATTCGACATCAAAAAGCTGCTTAACAATGCTGGTCAAACGCCCCAGTTTCTTGTTTTTTCTCTTGGTCTGCCTGATGGGAGCCAAGATCTGCGAGGCACAACAGGATCCTAATCCAATCGAGCTAGAGAATGGAGCTTATAACAACATACTCATCGCTATACACAAAGATGTCGAAGAAGATTCAAGTATCATCGAAAATATCAAGGTAAGAAATATTTTTCTTGGGGTGCCAAGAGGGTACGTGTGGGGGGGGGGGGGGGGGGGGGTATACATCCTACTGGTACGACGATCCATCTACCAACTCCTCTCCCTAAATCCACCCCGATTCATGTATTCAATCATTCGGAGTAGAAACCAATGGAAAATAACAGATTTCAAAGTTGTTTGGTATTTGGTAACAAAGCCTAGTCATGACTTAAAACTGAAATATATGTTGCTGGAGTTACTTGGAAGCCGCAAAGACATCATTGTAATACGGCTCATCATCTTGACGTAGAATACCAAATGACAAATAGAATCTTTAATGAAAGGCATGAGTCTATTTTATTTGATATTTCATCGGGTAAGCTCCATCGTTGAATAAAGTAACATTCTTTCTGGATAACTGATATTTATGCAAAATAACAATATACTTAAATTCAAATTACAAATACTAATGTATAACCAAACTACTATAATGATCATAATATAATAATGAATAACAAAAATGATATAAATACAATGAAAGACATTCTACAAATGCAAACCACTTTCGAGATTCTCTTTGAAAAAAAAAAAATATTGTCAGAAATAAAAATGAGAGAATAAAGGTGCGTCGCTTTATCAAAGTTCCCAATTGCTGTCTTCCCTTTAAAAACTTTTTCGAAGGTTGAAAAGTATCTTTCTTTCTTAATAGATCTTGGATATAAATAAACGATTGTGAGAGCTACACACCGTTATTCTCATGCATCATCATTGTCATCACCATTAATTAGTGCCAGGTCTGTTACAATCATGGCCCTCCATTTCAGTCTATAATTGTCTGCTAATCATTAAAAGTTTATATTGCTGATTTTATTTTTGGTTGCCCATTTTTTCAGGCTTTGCAAGTATGTGAATCGTTGCATTCCCCCTGCTTCTCTTTCGAGCAAACTCTCTCATAATATGTATATACACACACGCACACACGCACATGCGTACACATATACAAACTACGTAAATACGTACATGCATATATATACACACAACCAACAACCGTTTTAATTCATTAATAAAGATCTGAGGCATAAACTTTATCAAGAACAACTTTATGAAAAGAGTAATACCTCAGTCACACCGACACCACACCGAAAACAGACCGAACGAGTATATTACATTACCCTATGGCAAAACAATAAGTTATTTTGGAGTTTGGTGTGGAGTCGGTTTGGCGGTGTGACTGAGGTATCAAGAAAATCTGCGTTCAAAATATTTAACATTATTCTTCTTGCTTGCTTAATAAGTTGCAAGTTGCTACACTCTATAAACACAAAGATTGAAAGTCGGGAATTAAGAAGGTAGGGGAAGGGTTAAGTGGTACAAGGAGGGGGTAAAGCAACAGAGATAGTTACGACAGGGGCAGAGAAGGGGTGTGTACGTTTGCATGCGTGTGTATATGTAGGTATGTGTGTGTCTGTGTGTGAGCGTGTGTGTGTGTGCGTGCGTGTGTGTGTGTGAAATGTCCGTTAAAATACAGTGCATAATGTGGATAAAACGTCTTTTATATGGAGAGAAAAGTTTGGGATGGAAATTGTTTTTTGATCATTGCTTACAGTTTGTGGGTGGTAGATTTATTTTTTTATGTGATTATGATTTAAAAAAAGATTAAACTCGTTTTAGATATTCCACCATACTATATGGAAATGTTGCAAGCATGGCAAGAGACAAGTAATTTAAGATATTTGGAGGGTTATATTAATCCAATTATTTTTAATAATCAGAATATATGTATAAATGGAAAAAGTATATTTGATAGATACTTGTTTGAAAGAGGGATTGTTCAACTGAATCATTTGGTTGAGAAAGGTCATGTTAAGTCTGTTAAAGTTTTTATGAACCTCGGTATGAAAGGTAATAATTTGCTTATGATTATTGATATTTATGATGCGATACCCAGGTTATGGAAGGATGATTCAGGGTTAATAGAATTCCTCGAGGTTGATTTGATAAGCTTTAATACTTATTTCTATATTTCTAGTAAAAAAATACAGTTTGTGGATGTGGGTTCAAGAACAATCTATGATTATTTTATCAAAGCACTGCAACAAACGTATGATTTGCAGGTAAGGGATGGGCAAAATGATTATGATTTTATAGATAAAGAATTAAAAGAAATATTTGTTAGACCAAGAATTACTATACTCATTAGAAAACAACGTGAATTTCAATTTAAATTATTGCATGGAGCCATATACACTAATGAGCATCTTCATAGATTTGGTTTTGTTGGTGATAATTTATGTTCGTTTTGTAAGCAGGAAATAGAAACATACAAACATTTATTTTTATCTTGTGGGAGTGTTCAAAGGATATGGCAGGCTTTAATACAACTTTTTGAGTTAGATGAAATTAAAGATTTAGAATGGCGAGATATATTTGTTGGGTTGGTAGGTAGTTCATATAGAATAAAAATGTGTAATACTATCATTTTCATGGTGAAGTATGTTACATTTATGTCAAGATCGGGGGGGGGGGGCGAGTACTAACTTTAGAAAAGATGAAAAAAAAAGCATTTTTAAGTATAGGGATGAGGAAAAGAAAATAGCAATTAAAATGGGAAAGCTAGGATCACATTTCTTAAAGTGGGAGCAGCTTAAGATTAATTAAGATTTGTTTTCTTCTCCACCGTGAGCCTGTTAAAAGCGTAACTCTATTTTGCGGCCTGGATAACTTATTTAGTATATTTTTCTTGAGTTGAGAATGTTGGCAGACATCCACTGAGTGAGTACTGTGTGTGTGGGGGGGGGGGGGTGGGTGGGTGAGTATGTGTGTGGGTGGGTGAGTATGTTTGTGTGATAGAGGGTGAGTATGTTTGTGTGATGGAGGGGGCAGGGAGGGGGCAGGATTGTTTCAGTAAAATTACCTCCAGATTTGTTTAAGTTTTTTTTTGTAATATATAAGTAAATAACATTTACAATTGACATATTATGTTTAGGTACTTATACGTTTACTTTGTTGCTAAGTTATATTATACTGCAAATAAGTTTGTGTTTAATTATGTTTATGTAAAAGCATCAATATTGAACACGTTTATTTTATTCAATTGTATGTCATGGTTTGTATTACACATCTGGAGAAATAAAACAAAATTGTTTTTAAAAAAAAGTGTGTGAGAGAGAGAGAGGGCGAGAGAGAGAGGGTGAGATCGACAGACAAACAAACAGATCGAGAAGGGGAGAAATACAAACATAAAGAGTAAAGTGGCGATATAAATAATCTAAACTCTAAAATCAACTACATTAACTATCATTTTCATAATTACGAATAGGCATAGCATAAACGCTGTAGAGTTGCTCGCAATGAAATTCTGAATAGCATGCACAATAAAATAGAATTCGCCATGTTTACTCAGGGAGGTGATAGAGAAGGAGTGGAATCAAGCAGCTCTCCTTTGACCCCATGCTCCAAGCCGCCGAAAAGGTATGCGCTAAACTGCATCAGTTGACCAGGGGTGAGATAAAAGAGCGCATGATATATCAGGATCTAGAATTCCTACATCATAAAATGATATCTCAGCAAATGTCCGCTGTCCCTTTCATTGATTTCTTATCAATTGTTCAATGTGTAATGAGTTGAACAAGCGAACACAAACTTTTGTAATTTCACACTTTTTTTCCAAATGCAAAAATACGAAAAGCACGCGAAAGCACGCATTAGCAAACTTAAATTTATGAAAGATTGTGAATTATGGAATAAATGACAGGGCATTAAAACATTCGAAATAATCGGATTATCCTAAAATATTGAGTTTTTGTCAGGATCTAATTTTTCTTTTACCAACTCTGGCACACAAATTATAGGAAGGGCGGAGTACTAAATAAAAAAAAAATTGTTTGATGTACTATTCCCAATACTGTCCCCATATACAATTTATAATTTGCACTGAGATTTTGCCGTTAATTTAATAAATTAAGTGAAACTGGTGCCTGGCTTCCGAAATTCCGAAAGTGGAATGTTACGCATCCCATTGTTACACTTAAGAACTCACGCCTGCGTTTGAATAAATTACGAGAGAATCCACTCCTTCTCTATCAACTCCCTGGTTTAATGTACCATTCTGTATTGCCAATTATGCAGATCCTCATGGTGTGTCTCGTGCAAAGTTGTGTTATGAGAGTGAGTTATTGCAGTTTATCAATAAGTTGCCATTATAACAGGTTTTCCCGGCCAATTTGTCGCATCTTTGTCGACCGAATTCATGTTGCATGCATTCAATTCAGCTCAATCTAAAACCCGGCCTTTCATTCCATAGTTCAATAGACCATTTTAGTAATGAGACCAAATTTAATGCATAATTCTTTGTGAAGTGCCTCAATACAAATTATTTCATTCATCTGATAAGAATAATAGTATTTCAATAAGCCAGTTCCCGGTTGCAGTCTGAGCATGAGCAGATAAAGGTCATTGCAGAACAAATTGTGAAATACACGGAGACGGAATACTGGATACGTGTTTATGAAATTTATATAATCATTATTCATTTATGCAAAAGCAGAGCACTCCATGATACACAGGTGGAAGTATTCTTTGAAAAGGGGAAACAAAGGCTAAGTATGTAGCATCTTCATCACTGTAGGAGTGATTATTTCAAAATGTACAAAGTGGGACCCCTTCGTGTTTTGAAGATCTGTGGATATTCGGGGTCATTGCAGCCATATGCTAACCGTGAACTGGTCTATTGACAAACACTATTACTTGACCTACCTATAGCAACAGTTAATATATGCAGTTTTCATTCTGACTATATTTGACTATTATTCTTATCAGGTGAATGAAATATTTTTATTGAGGCATTTCACAAAGACTTACGAAAATGGTCTATTTCATGATCTGTGCATTCTAATTCGCATTTTAGTCAATCGAATTAACATTCAGATTTAGATTTATGCATGCTTTTTGTCAAGCGTTCATTCAAATTAATCTGTGTTAATCTAATGATTCTCTTTTATTGAATTCCAAATTGTATTTTGCAAATAAGTGCTATATAGAATGACTTTAGTATCGATTTGCTTAAATATGCTGAGACTTTGATCATAGGTTAGATGTAGGTCATGAGTATAGAATTCAAGGATATAATGTTATTGTTGCGTGTTCGTGTATGGGCGGGCGGGCGTCAGGCGCAAGACTTAAGTCGTGCATACCGTAAATTAATGGAGATACATTTCCACCCTCGAATGACGCCTACCGCGCCTACCATGATCACTCCACTCCCCCCCCCCCCCCCCAACTCCAAGAAAGGCTTTTTGTTTCCTTGTTTCTTTGCTGTGGGTGTTGTTGTTTTTCGTTGGGGGGGGGGGGGGGTTAAGCATCATCTAATGCATAGCTATGAGCAGGGGCGTACGCAGGGGGGTGGTTTTGGGGGTTCAAAACCCCCCTTTGGTATTTTTATGTATGTAAACCCCCATAAAAAACCTAAAACCCCCCCCCCCTTTGGTTTTTTTTTTTTTTTTTTTTTTTTTATTAAAAAAAAAAAAAAAAAAATTATACCCACGGCTAACCTAAATAAGGTTACCTTACCCCCCCCCCCCCAACGAAGAAAAATGTCAAATTTTGAAATTTCGAGACCAAAAAAAAAAAAAAGTGTCCGCTTACCCACCCCCCCCCCCCCCCCCCCCCCCCCCCAGATAACCAGAAAGTACTGATGTTTTGTCTTATAAACACAGGATATCTTCACGGCCGGGTCTTCTGTCCTTTTCTCCGCCACCAATCGCCGGGTCTACTTTGGGACTATCACGATCTTAGTCCCGCCCACTTGGTCCAGAAACTCTGAGTATCAAGTTGCACAACGTGAAGCCTATGAGAATGCTAACGTTCTCGTAACTGGTCAACAGTCTAATCATCGTCCTTTTGTTGATAACCCATTCAAGTGTGGACGACAAGGAAGATTTATGCATTTATCCAAGACTTTCCTCATCGACCAAGACTTACCCGAAAATCAATTTGGAGATTCTGGTAAGACGAACAGTTCCACCGAAATTTTGTTTTTCAAGTATGACAACTACAATACTTAGTTTCTTCTCTCTTTCATTGGTATTATACGCACAAACACGGAGACCAGGTATGAGATGATCATGATGGAATTATAAACCTGAACGTCAAATGTTAATCTGGAAATGTTTGATTAAAAAAGGGGGTAAAAGGCACATAATCATAAACTTCCAAGTCTTCAACAGACTGCAGCTATATTTTTAGAATACAATATTCATCCAAAATCATTATCGAATGATCCTCTACTTTACAAGAAATGAGGATATTGCCATGCTGTCACTTTCAAGGGTAGAACTCATTTCAATCTAACTATATTATATCGCCTATTATATATCATATTCTTCTACAATAAGACTCATAATTCTCTTGCTCAAAAGGTGACGCCTAAAAATATTAAATTATACTTGGCTGAATATCTTCGCAATTTTGTTAGTAATTTGTAATTTTAAACAACTATTTCTAAGCATTTATGCTTCATTTATTTCCATGCGTAATTTCATAAAATTGTATGATACAATTATATTTTTTTGTTTTGTTCGATGAAGGTAAAGTGATTGCCCGTCAGTTTGCCAAACTACGTTGGGGTGTGTTTGACGAGGATTACGTGCCAGGGACCGATGCTGAACCTTACTACCAATCGAACGCCATAACAGGTGACGGCTTTGAAGGAACACGATGCTCTTCGGAAGTTCACGGAGATCTCCTTGATGAAAATGAAAGTCCATGTGGGCAAAATACGTTTGGGGATTTACCCGACTCTTGCAGATTCGTGACCCCTGCCAATGGCATTGGGCAAACCGCCAAGGCATCTTTAATGTTTGCATCCAATATTCACTCGGTAAGACTTAATTCTTATAAAAGAAACAACAGGAATAAAACTTGGTGTATTTACACAAACCGTTTCGTTGAGATGTTTTGCTTATGCAAGCATACATGAGTATGCATTTCTATTGTCATTTCACTTTTCTCTCTATCTCTCTCTCTCTCTCTCTGTGCAAATAAATGCTAAAGCCATGCATCGAACCATAACTGAACAAAAGGCATATTGTGGGGCGTCAGGAGTGTAAAGTCTGACAGACATGAGCGCTATACAAGAACCCACTATTGTTCTTGTTATTATATTCTAAAGAGGTATGAATAGTGAAATCTGGCAAGTTGAGGGACTTTCCCGTCTGGAGTTATGCTCAAAGATATTATAGTCCCTTTGTTTGGTTTGACTGATTTTAGAAAAAGGAAATTAAAAATAAGTGGCAATGTCAAATATTTGCACTGCGCAAATAAGGGATCTCTGAGAGAATGAACAAACTTCGAGGTCGACATTTCAGGCATTATTTAGACCAGATAATCCTTTTGAAATATTCAAATACGAACCTCGGACATGCTCCATTTGTGAGGAGATCATTACTCATTTAACTTTTTATTACCAAATCTAAAACCAAATCTGAGCCCGAAAACTCGCAAAGAAAGCGTTGTAGAATTTTGGTTATAAAGGGGCAAGTCCACTCCAAAAAATTACTTTCAATAGAAGCAGAAAAATCAGACGAGCCAATCAAAAAAGAGTTTGACCAAAATCGGATAACTAATAAGAAAGTTATGAATCTTTAATGGCAAGAAAATTTTTGAAAATCACAAGACAAATTGGCAACTCACCCATGAGTCTGTGACGCCACGTCCTCACTATCGACTAATTATTTTCTTCATATTGATAATATAAATTTCTATTTTCCCCATAAGAATCTTATTTATTCACACCAGCATCCAAGTTCGATTTATTTTTGTGGATCCACTAATATAGAGTAATTTTATTCCAGTTAAATCATGAAAAATGTGAATATTTATAAACTATCTATATAAAAGTCAATAAATATGAATATACAATATTCAGAAAATAGTATAAATTCTTCGAAGTTCATAAAAGATTTTGTAAAATGTCATGCCCCGGGTGTCATGCACGCAATATGATACAAATAATAACCTGGGCAAAGGCATGGGACAATCAAGTTTTGGAGGATAAAAAGGGATATTAATGGGATTAAACTATATAAAGCAATTGATAAATAGTGAGGACGTGACGTCAAAAAACTGATAACCAAAGTGGCAATTTGTGTAGTGATTTCCATTGTTCCATAATTTTACATACTTTTTCAAAAATTCATAACTTTCTTATTAGTTATCCGATTTTGCTCAAACTTTTTTCATCAGTTTCTCTGACTTTTCTGCTTCTATTAAAAGAAAGTAATTTTTGGAGTGGACTTGTACTTTAATTGTCGTTATTTGGGACTTTTAGATTGAGTGGACGAGAACGGCGTGAACGTCCACTGATCATGCGTGTCCAAGGCAAGCAGTTTTAACATTTTCCTATTTCCAGATATCAAGAATTGGATTATTGATATCAAGAAATTATTTTCTGTTGTAAAGCACTGGTAATTGTTAATATTAAGAAATTATTTTCTGTTGTAAAGCAATAGTAATTCTTGATATAAAAAATAGGAATAAATGTTAAAACTGCTTGCCATAGACACGCATGATCAGTGGACGTTCTCGTCCACTCAATCTAAAAGTCCCTATTAAGAACATTGGACTGTAGATCACTAATAAGAGCAGAATCAAGTACGGACGTCAAATCCCTGCATTCGTTTCAATTTCACACTTCTCCCGGCATAGGTAAATCCATTCATTAAAATGAACATTGATTTTCTTCCATTCAATTTGACAACATATTTGACAACTGTTCAATTCATAAAGAATTTATACGTAGGAACATAAATATAATTAAACAACTTGTATTACAAGGAAGAAGGCGCGAACTGGAATAAATTCTTTGAATGCTCGAATACCGAATCATGGTAGAGAGACTAAGCTTAAAGCTACTGTACTTGAATGTAGTACACTTAATTTATCACTAAATTGTACACGATGAACCGGGAGTAAAATAACAATATAGCACACACTTTACTCGGTTATGATAATATAATGGTATTCACTTTTTTGTATCATTTCATTTCAGTGTGGCTTATGTTCATCCAGAAGAGCTGTTCATTATTTATTATTATTATTAGGACACCTACCCCTGGACAACTATCCTAGGGGGTAGTTGTCCGGGTGTTAGTTGTCCGGGGGTAGTTGTCCAAGGGGGTAGTTGTCTTTAGGGGTAGTTTTCCTAGGGGGTAGTTGTCTTTGGAGGTAGTTGTCTGGGGGTGGTTGTCCGGGGGGGTAGTAAGAGCACTTTTTTTGGGGGGGGGGTCAAGTTTTTGAGGAACAATTTCGCAACGGTTCATAGGGCTCATGGCATAATGCCATCAAACCAGTTGTAAACTAGATAACTTTGTTGACAATGGACACTTAAACCCCCTTTAAAAGGTTTTGAAAGTCAAGTTTGATTATTTCTCTCTCGTTATGGCATAATTAACATTACGTTGATTGTCATTAGAAGGTGTCTATATTCTTTTTTTAAATAGTTGTTACGATTTTAAGTCATGGACTGGCATTACATCAAAATAAGGGGCAAGGTCAAAAGGATAAATTTGCAAAATGAATTGCTCTTGTTGGGCTCTGCATCCTTCTTTCTTTGGAGAGTGTAGGACTGTTATGGAGTGCATTGCATACAAATACCAGAGCTTACTAGTGAATTTTGCAATGTTTCCATGGCTGAAAAATCGTAAGAAACATAGGATTAATTTTATATTATTGATGATACTTGAGCTTCCATACCTTTTCGAGAGTTTTCTCATGAAATTGTCCCACTTCTTCTTAATTTTCTAAATGCACAGATTGACATGTTCTGCCACAACGTCCGAGGCCAGGCGGGGTATCATAATTACGAGGCTCCTAACCTACAGAATAAGAAGTGCGACTATCAAAGCGTTTGGGAAGTGATGGGGAAATCGACTGATTTCCTGTATGGAAACAGTCCTTCCTTGCCTGAGGATACCGACACATCACCAAACTTTATTGTCGTGCAGCCGTCCGGATCTCTGAGGATTGTTCTTGTTTTAGATACCAGTGGTTCCATGGATGTAAGTGTTCATCTCTCTAGGCTAGTAATAATCACTTTGCATAAAGTACCTTCTATTGTGAGAAAAGACACGATGGTGCAGAACAATCGTGCTCCTCAGAGCCATTTATACACAGAGTTTGAGCAAATTAGTCTTACTTGTTCACAACATGGCGTAAATAAATATATATATTGCTTGCTTAAAACAATATATACAAATGAAGTTTGAACTTAATTATGTTTGATTGCATCCAATGAATACAATCAAAGGTTATGCTTTTGCAACTAATACTTGTAACAGGAGTGTGATTTTATATCACCAACTTACTTCTAAACACGATGCTTTGTCCATATTTACATAATCTAACCAATTTTCTATTTGTCAGTTGTAAATATTTTAATACCATAAGTTGTAGTTATAATTGTCTTTGTTAAATCGCGACTTCATAATTATGATACTGATTAAGATTAGAATGATATTGCCATACGAGAATTTGACACTAACACCGTCAATCTCTACAATTATTCATTCATTTTCTTCCTCTTAAACCTGCCGTCAATGTCTCGTAATGTTTGAGTAGACAATGTTTTATTGATTTGATGCCTCTCCTCGTGGATTGTATCACAATGGTGTTTATTCCTCTGCTTTCTAAATAGGGGGAGCGTTTTGACAAGATGATCAGAGGGGCCAAGAACTTCATCCAGAGTATAGTACCTAATAATAGTTACGTGGCCATTGTCGAGTTCAATTACGAATCCATAGTAGATTCTTACATGACTGAACTCACCAGTGTCATATCGAGGAAAGACTTGGCGTCTCTACTTCCAACGTTAGCCGACGGAGCTACATGTATTGGTTGCGGCATTGTGACGGCTATCCAGGTAACGATAGCAATATTTTGATCCATATCTAAAGAAAATGTGAAATGGCCTATGTTAAATGTATGAAAGTTTAACTTTATTTTAAACAATGAAGTATACATAATGTAATTGGCTTCATATGGGGCAGGGGCGGTAGTCGATATATTTTGGAAAAGAAATCACTTTCCAGACACAATCATATTTAATGACATGCGTACCCTACCTCCTCGAAAAAGCCTCTCATATTCTAATTTGGCTTAATAGGTTCTAGGACAATTACCCCCTGGAAAATCACCCATACCCCGGCCAGAGGGACAATTAACCCCAAGGACAATTAACCGCTGGAAAATTACACCCCCTTCCCCCCGAGGACAATTATCCCCCGAAAAAAAATTATGCTTTTATTTAAACCAGCTTATCATCCGGTTACGCTTTCCCTTTAAAGTACAGGGAAGATTAATTTTTCGGGGGGGGGGGGGGGTAATTGTCCATTGGGGTAATTTTCAAGGGGTAATAGTCCTCAGGGGAGGGGGTGGTTGTCATGGGGGGGGGAATTATCCGGGGGGGTTATTGTCCTTTGGGGTTAGTTTTCCGGGGATGATTGTCCTGATACGGGCTTGATAACATGTGCTTTAAAGGGCAAAACAAACTTTGCTATGAGATCTTTTATGTTATTTTTAAAGGTAAAATTAACGATACTATCTTTTTAAAAACCTATTTTTGGGCCAGGGGATGGGCCCGGGCCCCTGGGCTCCCCTGGATCCGTCACTGGCATGGTCTGCCCTGTCTTACCGGGTTAAATGTCAATCCTTGCTGGCTGTATTATACAGGATGGCAACCAAAGAAAGCCAACCTGAGACCTGTCGTTGACAATGGTGATCTAGGGTGTTGTTCTTTTGGGCCACCCTGTGTAACCCTAATTTCATTCAATGTTGTCCCTGCTGAGCCCTTCTTTATTACAACAAGAGTAAAGCCTTTTATCGAAAATACAAGCAAAGATCATTTGCAATAGTATTTGAATTATGGCTTCATGGTCATATTAAAACTTTACAATGCATAACCACAGGTTGCCCAATATAATGACATGGATTCCCGAGGTGTGTATCTCATTCTTCTCAGCGACGGAGAGGAGAATCACGGAACTCCAATAGCTGACACTATGGATGACATCGAAGGTTCAGGGGTTATTGTGCATTCAATCGCCTTTTACGAAGCCGACACCCAGTTGGAAGACCTAGCCCAGATGACAGGCGGTATATCGGCAACGTGTGCTGACGGAGGGAGCGCACAATGCGTCATCTCCGCCTTTGTGTCAATTATAGCGCAAAGGCCACAGAGTGTTGCCGCTTCTGCACCAATACAGGTCAGCATATGCTTGAATAAGAACAGGTTAAACCTTACAACCTCATTTTAATTTTCTTTTGATTTTTGGTTTTGGTTTACACAATATAGGCTTATATTTGTACATTTCATTTTTACGTATAATTCTTTTGTGACTTTTATACATACTCGGAATGTTTAAACGAGGTGTTTTCCTAAAGTAATAGGAATGATCTATTAATGATAATACCAACTCCGCTTTGTATAGCGCTTAATACATCTACGTATGATGTCTCTAAGCGCTTTACTGATATACTATTACCCCGGTCATTGAATTCAATACTTGCCCGTACACACTGTGTGCACAATCTCCACTCCCTGGGGAGCATTCCAGCCAGGCGTTACTTGACGCTCAAAAACTGTTTGACCAACAATGCCGGTCGCATCCTACCGGGTACCCATTTAACACCTGGGTTGAGAGGAGCAAGTGCAGGTAAATATCTTGCCAAAGGATATTAGTGCCGTGTCACTCTATATGGGGAACAAAATAAGATACTGTATTTTTTGACCAGCTTACCATCCACATTACACATGTTACAGGTTCAGAGTTCAACTATTACACTAGATGTAATATCCCTTAGTTCGATCCACACTACCAATGTGATGATCGACGCTTTTCTAGGACTGAACACTGTCATGACAATTACATGGACGGTCAACCCCATCATCTCTGTCACAGTCAGAGGACCAGATGGTACCGTTATAAATAGCACTGATGCAAGATATGAGGCTGATAGCATCTCTAAGATTATCACCGTCACCATCGAAGAGGCAGAGGTATAATAACTTAAAATAAATTGTTAATTCCATTATTTCATTATGATACCTCTCCTGAATTTAGATAGCAGTTGGTCTCTTGTGCTTTCATTTGTTTGTTTGATTAACACATGTTGACGATTTGCTGTTTTTTTTCAACCACCACCAAAGGCAACGGGCCGGCTGGTTGTGCGTATTATAACCAACACCAAAAAGCCAACAAAAAGCCAACATTGGCATTGGCTGGAATAAAACGTAAATGGCGCTATCTCGTTTTTTCAACGGCTGGTTCAAATTATCGAATATTTATGGGGCCCCACAAATATTAAAAATTGTTATATTTATGGATATTTCAGCCCTCTCTGAACAGATTTTGATCAAACAAGGATGATTTTGTCATAAAGATTGTATTGTTTTTCAAATTTGACTCAGTTTGTCATTATCTCACACACAAAAACATTGTGTGTAGCGCCATCTTTTTTTAAGCGCCCTCTTTACCAAAACTCAGCTTTCGGGAAAATACTATATTTCCCTACCCTTTGAATATAAGGCTTCTACTTTCGTCAACAAACGTATTTTTTAATATAACAATTCTTTTTCAATTTGTGACCTTTGTCCAAATCTAATTTAGGCAGGTGTATGGAGCATTGAAATCAGTAACGACGGTAACAGTCTCGTGGAATACGTTAGTGTGAACGTGATTTCTAAACCTCGTTCTGAAGATGTTCACCCTCCGGTCGTAAATAGCTTCTTAGGGACATCGGTACGTTATAAATCTTGTTCCCAATAATTTATTCTGTCTATCTGTCTCATTCCCATAATGTTTCCCGTTCTTTGCGCCTCTCTCTGTCTCCCTCTCGCACTGCGTGTTTTTTCTCTCTCTCCTTCTTTCTCTATCTTTCTATGTGCCCCTCTCTCTCCCCTCCCTCTCTCTCTCTCTCTCTCTCTCCCTCCCTCCCTCTCTCACTGTGTGTATATCTTTTTCTCTATCTCTCTTCTTTTTTCCCGTACCCTCTCGTTCACAATTTTCCCTCCCTTTATATACCCTTCTATTTCCCTTTCACCCCTCTCTCTTTCTCTCTATCACATTTTTCTTCTTCTTATCTTTCCAATAACACATTATAGGACACAGTTGCACAGGCATCCATATGCATTGAAGAATGAGCCGCCATTTTGCTCATTATACTCTTTCGCAGTGTACAATATTCTCTTTGAGCTTTATAGCAGTGGCATATCAAGAACTAGTAATCTATGTAAACCGTTATACAATATCTTTATAATTATGTATTCATGCAGCATCTAGTATAGTATTATTGACTGCTTTGAGAGAAATAGTTTTTTTTATACGCTCAAGGGAAGGTTAGAATTGTGCTATTGCCCGAGGCGTATTTCTCGAATATTAAAGCAGTCCTTAATACTTTTATATGCCGAAAAAATTATGACACCACCTTGGCCTTTCTCTAGTTTATCTGCACGGTTGTTTTTAATGAGTGTTTCTTCGAGAGTAGACTACTACTAGATCTAGATTCTAGTCTAAGCAAGATATTTTTACAATTTTAGGGGTGGGCCGGCCCTGTGGTGAATATGGAGAAAAACCTGCGCTTTCATATGACACCTCACTTATTGAGTATCACCTTCAGGATCACGAGCAATATTAGTTTGAATCTCTGGTAATTAAAACATCGACCAATCTAGAATGATCGAGTGCGCATTGGCCAATGGAAATGCATAGATCTAGGGATGTGTGTAATCTCTACGGGAAGGATCTGCATCTGTCCGTGACGTACAAATCACTACAATCACCAGCATCTGGTTGTCGCGTACTAGAATCTAGATCTAGATCTAGGCCTACTGAAAAAAAATTATGGAAGATTTCACGTACCCTTTTTGGTGTTCTTGCTGTCAGCATGTCTCGCATTTGATCCTCATCCAGAAGTTGAAATCTTGGGAGATTTTCTACAGCCATTTTTGAATTGTTTAAATCGAGATATATTGCCGTACTAAAAATGCCGACCAATTCTTCGCACACGTACGGTATCCGCGATCGCTCAAACCATTTTTTAACATGTAAACCTTTGGGTAACCATGGTTACTGGGATTTTGGAACTATTTTTTAGAACTATTTCCCGGTAACCATGGTAACTGGGATTTTAGAACTATTTTTTTAAACTATTACATGGGTTTGGAATTTTACCGGGAATTTTAAAGGAATAGTTAAAGTTTATGAATGCAATTTCGACCAATCAGATGGCTGGATTTCTTAAGTGAGGTATATAAAATCTATTATTATATGTACATGGTTGTAATTGTGCAAAAGTATAACGTTTTTTCTGTTAATCTGTTACCCACTCCTTTCAGATAGTAAACTACACCACTGCTCCCCTGTTAGAGGTCTATGCCTATGTCCATATCAACTACGAACCCGTTAACGACGCTACAGTGATTGCTGAAGTAGTCAGCTCGACAACAGGGAATGTGACAACCCTTTCGCTACGTGATAACGGACTAGGTTAGAAAGAAACAATCCAAGATGTTAGAAGCAATCTTAGGTTATATTTTTTGCATAAAACATACGATTAGTTGTTAACTTTTAAGAAAAGCTGTAATTTATCAGAAACTATTGGGATAAATCCGAAATCAAAAAATGTAATCTTCACAGCAAGCGGTATACTGCTATAAAAAGGAATGTTATGAAAATGATATACACTTTTGAGTGAATCTTATGATACACAACATTGAGTCTCCTGTCATAAGGTAGAGATAGTTAGGAGAAAGGGGAAGAGAGAGAGAGAGAGAGAGGGGGAGGGGGCGCTATAGGAGAGAGGAAGAGTCAGCGATTGAAACATGAACTCCCTTTAATAGGAGAGGAACGAACGTATCGTGTGTGTGAGGGGGAGGCGTCTTACATGTATATAAACAAATTTAAATTCGAAAAAGCATGTGTATAATTACGTGACGCAGTCAAATTCAGCGATGTATTTTTCTTTTGTGTACTATATTCAGGAGCTGATTTAATCGCAGGTGATGGTATTTACTCAGCTTATTTCCTTGATTTCTCATCGAATGGACGATATGGCGTCAAGGTAGATGTAAACGGAAACACCGCCACATCGTCAGACAGTGAGTTTTGTCATATTCATGTACCTACCATTGTTAGCGGCCATCTATCTTCCAAGACCACCTGTCTAAAGTAGCCACCTTCATTATTGGCTCCTCGTCTAGAACTTGTAGCGTCTGTAGAACCTTAAAGGGCCACCTGTCGGCAGCGGCCACATTTCGGAACATCCCCCTCCCCCCTCCTCCTCCTCCTGGCAGTGGTCCTTATAAACTGGTTGGATTGGTTGGAATGTAGACTGTGGACACTTGTTTATTCATATGTATTTTAATGTACCGTGTATGGACATGCTGAAAAACAGCTATGCCCAGCTGGAAGCATGTTTTTTATTCACTGTATTAAATAAATAAAAAAAACGAAATAGAAACTTGCACAGGGTGTAAAATCTGTTTCAATATAGAAAGTTTGGATGTTGATTGTAATATGGATTGATTGAATAGGGGTCATGGTCTAGTGGATACGTCACCGGACCCTGGACCACAATAATTGGTTCGCGGTTCAATTCCCACCGTGGCACTATTTTCCTTTGTCAAGACACTAATATACATCTGTCACTCTCCACCAATTTGAGGTAAATGGGATTCCCGATAGGAAGAAATTTGTGCTTTAACGCCTTATTATGTCGGCTAAACTACAGCCTGCATCACAATTTGATAATTTGTATATAAATGTACCTATTATTAATTAGTATGATCCATACCATGCACAAAGCACGTTTGAAGTTCTGAATTATTATTGTGTTATACTGCAGTCACGCCGCCAAACCGACTCCAACACGAATCCAAACCGACCGTGCTTTTACCATTTGAGATAATATAATCTTCTGTTCGGTCTGTAGTCGGTCTGGCTGGTATCGATCTCGTTGAATGTTTGAATGTAAATCCTCTTGAAGAAATCAAATACCATCTGGAGGGAATTAAGAGACATGCAGTTGTATATCATTATGCCAGTTTTCTTAAATAGAACTGTATGAAGGGGAAATTGTAAATCTTAAAGAGTTTTCTTGCAAGGAGAACTTCAATTACCTAAAAAATTGGTTACCATCTACAATCAAATTTGTCAACTCTTTGCTCTTTGTTTCCATTCTTGTTCTAGATACTCTGCGATTAAAACGAGATGTGGAAACACTAACCACTCCCGCCCCGTCGCTTTTGTTCCAGCGAACGACTACAGCGGGCGTCTTTCAAGTCGAAAACTACTCTCCTGATCTGTCTTTTGACATCCTCGCACCATCTAAGATCACTGATATCACTAGCAGAGAGAGAACATACGATGAGAATAGAAATGTGACATTGACGTGGTCGGCTGTAGGGGATGATTTAGACCAAGGAACAGGTAAATATCCCTCTCTTTTTCATGCGGCAGGAACATTGCTGGTAGAAAGTGGAGAGGTGTGAGAGAGGTGTCAACACATTTGCCAACAGTTTGGCTGATGTTTCCAACGAGCAAGGATATAAGGATAAAATCAGGTCCTCGCAATGTCAAATTTACCTACAGCTGTCTTTCATTTTGTTCACTACTCATGTTATTTTCATACAACGAATTAAGGGTGAACAAAGATTTATTGTACAATTCTTTCGGACTTTTTGTTCTGTTGGCATAGCTCGAACATAAGACTAGTGAAGTATTGTAGTTCAGTTTTACGTTGATGTAGAAAGCAATCATGACAAAAGCATATAGTTTAATAAAGTATCTATCTTGAGTTAAGAAGTGTTTTTTTGACAGTTTGACATTTGGTTTGATCTTTTCTTCCTCCGTCTCTTCACTCTAGCTGCCTACTACGAGCTCCGTTTCTCAGATAGCTTCACCCAAATCCGAACCAACTTTACATCCGCTCCTGCTGTTAACGATACCGATCTCATACTTGGTAACCTCTCCCGAGTCGCTTCATCTGGTACTCTCGAGTCCATCACTATTCTTCTGCCTGGTGAGGACTCAAACGCTATCTTTTCATTCATGATAAGAGCCTGGGATGAGGCTGGCAACGCAGGTCCTTTATCGAACATTGTATCTGTCTCAAGACGTTCCCTACCCCCGACTACCATGCCGACTACCATGCTGACTACCATGCCGACTACCATTCTGAACTCGACATTGGAACCCCCATCCACGCAATCACCTGGAGTAGCACTACCAACATGGGCTATCATTTCATTATGCTGCGTCGCACTCCTCATCGTACTCGCTGTTTCTATTATATTCAGTGTAATCTGTGGGCGTCGCGCACCTAAGAATGCAAGGAGGTCGGATAATGATCACACTAATGCTGCTTATGTGTCTGATGAACCGTAGCATACAAAATGTAGATGAGTTAAAGGAGCTACACAAAGAAAATTTACTAACAACTGATAATTAGAACAAATTACATATGGATGGAAAGATTTTCTCTTGAAAAACACGAATAATTTGCTGAGAAATCATATAGATATCATGGAAAGGCGTAAAATGCAATTTTCAAGACCCTTCTTAGACCCCCAAGCGCCCCCGAACGTAAGCTAAACACACGAGCGTAGCGAGCTCTGAATAGTGACGTCACACCCTGGACAAACAACTCGGTACCGGCCGCATACCGGAGTCGCGCGTGTATTAGTCTGCAGCTAGCCAGCCGTGTCCCGTGTGTGACGTCACAAATATTGACGCTCTACAAAGGACCGCTGAAGGCAAAAAATCTGGATCTCAAAACTAACATTTTTGAGAGTTGATTACTGCGGGCCTGAAACATATTTTGAAGAGGAGAGTTGTTGTATTTGATCAGTAAGGCTTCACCTTTGCAATGATATGAGTTTTGCATCAATTTCTTCGACCTTCTTTAAATCTTTATCGTTGAGACGGTCTACATAGAATCTCATTGGTATCTTTTTATTTTGAATATTGTACTCCATTTTTGTTCTTCATTTACACGTAGTTAACTGTCTACCTGTTATAATTTAATTGAGTAAATGTCATTTTACAAGGTAAATTTAGATAAAATGCTGTGTGATGTTATACTTTGTTATCAGTTAATAATGATAATAATAATAGTGGGTTCTTGTATAACGCCCATGTCTGTCATACGTTATACTCCTGGCGAGTTACAACTCCAACAAAATGAAGCACCATACTACAATCATTTTGAAGTAATAATTAGTAATTACAGTTTAGACTTACCTTGAACAATATTATTCTAGACTTAAATCGTGCTCAATTTGTAATGTTTATGTTGCTTTATAATGAAGCCTTTGCTAGGTATTTCGAAAGACTTATTTTGCTTGCAGTACATCTTACCTTCTTTGAGCATATCGATTTTTAGCACTGCTGTTCACCTTTTACCTAAAAATAAAGATACTTATATACAGTTTGCTATCAGAAGATCGGTTCAACAACACCATTTATATAGTTATGTCATTTTACCTTAATACTTTTGTAACCAAGATTTTGTGGAGCTTGTTTTATTTTGATGTTATATTAGCGTTTCATTTAATCTCAGCGACTTTTAGTTATTCTCCTGTCAAATATCAAAGTTGGAAATAAGTTAGATATTCGGCAAAACAGTTTCAATCTCTTTCCATTTCTTTGCTTCTCCATATTAATCAATCGTTCGTTATTGTTACTTACATAGCAATGAATTACATCATCCTGTATGAGGACATGCGTGTAACGCTGGTTGTCCTGTCGGGTTTGATTGTAAATGTTTGTCGTCAATAATGTCGTATTATCAAGCAATCTGCTTACAATGAAAGTCCTTCTTCCACAAATAATTTTATAATTGTGTTATACTGTTTGAGGAATATTAGTATCTGCGACAGTTTATCATTTCGTTTTTTGAAAATAACAGTTTATATATTTATATATATATATATATATGTATATATATATATATATATGTATATATATATATGTATATTCTAATTTATGATTCATTGTCAGTAAAATACTTATTGTACTTTATATTATTGTTATCGAAAAAGTGTAAACTTACATGAATGCAAAAGAAAATCAAATCAAATCAAATGATATAATTAACTTGATTAAAGAGAAATCGGTGTACCGGTTTTTTTCTGCTTATGAAGGCATACATGAAAAAGCAAAGGTCATTTTACAATATCATAGTTTATGCTAAAATATTCTTATTCGAACGGATTATCATTCCACTGAAGAATTAGGGGCGTCGGAGCATTTTTCCAAATGGGACACCAACAAAAGAGACATGATTATGATTCATACCCCTTTACTGATTATGGTTCATACCCCTTTAATTTAGTTAATGTATTATTATATTTTTAAAGACATTTTAATGTTTCTGTCTTCTCGTGTTTCAGCATCATGCATTATGGTTGTGTGCACTGGCCTCATGATTCCTTAGAAAACAATAACATTTTCTTTTCTAATGGTGAAGGCCACAGCTTATGTTCTTATATCCCAGAACAATTATCAATATTACGCATTTTAAGAATTTTTGTTTTCTTTCTACACTGTCGCTCATGAAGGTGGAATATTTTAGTTTTACCCCAATTTATGGAATTATTTTAAAATTATTTAAAAATAATAGATCTAGATAATAGTATACATTCTCAGATTTTATTGATTAATAATTTGCCAATGTGGGTTTTGCGGGACTGCTAAAGCATGTGTATGCTACAGTATGCTTATCAACTAGGGGACCTATGCCCTTAAGTCATAAATGACAGTAATGAGGATTAATGCCCCACAAAAGGGCACTAATATAGCACATCGACACGGTTTTGATCCTGGGGCCTTACAGTTACGAGGCCATTGTTTTGTCACTGAACCATGACTGTACGCAGTGGGGGCTAGGGTAGGGGACAGTTTCCATAAATTTTAAAAAAAAACAGAAAATGCAATAAATTTTCAATAATTTATTGCATTTTACCCTGGTACCCAACATAAAAAAAAATCCTCTGGACGGCCATGCATTATGACTCAAGGCAAAATAATTCCATAAATTGGGATAAAAAAAAAATATTCCACCTTTATGAGCGACAGTGTATATCGGATAATTGCAAATTTATTTCGAAAAATTATAAATTATTGTCAATATATACATCGATAATCTTTAAAGCTTTGTACATGTCTATACTGAACAACCGATTTATTGAAATTTATGATAACTTTTTTTAGTTTGCTCGGTTCATTGGATGTTTATTGCTACCTATGTTAGTTTTTATCTGTACATTTATATATGTACGATTGAAATAAACACAATTTATCAGTTCCAATACTAAATAATGGTCAATTAATGTTTTCAGTTAGAATTGTATGCACTTGATAAGTAGCTAAACAATTAAATTAAATAAATCAAAGTTTAAAAAAGATTAATAAACATAATTACTAATATTTGTATATGTATATAATAGCACTGAATAATTAAACTCAATCATAAATCCAATTCCAATAACAGATCTAAGAATATAGGATGTAGAATACTGCTTTAATATATATATGTATATATCTTTTAACATTGTCATGTATAATTTAGAATCAAATGGTCATATTAGTTTATACAAAACAAATTGAGATAACACAATAAAAACAAATGTTATTTGTTGATTGCTATGTTTTATATTTGTCAATGCTGATGGCCTTTTTTCTCATGCACTCTGTAAAATCATCGCAAATCAGCTTAGCCGCAGTGATATTTTTTTTTAAATCAATAAACCATTTATCTATCTATCTACCATAAATCAATATGCGATGATTTAATTATTACAGTCTTATTTATTACAATAATATTTAAGGTGATGTGTAATCGTTTGATTTCATTTTTATACAAGAAGCTTGTCATATAAAATGGGCCACTACTCAGAAAGTTGAAAGGGAAACTTCTGGTAATCCTATTAATAAATGATATAAAATGGGCACATGCAGATCTCCCTCCCCTCTCTGGGAGCATGACTTTGTGGACTTAACTTTTTGGCAGAGAATTGTGAAGACAAACATCTTTCTTGAGGGGAAAATTCTCAATCATGGCTAAGAATCCCACTCTCCTGAGTTTGTTTGTGTGTGCTCGGGAATTTTTGTGGGTCATTATGCATGTGCGTGCGTGTGTGTGCGTGTGTGTGTGTGTGTGTTGTGTGTTTGTGCGTGCGCGATCGCGCGCGCTTGCGTAAATTAGTGTGGGCGTGTGCTCGTGCTAGTATGTGATAGCTATCGCCCCCCCCCCCCCCACTCCTCGTTACAGACTTACGCCCCTGTAAGGAATAAAATCATTTGGAGTGTCTTGCTGAAGTAAAAGTTTACAAAACACTGTTTTGAAATAACGAAGTCCCACTGTTCTTTATATTACTGTTATTAATTTATTTTCTTTTTAATAAAAAAATAAAAAATACAACCAAATAAAGATAGAGTTTTCCAGTGTAACATAGAGGGAATTGTTTTAAATGAAAAAAGTAAGAAAAAAATCCTTCATATTTCATTATCAATATTATGCACAAAATTATATACCGTAGCTCTCCCGTGGAGATAAATAATTATTAAGTTGACATTTTTTTTAGCGAACAATAAGTTTACATAGTGCCATATTTTAGTTTTAGTTTTAAAACTGGGGAACAGGAAAGAGGGAAAAGGAACTTCCTTTTTTCGTTTTATGCATATAACTAGGTGACAAAAAATTATAATGGGCAGAAGAAGAATAAAAATAGCAATATACATGATATAGGCTTTTGTTTATCTAACAAACTAATAAGGATTTTTCAAAATGAATTATGAGAAACAAGAATCACAACTTACGAAAATGACATCTTAGTTGATCCAGCCATGCAGATAGGGAAGTTCCTACCCACCCCGGGCGCAGGAGCTCGGATAGCTCTTCGCTGTTTTAGACATTACTGTTCAGGATACTGACATTATGGATATGGCCATGGGACGGAAAAAACGGGTAAAAAACCCGATTGCCATGATAATCATAACTGGCTCTTCATAACCACAATGTGTGTAGTCAGCAATGTATTAATACACAGGCCAGTAAAGTAATAGTCTGATTTTTCAGACCATTGTACTGAATAGTCGTACGTTTTATGCTGCGCAAAGATTCAATCAGTTTAATTTTGGCCATCACAAGAAGTGGAATATTGATGTAGACAAATGCTCATGTACCCTTTATAGATCATTTTATGTATGTTATTACCAAAGATGAAAAAAGCAAGTCAGTCATGCAATAGTGTCTGACAGTGAAGTCTAGGAAGTAAACGGGTTTCCTTGCATAATTTGAATATTAGGACACTGCTAACGTTTAAATTTCACAGATAGGACATACATGACATATTCATAATTCCTGCAAAGTTCTACAGAATTTGATGTTGGCTGCAAAAGGGACATAGTATCTTTAAATGATAGCCATGTGACTCACACGCTTGCAAGGCCGATAGTTGGACGCTCTTTCCGGGTCGCGTTATTTTTTTCTGCGGCACAGATTGGGGCTTTTTTTAAAAAGGGGTCTTGATTTACAGACTAATAGTGGTCGTGTGCGTACCCGGTGCGTACCTGTAGTAGAGGTCTGTTTTTAATAGTGTTACATGTAATCCACTACCGTATGGAAAATCATTACATCAACAATTAAAATGAAATTGGAAATCTGAAGAGGAGGCAGCACGTCAATAATGAGAACATCACAATAATTAGTCAATAAAACTTAACTAACTTAAACGAAGAGGAATGTTATCTAAACAGACTAAACACATAGTTCGCGATGGATATTCAAACTTCTTCGCAGCGTTATGCGCTAGCGAACATGACTAGTCTCACGTACGTGCAAACACTATTCAGAAGGGAAAGAACGTACTTCCCATAGGTTCAACACGCACCATGCCCCAATCTGTGCCGCACAAAAAAATAACGCTTCCGGGTCTATCCAAAGACCAATCACGGTCTCCTGTCTTGAGGATAGACTATATGGGTATGGACCTCTAACTGATGTCATAGGTAAGTGCAGAGTAGGACTGTTAATAAATGAGAAAGTTTACCACTGGTAAAAATGGCAAAAGTGACCTCTAATTGATGCCATAAAGTAGGTGGAACGTAGGACTACTAGTCAAAATCAAAATACATGATAATTGTTATTTCGTTCAGAGGTCTAGGTACCATTTTCAAAAGACAGGAATTAAGGTAAATACACATTTTTAGAGATTGTTTAAAATAATTTCTAACCCTGTTCAAATATCTGACCCCGCCCACTGTTCTCCAACCCACCCCTTCCTACATTCTGACCCTCTTTAATTATACGATTCTGTTTTTTGGTCTTCGACACTTCTTTCTCTCCCCATGTATGTGCTTTACCGTCATGTCTGCAAATTATCACCCACCGCCGCCCTTCCTCTCACTCTTTCTCTCCCCCTCCCATCTCTTTCTATCTTTCCGCCTTTCTCTCTCTCATGCTCTCTCCATTCAACGCCCCCTCTCTCTCTAACTCTCTGTCCCTCTTCCTCTTTTTCAATTTCTCTCTCTCTCCGTGTCCGTCCCTCACTTCCACCTCAATGTGTCACTCTCTCTCTCCTTACCTTTCCTCTATTTCAATATCTCTCTCTATCTCTCTCTTTCTCTCCATCCTTCACCACTCCCTCTCCTCTATCTTCATTTCTCTCTGTGAAGCATACTTTCTCCTTGATAAATAATCCATGTACAAATCAAATCTTGTTAAAGCCTCTCTAAAGTGTTGAGAGCCCCCCAAAATTGATGGCAAAAATGATCTTCAATTGTATAATGAAGATAGTGAAAGAGGATGTCATTTAACACTGACTTCTGCAAGAATTTTCAGGAAATTATCGAAATAGTTCATTACGAGTGATACCCCACCCCTTAATGCAAAGCAAGGCCCTAAAACAGTTGGATTCTTAAAAGTATAAACTTGTGAAATATTGATCCTCCCGAGGTCATGGTCTGGACATGCGATCGATAGACCATCCATCTTTTTCTGAATAATAATTGAATACCAATGCCACTCCATGTTTACTGTACAAAATCACATTACTGAGTAAAGGTGCAGCAAGTTAATTTGGGCTAATTCATATTTATACTAACGATATCAACTGCCTGTTGCTACGATAGATAAGTGAGCTACATTTTATTTGTAATGCTGTGTTACAAAATAGATAAACTTATGCATCAAATGAAAAAGTGGGAATTGGACCCATCTTTACATCGTCAGTCCAAGACGATGTCATCTATTCACAGATCTCACATACATGTAGATCTCTATGTATATATTAGATGTCTCAATTTTTAAACAGAGAATTGGATGTAATGAATTAATTATTTGAAAGAAGAGTCAAGACACTTTGAAGCAGAAGTGAGATTTTCAGAAGAAGATAATGAAGAAGAAAAGAAAAAGAATAGGACGAAAAATAAAGAAGAAGATGAGGAAGTAGACGAATAAGAAGAAGAAAAGATAGAAGTAGAAGAAGAAGAAGAAGCAAGAACAACAATAAAAGCAAATAGCAGCAACAGCAGCCGCATGTATTAGCAGTATAGTTTTAGTAATAATGCTGATGCAGATAATGCTGATAATGATTAAGATGATAATGATAATAATAATAGTAATAACAATGATAATAATGCTAATGATGGTGATGATGATTGGCTTTAATTTTACTTTAAGTCTTGAGGCTTACCTTAAGGATTTAGGTAAAACTGAGACCTATCGCCTGTAATGTAAACTGTAATTTTTAACGATTTGCATTTCCCCTATCCAACTAATATATTATAATTGACAACACAAAGAATTATACATGAAAATATTATAGCGCCACTTTTTTACCGATTAAGTTGCCTTATTCAATATTATTTAAACTGTACAATATATTAAATCATTTCATACCAAAAATTGTGATATTGTAATCATGAAACAATGGACAAAAACGCAATCAGCTGTTTATAATTGCTTTATTTTTTCCCAGAAAAGAAAAACAAGTAGTATTCAACAAATACAATTGAAAAGGCATAATTATGTGGAATATCAATACAAAGACCATACATTATTACGTAGTAATAATATCAATGATACCTTTCCGTCTTATATGGCGCATATCACATTACAATATTCCGTTTATATGCGCTTCCAAGTTCTAAAAAAATTACCTTGTAAAAGTATCCCGGCATTAGCTACGGCAACCGTTATAGGCTCACACTTATGTGTTCGAATGAAATAGTTTTACAAGGTAATACACATTTATCAAGTTTATTTGTCTTCCAGAAAACACGTGTGACAAAATATAATAGAGTATAATCACAACAGTACAATGTAGAATAAAGAAAGACGAGGAGACCTTGGTTGAAGCACAGCTTGTTATAAATTAAGGCCTCCTCATGTGATGTGACAAAGATAACTGATTCATGAATACAACAACAAATATGGAATATATAAAACTATTTACAAAATACTGTCAGAGAACAACTACCCAACGATGCATCGACCACAACATGGATGACTACAACAAGTACCGAAGATGCGCACATGGGAGGGCGATCTAATATAGACAACCCAAGCTGACAACGAATCGAGACATCAATGAGTTATTGCTCTCTGAGTGCAGAGGTCAAGTAGGAATATATGGTATATGTACAGATGGGAAAGAAGAAGAAAAAAAGAAAAGGGATCAAGGGGATTATGTCAAAGTCAAGAAATAACGAAAAATAGATCGAGAGCAGAGTTAAATATGCTACAGTACACACAAAGTAAAGCTTGATAACACATTCATGTGTCATCGACATACTTGTGAATATGAGCCTTCGTTAAAAAAGAAAATAACAAAACGACATGTAATCGTTTTCCTTATACATGTACCATGTTCATAGTAACGTCGAGAGAGGCAAGTATTGATCAAATGCCTAGTCAAATGTCATTGTACGCATCCGGCAAAGATTCGAACCCTCAACCTCCCGATTCAAAGTCAAGGACATGAACCATGACCAATACACATTACAATTGTTAAAGGAGAAAGTGTACATTCGCCACATTCTTATTTCAGATTACTCTCTATAAATATGTTATAAAATTCAATTTTTTTCCAGTATTAATAAACATCACCAGACTTTAACATAAAAACAAAACAAATAGTGCAACACGAATGTATTAGACTACATAAAGTAATATTATTTTTTTTATATATGTTATAATTATTTCTCTATCACCACAAATATGAAACACTTAAAGTATAATTTCTATATAAGAAAATACAAACAAACAAAATGGATAGGGGAATGTGACGTGTTTAGAAACCAGCAAAGCTACACACAAAAGCAGTACAGGGGCGTTTAGTAGGCCCCGGAATACATCATTATTTCATCTGATTTATTTCATCTATAAAAATGCACATATACCTTGTAAGGGACATGTAACAAAAAACATTTGGAATTTGATAGAAAATGTTGGTATTATCTCGTATATTTTCTATTCAATTCCAGATGTTTTGACATATTGACGGATTGTTGAGAGGATCAAACCCCATTACCGTAATAGAAAAAGCAATATGTTGTAATAATGTCAGTATTGAAGGGGAAAAAAACCCTGACCAAGTTTATCATTGTAGCTCATGTGAATTGGGTAAACTAGTTTGATATGTTCTATTAATGTCAATTATAACAAACAGCGTGAAAAAAATTATCATTCAAGTTATGGTTCAGTATTTTGAGCCAATTAGAGATCTGCCACATTGTCACGTGGTAAATATTCAAAAATAGAGAGGTTTAATATATACATGTATCCCATTTCCCGCATTCAATATCTTTATCATGACTTTGAAGAACAAATCTCTCCTATTAGGTAAATGCAAGGGGCACGATGTATACCAACAAAGAGAAAGGGAGAAAGGGAAATGAAAAATGAAAAGAAGTAAATAAAGTCTCCTGCCTAGTTCCCCCCCCCCGTAGGTAGCCTCGACAATTTATACTTCATCCATCTAATAAAATTACTGCCCATCCCAGTAATGCCAGAGGCCCCCGCTACACCACTGCCTTACTGAATGATTATATTCTTGTCTAGATGTCTCTTCTCGGTGCTATGTCTTGAGGGTATCGGGTCCATTTGTCTTGTCCTAACCTGAACGTTGGAGAAGAGAACAAGATTACATAAATATATGTACAAAATATAAAACGGTGCTTTCCACGCCTTGAAAAAGAGTTGAGTGAATTCGTCATCCTTGCACAGTCGATTTGAGAAAAAAATGGGACTTTGTGTAACATTTCTGTACAAAACAATGAGAGTGTAACTCGGAAAACAGCACTTTGTTCAAAATCAAGACTGAAACATTTTGCGCAGACCAATTTTCACGAGCTTTTCGAAATTAGGCAGCGCTCACCCAAGCATAACATATTGTAAATACTTTTAGTGCTATCAATATGCTGATGACACTAGTATATTTTTTCATCTAAAGATTTGAATAATACTGTCCGCGTTCTAAATAATGAGCTTAAGAATATATATGACTGGTTAAAAGCAAATAAATTGTCCCTGAATGTTGACAAAACTAAATGTGTTTATTTTCGAAAAACTAAATATAATATAGGATCTAAAATTTCCCAAATTTCCGATATAGCTAGCAATAACGGTCCTTTAATTAATAACGATAATATTCCCATTTATATTAATAATAAACTTATTCAATTTAGTAATTCCGTTAACTTCTTGGGTGTCGTATTAAATAATTGCTTGGGATTGAAGGACCATATCACAAATGTTTTACATAAGATCAGCAGAAATGCTGGCTTGATAAATAAGCTAAAATATAGTTTGTTACCCGAAAATTTGATAACTTTATATCATTCCATTATTTTTCCTTATTTGAAATATTGTAATATTGTATGGGCCACTAATGCAACACAAACTGAATTAGACTCACTATTTAAAGTTCAAAAGAAACGTTTAAGAATAGCTACCAATTCTCATTATCTAGCACCTTCCGCACCTTTGTTTAAGAAGCTATCGTTATTAAATATATATGATATAAATAAGCAAGAAATCGCAACATTCATGTACAAATATAAAAACAAGTTGTTACCTGCCCCCTTTTCAGACCTCTTTCAATATAATAGTCAAATTCATAATTATAATACACGGCTTTCCAACAAATTTCATTTATGGTCTGTTAAGTCTAGTTATGAAGCTAAATCAATGAGTTATCTAGGTCCTAAACAGTGGAATATGATTCCCCAAGTAATAACGAAATCACAATTCATATCTTCCTTTAGAAAACAATATAAAATCTTACTACTAAATAAGTATTAATCAGCACAGTTGTTGATTTTTTTTCTTTTTTTTTCTAATTTTATATCTGAACCCTCTTTCATTGTTATCTTGTTTTCCTTTCCTTTCTTTTCCCCTTTATATATTGTTTTTCTTCTCTCTATTTTACTTTCTCTTGTCTTATAGGTAGTTGAAGTGTTTGTACTTTGCTTATTTCACTTAATTTATTGTTGTGTGCTTATAATATGTTATATTTCCTTTTGTATTGTTTTTCATTCTTTAATGGGCGATCCAACTTCACAGGTTTTCGCAACCTTCATGGAAAGCCCCGCATATAACCTTTGTAAACATAGTTAAAATTTACTGTTACTTTGTATATTTTGATTTTTATATTGCGAAATAAAATTGAATTGAATTGAATTGAATTGACCCTCACCCAAATTAAGCATACACGGCATAATACACACAAAATCGTATAGTGCTCTTGCCAACAAAATTTGGTCTTAATTTTGAAAAAGGTACTGCTGCAAATTATTTATATATATAAATATATATTTATTTTCAGGGAAAAATTATGAGAGCTCGGTTAGCAGAGGTGTTGTGTTGTACTCTAGTTTCCAGACTGTGAACCATAAGGTACGGGCTTCGAATGCCTATTGCTGGGTAAATGTAATGATGCAACACATTTATCTACATTTGACCAAGGTGTAGGAAGTGGATACCTGGCAGGATTTATTCCTTGAATGCACCGAGCGCCTATGTTTGCCGGAGCAAAAAAAGGGGGTAATAGCATCCAAAGAGTATCCCTTAAGGGCGCATAGAGTGGTTCTATCATTATGTGATACATGATTTACAAGTAAGAAAAACTAATATTGTAAGTATGAGGGAGAAGACATACCTGTTTGACAGTAATCCCCTTTGAAGCCTTCGGGACAGAAGCACTGGAAACTTCCATGGATGTCTCGAAATGTTCCTCCATTCTGGCAAGGGTTACTTTCTGGAAAGTAGCATTGTTCATTTAGCAAAAGTAATGAAAGTATTGATATTCTTTCACCTCAAAATGGCTAAATTGTCTTTAGTTTTTTTGTAATTTGGTGGAGAAAAGCAAAATATTAGCAAAATACCTTGTTCATTTTACAACTTTAATAACGTAATAAAGATCGATATAGGTTTCACAATTTTGCAAATTGGTCGCGCAGAGGTATTTTGTTTTAGTTGTTTCTCTTATTGTTAATATATCAACTGTCGTGCTTTTTTCTTCATAAAAGTTCCCTTTTAAAACTATTTCAACGTATTTCGAGGTTAAAAGAGTTGTCCATGTTTGTTTTTATAGATTAATGAATAAGTTTATTAATGTTTTAATGTTAGAAAAAGATACATATCTCACCTTGAGTCCTTTCTGCTGTTAGATTCACCAAGAATCCACTTCCCATAAGCGAACCGACTGCTCTTCGTTTCCCAGTATCCGACACAAATCTAAACCACAATTTTCGAGTGGGGGAGGTAATATCTTCAGGCAATTCACTTCCAGTCAACTCCACTAGGATTGTGTATCTTACAGGACTCGAGCCGTAGCCCACGGTAAGCGAAGAACCGTCGGCGAGGTTAAAGAAGTCGAAACGCGCCCTCACGCTGTAATCCTGAGGAGCCATTATCCGCCAAATCTCGTGCACGCTGTCGCTTGCATCAAGAGGAAAGTCTGGTGAGCGGAGCTGTTGTACCGCAGACTCGTTCACCAAGATTAGAGGATTGTCATCTGTTACAACAAAAAAGGATTAGCACTAAATGTGGCAGAAATACAGGCATGTTTTGTTCCTACAATAAAAGACATACGAGAATAAATTAAGAAATATTGTATGTTTGTTGTGAAATAATTTTAAGATCATCTGATCATTCTGAAGATTCTTAAATCCCTAAAATTTCACCATGACACAAAGTCGAATCTTATTACCTCTCGGATCCACAGCGTTCAGTGTTGCCATAAATCCAACGTCAGAAATTTCGTAATTACTGGAGAATTTGAGCCACATATGGCGGCCATGTGACGTCACAATCGACCCTAACCCATAGCCCGTGAGCCTCGCAAGCTCTGTGTAACTCAGTGGCGTCAGTCCATCGCCCACAAACAAGATGTCGAAGTTCAATTCTGTAGCGAAGTCGACGATGTCCAGTCTGACGCTGTGGTTGACAGGGGCCGATACCTTCCAGACGATGTTATCACCGATGTCGTAATAAGAAGGGTAATTTGGAGAAGTGATGTTCACTGGGACGGCACGCTCAAGGGTGATTTCATTAACACCCGGTGTTTTTGCTGAAAGAAATATAAATGTAACCAGAATACTTATTATTCTTTTGTTTAATCTAATGAATAACGCCAAAACATATTTTTAAGACCACAATTTCAAGACGGAAATTTAACCTTGAAGTATGACTACTGTGAACTTATAATCGGGAGAATTCTGACTCCTATCGAAGGGCAGGTTGATGTGCTAGCCAGAGGGTCACTTCACTTCACAACTGCTGCTCCCAAACTATGGAATAACCAACCGATATCTCTTCGTAACCGCCAATCTGTCAATACCTTCAAAAATTATCAAAAAATTCTCCTTTTCTGTCAGCAATATAACTGTAAAGCGCATACGAACATGTATATGAAAAATGCGCTATATAAATACATTACTATTTGTATTATTATTATTATTAATATTATTATTATTTAGGTCAAAGGGGCCAGTTGATCATATAAAATAATGGGAAACAGAAGGCTTCAGAAAGCTACAATTGGCCAGTCGCACATACATTCCTTGGTTTAACCTTTAGCCAAAGTCCTCTCCATACAATCCCAAAACATTTCGAAGAATCAACTCCTCAGCAGTTTCAATGGCATGTAGAAATTCATTGGATTAAGTAATAAATCAGTAAAAGGCAAGCACATTTCAGTAGATGGTGGTGGACAAGGCTTTTGAAATAGCGCGTATTGTTTTTTGTTAAGGTTGTTGTTGTTCTTGTTGAAAATCTTCCCATCATATTTTCCCTGCACAAGGGTACTCACCTCCTGAGACCACAGCTGTAATAAATGACTGGAACTGTGAGATTCGGGTGTAAACGCCGGGCAAGAGTGATATTCCGCACTCTCCTCCATAGCTTGTTGTTCCGACCAGATGCCATCGACCATCATCACCCTCACAGGTCAAAGGCCCACCGCTGTCTCCCTGATTTTTGTAATCATGAACACGAGACAGTGAATTTAATTAGATGACTTGCAAACTATCATCATCTTTGAAAGAAATTTGCCCAGGCCCTCACGAAATCTAGCCACTTCAATAGCTTAGGAGACAACATGAAGGTTCCCGATCACTTAGAAATAAAACCCACTACCAACAAATGCGCTGTAGGACAGAAAGGTACAGAAAAAGCCCCATCCCTTTCTTGATTGACATACTAAATACCTCATGAAAAGTATAATAAGAGTGATAATAATAATTATACGATTGCCTTTGATGAATTTGTTTTGTTAAAATTCATTGATGATATCAAGATTGTGGATATTGGTGAACATCGTTATCGATGTATAGTTATTAAGGATGATGTTCGATTTACACATACCTTAGATTTGGATATTGATGAATCTTGACTTTTTCTTTCACCTCCTTCCATTTTCTCTCTTTTACTATATTACTCTTTCTCTCCTGTTATTCTTTCTCTCACATACTACCTTTTCTATCTCATTCCTCCCCCCTCTCTCTCTCTCGCTCTCCCACTTCATATACATATTATGATATACACATCTGCCTTTGCTTTTTTATTGCCTAATTCCTCGCATCCAACATTCTACATATATATATGATGTTTTAAATGTAAATAATAGCCTATTTGTATCTATTTGTGGACTCTGTATAGTGTACATGTATAATTTATCTTTTTTCACTTTTAAGTATTATTTTAAGCATACAACCTTTTTAAATGATGAATTGCATTTTAATTTTACAATATTCACATATCAATATATCATGTATTCGTTGTACCTGGTTTGCTCTCTCATCTGACGATGAAACATTCAAAAACACATACCTAAAGCCTTATTTCTGGCTTTCGTCACTCCTGATTCTTAGTTTTTCCCTTATGGTATTTTTTCTTCCAACACTAGTTCTTCCTCTCTGACTCCCACCTTTTTTCTCTCCCTTCTTGATTCTCTCTTTCCTCTCTCAATATGATCATCTATTAATCTGTGTGATTTTATACCATCTGATAATCCTAGCTATTTCGGTTTAAAATGTAAAAGAATATTAGTTGAATATATTGCGTTACTAATTTTGTATGCAGTTATTATTTTGTATAATGCTTTTTACAATGTTCATTAAAATCTGTTTTAATGTCAAAGATTCGTAAAAAATCGTTCAATTCAGCCTTTGGGCTGCAATGTGATTTTTGAATAAATAAACCATTATAAAACTAAATCAAATATGCTACGTAGGACCACACACATGTGCAGTTTTCGAAAAAGTGCATGTGTTTGGAACCTGGAAGTTTGATATATTAAAGAGGTAGTTAAAGTGTGCCCAATTTCTGAAACAAAGACAAAAAGGATATAAAATTGAAAATTACTGAGTGAAAAAGAACACCCTTGCAGTCAGTGTCACAGTCATGAGGGAAACGGGAGTACAGCCCAAATAATCGGTCTAATGAAAATAAAATATGATGGGAGAGCAGAAAAGCAACTTGGGTAAAAGGTAATGACTCAACCCTATGCCCTTATCTCCTTTCATGCTATCGTAGTAGAGAGGTTTGAGCACTATACTGAAAATTCAAAGGTCATTGGTTTGACTCCCGGCACGGCACTGATGTCCATTGACAAGGCCTTAATCTATATTTGCCACTCCGTACCCAGGATTGAATGTGGACACTGTAGGAGCACGAAGCCTGTGTGATAGTTATTGCGTTATGCCCTCACGATGACCCTGTGGTAGGAATACTCCCCAAAAGAGTGGGGATGCTGCACATTTTGCGTATGAATAAATCCGGCGTCCGGGATAATAATATCTTTAAAGCGCTTAGACACGGTATTTTGTCTTAAGCACTATACATGTATAAATCTAGATCTTTCATTATTATTAGTAGTAGTATTAGAAGTGTAAGTAGTACCAGTAGTTGTAGTAGTAGAAGCAGTAGTAGTACATGTAGTAGTAGTAGTAGTAGTAGTAGTAGTAGCATTCTCTTTAATTCAACCCTCATAACAGTTGCCTATTGTGTCCGATACCGCCGCCCCATAACACGTGTGCCCCCCCCCCCCCACATGGCTAAACTCAGGCTACGCCATAGATAGTAGTTACCTGACAAGTATCAATTCCACCTGGCGCATATTCAGCACATATCTCTTCTTCTGTCAAAACCCCGTCGTGTTCAGAATTGCACAAGTTTTGATCAAGAAGGTTCACCACTGCTTTTTTCAAGGTCGGCGTCAACGCTGCGAAAGATTAAAGTAAATCATCGTTTACATCTTCTGTAAGCAAACGAATTGCAAGTCAAATTATCATCAAATGTTTGAAACCATTTAAAGAGTTTTGGAAAGGTAGAGTGGTTTCAACACTGCTATTTAGCATGATTTTTCATTTTTTAACCATCCAATAAATACTGTATTTAATGAAATTGGGGGTTAATAGGGGTATCTAGTTAGGTGGATGAAATCATATTGGTTATGAATTTTGAGATCTACGTGAAGAAGAACTACTGAAGGGCATCTTTAAAGCTTCCCTGTTTGAAAGAGGCCTTTTGGATATCACATTCCTTTCAATCAGATAACCTAGAGAATTGATTGGCTTACCCCTGTAGGAATGGAGCAACCTATATCAGCAACTAAATAGTGAAGCACAGTAGTGTTGTTGATACAATTTCAATTCAATTCAATTCAATTGTTTCATTCATTGTAATTAAAATATATATATATATATATATATATATATATATATATATATATTCACAAATAAATACATGAAATACACGATGATTTAACCTGGGTAATGATATTAATAAACACCTTAGACTTAAAAAGAATGAAAATAAATAAATATGGGAAAACTTAAAGAAAATTCCTAGGTCCTTGTATTAGGCTAGCCCTCCACGAGCATAGTTTTCACAAGGCTGGATAAATATGAAGACAAAGAAGATCAAAATAATTAAACATATCAGAATCAACTTGCATACCGGAACCAAAAAACATACACATCATGTTTGAAAAGAGTGGCCGACAGTTTAAATCTCTTCCCGCTGCGCATATTCTTAGACGAAGTATTTTATTTTCAGTCGCCTCTCTTGACCCAGGCGTAAAGAATGTGTACTGGTGTAATGGAGTAATATATACTCTGACATGTGCTATAAGGTGATACCGGCACCCATATAAAAGTGAAGAAATCGTATTGCATGTAAGTACACACACACGCACACACACACTTCGTTTCATTTGAAAGATTCGCTTTACAAAATGGGAAATGTTCTTTCATTATTAGGTGGTCTGTCGTTTACGACAGATCATCTATTATTTTCTTCAGAATTTTTTTGGGGTGTTTATTTGAACCCCGTAAGTGATGTTTCCCTGGCATCTATTAACACAATGGAGACCATAAAAAGCAGTGCATGATAACGTCTTTTTAAATCAAGTAACAGTTAAATACACAGTTATATCCAGAGTAATCATGTGTTTGGTTAAGTTACCAGATGAGTTGAATATCTTCTCACAATATTTGCAATTGAAAGGGTTTCTCTCCAGCGTGCGTTCTTTTTTCTTTCTTTTTTTCTTTTTTTTTCTTCTTTTTTTTTTCCTTTTTTTTGTATGGTTTTTTTTTGGGGCCGCCCAAGGGGGGGGGGGGGGGGGTTTAAACCCCTAAACCCCCCCCCCCCCCGTAGATCCGCGCCTGTCTATACAGAGCGAATTTATTTTCCATTTCTTTTTCACATAATATAAACAATAACAAAACAATAATAAACGTAATGGTATAACAGAAATAAGCATTGAAATATCTTTGACATTGTTTTTTAGTCATTGTAATGCAAAATGATTTAATTATAAGAAATGGAAAAAACGGACCTACTTGAAAGCAAAGCTTGTTAGATGTAGGTTCGCACAATAATAATTATACTTTATACATTTATAACTTAATTTTAAAGAAAAATTACGGAATAAAAAAAAACATGACAGACAATAGAAAAACAAACAATTAACGAGACGAAAACAAATCAGAAACATTTGCAGAATGACAAGATGATGATGATAAATGAAGAATATAAGAATGAGAGAGTAAAAAAAACAGCAAAGGGGGAAGACAGGCAGGAAGATAAAAAGAAGACAGAGAGAGGGGTTTGAGGGAGACAAAGAAAGAGACAGAGAGGGAGAGGGGAACTACTTATTCTGATTCGTTTGCAACAAAAAGTGCTTGAGGGCATTTTTGAAACCACTTAATGAGGGCTTTTCTCGTAATGTGCCAGGAAGGGTATTCCAATATTTTGGGCCAGTGAAAGTGAAAATCCTGCTGGAAAATTGCGTTCTTGGCTTTGGTAGGTGATAACATTTCGCTATTCTCGTGGGGTAACTATGAAATTCAGTATTTTTGTTAAACATATTTGAGAGAACTTGTGGCAATTCATTTTTTTCTAGTGTATACATAAATATACCCAAGTTATAGGAAAAAAAGTCATGAATCTTCAAAACATTATTAGCGTGAAAGAGTTCATTAGTATGAGCGCGAAAATTGGTGTGAAAAATGATTCGCATTGCTTTCTTTTGCAATAGTAAAATTCTATTTAGTTGAGTTTTTCCACAGGGGCCCCACGCAAGTATTCCATAATTCAAGTAAGGAAGTACTAAAGTTGAGTATAAATTAAGCAGTATACGAGATGGAAAAAACAATTTTACCTTGTTCAAAATACCAATATTTCTAGAGATGATTTTACAAACATTATCAACATGCAGCTTTCATGAAAGTTTATCATCTACTATATATTATTCCCAGGAACTTCGTAGAAGAGACTTTTTGTATGACAGTATTATCAAGTACAATATTTCCTGGTAAGTTATCAATAATATTACTAAAAAGCATATAATTGGTTTTTAGTAAATTCAATGACAATTTATTTGCCTTGATCCAGTCAGCAACTTCTCGTAATTGAGAGTTAACCGTTCTCAGTAAAATTTCTGGGTCTTTGTGAGAAAAGAAAATGTTAGAGTCGTCAGCAAACAAAATAAAAGACAGGGTTGTTGAAGACATGTAAAAATCATTTATATAAACAATAAAAAGTAACGGACCTAAAATAGAACCTTGAGGCACGCCACATTAAATAGTCTTTATAGAAGAATGTGCATCGTCTATGAGAACGTATTGGTTTCTATTGTGGAGGTAGTTCATGAACCACTCTAAGGGTAATCCTCTGATTCCGTAGTTAGAAAGTTTGTAAAGAAGTATTTCGTGATTAATCGTATCGAACGCCTTAGAGAAGTCCAAGAAAACCCCCACCGTATGTTCGAAATTGTCAATAGAGCAAGCCACCTTATTTATTAGAGTCAAAAGGGCATGTGTTGTACTATGCTTTTCACGGAAGCCAAACTGTGCCCGATAGAAAATATTACTAGCACAAAAGAATTTTACAGTACGAGCATATACAATTTCTTCAAGAACTTTAGATAAGGATGTCAGCAAGGAAATAGGCCTGTAGTTTCCTAACTCTAAAGGATCTCCTTTCTTGAAGACAGGAACAACTTTTGCCAATTTCATCGATTGAGGCACCACCCCAGTTGTAAGCGATAGATTGAAAATATAAATTAAAGGTTGGACAATATCAAGGGTTATTTTTTTCAGGAGATAATTGCTTATTTCATCATGCCCAGAACTCCGCTTATTCTTCAATCCGTTAATTATGTTTATAATTTCACTTTCAAGAACTGATGTGAATTATATAGAAAGTGAATTTGGGGTTCCAAGAAAGTCAGTGAAATGCTTATTTGAGTCTGGTATTTTTTTAGCAAGGTTGAGACCAATATTTGAAAAATAATCATTTAAATATTCCGGGATTAGTTCGGTATTATCAATAACTTCATTATTAACTTTAATCTTTTTAATTGTGGAAAACTTGCTTTTCCCGTGTATAACACTTTTGATAACCTTCCAAGTATTTTTTAGGTAATTTTTATACAGTTCAAACTGCTTACAAAAATATTTTTGTTTAGCTTTCCTCAAAGTAGTAACCAATATGTTAAAATGTCAAAACAGAACTCAATTTGGAAGGTTTTAAAATCACTTACTACAAATGACAGCTCTTCATCAACTATTACCATTCATTCTAATGACACCCGGACTGCTGCTAATAAATTCAATTTTCATTTTGCAAATGTAGCGAATGACTTAATCAATGATTTGTCCGAACAACATGTAAACTATTATGTTAATACTTCTAATCCTGATAATTTGTTAATTTTTCATACAGTAAATGAAGATGATGTTTTAAAGGTAATACTGAAGTTAAAAAACAAGAAATCTGTTGGTGTTGATGGTATATCCACATTTATCTTGAAAACTTGTGTAAACGAATTGATCGAATCTATAACATATTTAATTAATAAGTCGATTTTAGATGGTAAAGTACCAACATCATGGAATATAGCTAAGGTAATCCCTCTATATAAAAAAGGGGACAAATCAAATCCTGATAACTATAGACTAATTTCTCTTCTTCCTTCTATTTCTAAAATCCTCGAAAAAATCGTCCTAATTCAGCTACTTAAGTTCATTCAAGTAAACAAAATGTTAGTACCTGAGCAATCAGGATTTAGAGCTAAGCACTCAACCACAACGGCATTGTTGAAAGTGACTGACGACTGGCTCCAAGCCATGGATTACGGACATTATACCGGGGTGGTATTCATCGATTTACATAAAGCCTTTGACATGGTCAATCACGAGCTACTTTTATCTAAGCTAGCTCGGCTTGGTATAGTTGGTAAATCTTTGGACTGGTTTTCAAGTTATTTGTCGAAAAGAAAAATCACTACTTTTTAAAATAATACATTTCGGATGAATATTCTATTAACAACAGGGTGCCCCAGGGGAGTTTGATTGGGCCAATTCCTCTTTGTATTATTTATTAATGACTTAGCTTCTGTATTTGACAAATGTGCTTTTCACTTTTATGGAGATGATACTGTTTTATATTTCTCTGATAAAGATCCAAAAGTTGTTGAGACAACTTTGAATTCCGAACTTACCAAAGTGAGTAAATGGATGAATAGAAATAAGTTGAAAATAAATTGTACTAAAACTGTATGCATGTCTTTTGGAACAAGACAAATGCTAGCAAGGCACGACGTTTTAAATTTAAGAATTCAAAATACGTATATTAAAAATGTAGAAACAGTAAAATACCTTGGAATTATTATTGATAAAGAGCTTAAGTGGAATTTTCATATTGAACAAATGTGCTCTAAAATTGGTAAAATGATAGGTTTTCTTGGTAGACTGAGACATTCTGTAAATGAATCTATTTTAAAAATTGTTTATTCCTCAATTATTCTTCCCCATTTTGATTACACCGAATAATCTGGCAGTCTGCCCCCAAAAAATATCTAGATATGTTGCAAAAACTACAAAACAGGGCAGGAAGAATCATATTGAAAATCAATCCATAATCTCATATTTCCACTTCTCATATCCATGAAGTTTTAAATTGGAAATTACTAAGTGTCCGCCAAGAAGAACATATATATATTATGATGTACAACATTTTTAATAATCTTATTCCTGAATATATCAAACGTCCCATACCAATCAAAACAGACATGTATTTTTTCCGTTCTATAGGTAATCTAAGTCTCCCTGGACCGAAAACCAATAATTGTAAAAGAAAATTTTATTACAGAGGAACTTCATTGTACAACAAATTACCAGCTAATAAGCACTACGCTTGTACGATTCAAAATTTCAAATCCAATCTGACAATTTTTTTCACAATATCTCAAAAATGTGCTCAATAATCTGTTTACCTTTTTCTCTTTCCTTTTACTTTATTTGTTCAGGGTTCGTGCGGTTCTGTATCCCTTATAAAATCCACTGAATTTGAATTATAAATGTAAATTGAATTTATTAGACTCGAAAATATAGTATACATGTTCAGTTATATCGTTTATGTTTTGTTTAATGTAATGTTTACATTGAATTTATATAAATCTAATTTCCCCATGATTGTATAAAATATCTGATTTTTATGTAACAGCTTTTTTTATCCGGACCCCATGGAAGAACAGGCGTATTTTGTTAATACGCCTGAAATGGGCTATCCGCCGTATATCTCATTTATGCATGTATTTGTATGTTGTGATGATTTTATACGGAAATAAAAACAAACAAACAAACAAACAATGTTCTTATATTCCGTATATTTTACCTTATCTTTATCCAATAGCTTAAATTTATACTTTAAATATAAATTGTTTTTTCGATTTATGGAACGTAAAAGAGCTTGCGTTACCCAGGGATTCCTAGGAGTCTTTTTGTAACTACTTTTTTTTTTATTACTAGCTGGAAAACAAGTGTCAAAAGCATCTTTTAAAAGATCCATAAAAGTGTCTAAAGATTGATCAACATTATCAATTTGATATATCACCGACCAGTCAGTATTTGTCCAAACCTAACAATATTTTCTTCAGAAAAATCACGTTTTTTAACTTTGACATTGGGATGCATCAGTGAAATGTTTTCAATTGGAAATTGAGTAAAAATAGGGAAATGGTCCGAGATTTCAGACAAGATTATACCTGATTTTGGAAAAAAATTAGCATTTGTTAAAATATTATCAATAAGAGTAGCAGTGTTTTCTGTAACCCTCGTTGGCTTAGTTATAAGTGGTAGAAAACTAGCTGTTAGGAGGGTGTCGACAACATTTTGGACAAATGTATCAGTGGCGTTGTTCAATAAATTTATGTTATAATCTCCTAAAAGGAAACACGTTTTATTTAACATTAATGGATGCAGTAATATTTCATGGAAAACACGAGAGAAATCGTCTTGGCTCGAATTAGGAGGTCTATAAATTGTTCCTATTACTAGAATGTTTTTATTGTTTGGCACAATGACTTCAACAAATACCGTCTCAATGAAATTTTCCATCCGATTTAATTCTGGTTGTAGCTTATATTCATATTCTTGAGACATATACATGGCGACACCACCTCCGGACCGCTCTAATCTATTATTTGTAATAATATCATAACCTGGTAGTGAGCATAAGGAAGAAGACATGTCGTCAACAAACCAAGTTTCAGTCACACCAATCGCAGGTGGTCTGTTGTCAACAGACCACCTATTGATTTCGTCAGAATTTTCTTTCTTCTTTATTCTTTTCTTTTATTTCTCCCCCTTTTTTGTTCCTAGGATAACTTTCAATTTTGGCACAGTCATAGGTCATTGTCATGAGACGTGACAGGAACATTTTCAGGGTCATCAAATTATCGTGACGTCATCCAGGGGCCATTTTGTGAAATCACATTATCCATCATATCTTCATGATGCGTACTCAAAGTTCATTCATATTCATATCACATATACTTCAGGTCAAGGGTCAACAGGTCATGTCATCAAAGGTCAAACAAAGGTCATGACGCGTGCAAACGCGCGCGTCAAAATTTAAAATCGCTCAAAATCACTTAATTATTTAACGAGAGTACGAATCAGGTCATTTTAAGCATTTCAACATTTTCCGTTCGTACGTGTCCCCGCGCGCGTTGTGCGTGCTTACAGCGCGCGGAAAGGGTCAAATTCATTTTTTTTCCCAGTCATTCTTGACCTTTCATAAGGCCGTGAGCGCGCGTCAAAGTACAAAATCCGCGCGTGCTGCTATGGTCAATATAATGCAAATTTGATCAAAAACATGCCATTTTAAAAACCGAAATAGCTCTTCAGATAGTTCATCGACCCCCAATTTTTATATCCTGGTTGGAAAAAGCATGAGTTGGAGATATGATTTCATACCACCCTGACTCGTACAAAGTGAAACAAAGTCTTCATATTGGCATCTAATCTCAAAAAAATGTATTTTGTTGATGACGTCATTTTTGTCTTTGTTTAATTGAGATTATCTCGCTTATCGGGGATCAATTTTCTCCCAGATTTTGATGTGTTGTAGCTGAGATAATTCTCTACAAGAAATATGTCATTTTTTTTCATTTGGATGACGTCATCATAGTAAAATATTTGATTAAAGGCGACAATGCATAATTTGTCATATTTGCGTGTTATGTCTAAGGGAGGTGACTTTTTTCAAAACATGAATCTGCATGACAGTGTGTTTTGACCAGTATCTCGGTTGTTATTCAACACTTTTCTCCCAAATTTTAGTATGTTGTAGCTGAGACTCTGGGCTATCGGTAATATTGTCTTTGTTTTTTGATCACATGTCGGGAAATGTCGGGAAATTTTCGATTCAAAATGTCATTTGAAAGTACTCAGAGACTAATTTTCTGCCAATGGGACGTCACCGTCTATAAATAGCACGTAACCGAGTCTGTAAAAATCTCTTTTGTATTTCTTTCTGTATGAATTTTGTGTTCAAGATATCTCAAAAACGGAATCACCAATCATCTTCAAATTTGTACAGTATCTTAACCATGATCAGGAATGGATACAGTAACCTTTTCAGTCTGATCACCCAACCATGACGTCATCTAGGCGCCATTTTGTGATTTCGCTTCATCATTCATATCTTCATAACCATTCATCATAAATTAATCAAATTCAGCACACATAAACTTCCGGCCATTGTCTAACATACTAATAATCCACGTTGCCGTGCACGTCACGACGCGCACGTGCACGTGTGTCAAAATGTTAATTGATGACATCATAATGTCCTTCGTTCAATTGAGGTTATCTCGCTTACCGGTGATCGATTTTCTCCCAGATTTTGATATGTTGTAGCTGACATAATTCTCCACGAGATAAATACAATATGCTTGGATTTTGTTGATTTTCGACTATGTTGTAGCTGAGACTATATGCTATCTAAATCACCCCTCATTTTTTCGTTAAGATGTCAGGATCACGCTAATGATCATCATCATTATTATCATGATCATCATCATAATGATGATAATCATCATCATCAACATCACATTGATCATGATCATGATCATCATCATCATTATCATCATAATCATCATTATCATCGTCATCATCATCACCATTATCATCATCATCATCATGACCATCATCATCATGATCATCTTTATCATCAACATTATCATGATCATCATCATTATCAGTATGATCATCATCATATCTTATTTCATTAAATTTCATTATGATCATGGTTTTGATCATAATCATTTCTCGATATTTTGTTCATCAGTTAAGTTATCACTTCAGTTCAGGTTACAGTTCAATCTATCAGTTCATCAGTTCATCAGTACTTCATTCATCAATTCATATCTTATATCCTAATACATCATTTTACATTAACATTATTATATTGGATAATTGAATTGAAGATGAGCATGATCATAAGAATTGAAGACAGACCACCTAATTCGTCCCCATGACGTATTAAATGTCTAGTTATTATTATTATCATTATCAAAGCCTCATCTGTTGCTGTCTTCAAAGTTTTGAAGACAGGATTAAAATGTTTATTCATTATGTTTTGTCTGTATAGTAGCACTGTTAGGAGTTTTGTTCTTATTACAGAGCAGTAGACTGGCTGCGCTATATAAATTAATCTAATTATTATCATTATTATCAAATATAAGTAAAACTTACAGTACATACGTGGGCCTTCCAGTGTAGTTCCCCATCCAGCGACGAGGCAGCGACGATAGTCCTTGAGTTCATCCGAGGATTCCGACAGACACGCGGGTCTGACGTAGTCACTGAATGTCACCGGTTCAGCAAGTCGTATCAGAGCGATGTCGTTGATGAGCCAATAGGGGTGGTACTCGGGATGGACGTAAATATCAGCCATCTCAACCACTACCTCGTTGTCGGAGCCATCCGTCAAATGTGCGTTCCCAAAAACTACACGATCGACGTAGTTATCACTATAAATGATAGTGGATGTAAAATCAGTGATTTTTAGAAGGGCGAAATATAATCATGTATATCAAAAGGACATCTTAATGGAGCTGCATTTATTTGAGCATAATATATATTATATATTAACTGTAGTCTCATACATGTACATCATGACTTCATTATATATTACAAACGTTGTATCTGCTATGTCTCACAGGGAAATTAACTAGCTCCTAATACATCGGACGTTATACGGCCATGTAAATGTATGTCTCTGAATTAAACATAATTCTGTAACGACACTGAAGTGAAATCCCGTCATCTGATAGTTATAGTCGGAGGGGATAACGCTGCCGTCCGTCCTTCCGTCCTTCCGTAACATATCTGGTTTCCGATCGATAACTTTAGTAATGTTTGACGGATTTTAATGAAATTTGACATGAAGGTACATGGTATCAAAACACAGCGTAAGTTAAATTTCGGAGTATGTAGGTCAAATGTCATAGCTCATTAAATATGCGAATCTGGTTTCCATTCGATAACTTTAGTAATGTCTGACGGATTTTAATGAAATTTGATATGAAGGTACATGGTATGAAAATACAGCCTAAGTTCGATTTCGGAGTATGAAGGGTCAAAGTTGAAAGGTCATAACTCATTATATATGCGAAAATACCTACTTATATATGCGAAAATGTGGTTAACTTCCTTGCCTAGTAATATAATAGTATAGTCTAATGGAGGTAACTTGTTCTGACGTATTTCGCCATTTATACCCTGCGAGGGGATGCTACGCTTTATATATCCCTGTGAAGGTAAGGTGTCAATTTGCTTTCATTTCCACAGAGCAAACGATTTAATAGTGGCATCATACTTACACACAGTGAGCGGCGGTAAGAACCCATTGAGAGTTGATCAGGGTAGACCCACACCAATGTCCTCCAAAATCCAATCCTTCGATGCGGAGTGAACCAATCCAAGGTAATTCCCCTGGGCGTGCGTTGGTACCACCAATAACCCTGGATTGGTCTGGTGCGTATGCAGGGCGTGTCCCGCATATGTTGATACCGAAAAGATCTGGGGGAGGGAAAAAGTCGCAAGTCAGTGGCACAACGACGGGAAGGGAAGGGACATCCACCCAATTTGAATAGCACCCCTTTGCCTCCCCCCAAAGCAAATGAAACAAAACAAAGCATAAATCGAAAATAAAATGAAAAGAGGAGGGAAAAGGATGCCCAAAAAAGATGATAGACCACTTTTGAATACCCTCCAATCTACCTCTCATTTGGTTGCTGATTTTCATGTTTCTCTAAAAACCCACTTGGCAGTAAGATCAGTGCCGCCATCCCCATCTCATTAGCTGTACGCCACTGCCACATGTGATGAATTCAATAGAAAATGCTGACATCTTAATTTTCTTCGGTTTTATGAACTATCATTTATAAACACTTTAGTGCATCTTGTTAAGTCCAAGCATATTATTAACTCGATATCATCAACATGGTTATGTCTGCATGGCATGGGCGTAGATCTGTAATTGATACCTATTGTTCAGGGGGGGGGGGAATGATCTATTCACTCACCCCCCCCCCGAACAATAGGTATTACGTAAGGATTGACGCCCATATGCTGCATGGTCTTTACCTCCCGCAGAGCCAAAACAGCTCCCATCTTCTTCCTGTTCATCGGTAAACATGGAACAGTTGACGGGCCAAGGACGGTCGAGGAGTTGCTCAAAGGATGCCTTGCAGGCATCAGTGACTGCCAAACAGTCGGAGTAGCACACCCGATGGGTGGGGCCGTTATGGGTGCATTCCGGATAGTAAACGGAGCACATGAAAGGGAAAAGGTGATCATGGCACGATGATATAGTATCTGCCTATGGTAGGTCATTAGAAAGAATAAACTTTGAGGATTTCACGTCAGGATTTTCAAAGGCAATTGCAACATAGATGTCATCAGTGTAGCCAGCAGCTCTTGCAAGTGGTTGGGGGGACCACGTGCAGACAAGAATAACATAAATTATGTGTTTTTAGACAAACAATAAATATTACATCAAAAAAGATCTCCAACATATTTTCAGTCGTTACGTCTCTGAAATATACATCAGTCTGTGTGATTATCCTCGCTACCATGCATATCCCCTCGAAAAGAATCACCTATACAAAAAAATAATTATTGAATGCGTATTAACTAATACCAAGTTCATTGGTATATATATACAGGTCAATAATCGTAGTAAGACAATGTTCTACTAAAGTTAAAACTAATTAATTAATCGTTCCTGGCATTATCTATGAAAACCACCAAAAATCTGGACAAACCCATCAGTAATAAGGAATCAACTCAACATTCCTTTATAAAGCAATTAAAAAGACATTCCGCTGCTTTACCATGTCTGTAAAGCTTCCCGCTGCAGCGTCTGCTGTCTCTGCGTTCCGATTCGGGAAAAAAGTCAAATCGTAGGCCAGGCTCTGTCTACATATATCAAATTGAACTTGTTCGCAGTACGCTGGGTAGGAGAAAAATCGATCAATGAAGGGTCAAAAACATCGATAACATGTCAGAGAAATCAGAAAGCAGACAACATATAGAAACATTAACAGCAAAAAAAAAGGGCAATCAAAATAATTCAACCGCTGAAGGTCATGAAAGGCTTAATGTGTTTGGGAAACTGGTAAACAAAAACTCAGGAGAAAAAAAAAACCTCTCTCTAAAGTAAAACTCCAGAATTATAGAAACTCCCTCAATATATAGAGATAACATAGAAATTCATAGATGGGTGTGCAATTCACTTTAAGGAAATGTAAATTTTATGTAACTACATGCATAACGATAGGAATTAATTGAGAAGCGAAAGTGAACGTTAAATCCAAACTTACGACAGTATTCCTCATCTGAGAAATCGAGACAGTCGTTATTTCCGTCACACCTTGCCGATTCGCTGATACACAGTCCACTAGAACATTGCATTTGACCGCTGCTGCATCCTGTCATGAAGTATTTAAAGCATAGAATTATAGATAATCTCAATTCTAGTAAGCAATTTTTTATTGTGTACTTTAACTGATTGATTTTGAATAACGTAGTAAGAAAAATAATAGCTACATTTATATTGCACACACATTCATCCCAGAGGAAGCTCAGAGCGCCTACAAAGTAATATTATTACCCTGGCTTTAGCCCAGTTGCCCTGAGGCGTTAAAAGGTTTCAAGGAATAAATTCCTACCGGGTTGCCATTTACTATGTCTGGAAGGATATTAACAAAGATAGATTAATGTCTTGCCAAAGGACCTAATTAAGTGCCTCGGCGGGACTCGAAACGCTAACCATATGATCCACAGTCCGGTGACTATCTACAAGACCTCGACACCTCTTAATGATACAGACCTGTTATGGTCATGCGATTGCATTGTGAAAGAAACGTTGTGGAATCGATCAGAAAAGGTTGATCATTAAGCATATAAGTATTGGTGTGTAAGGTTCTGGAATCATCAAAATGATAAGAAATTTGGCCCAGTCTTCGTAAAGTTACAAGCACTGTACACAAAAAGATGTATATGGGACTACGCACACGTGCGCGACACGTGCATTTATCTCTCACACACCAATAGATAAACTAATTTACCAAATATATCAATTAGTAGGCGGTTTCCCGGCAAATTTTTTTATCACCATGTATTATTCAAAACATATTCTTTCACATGATTGGTAATAAGAGTTTCCATTTTATTTTTTGAAATTGGGGCGTTTCCAATACTAGTCTTTACCTTTAAGAAGCAGAAACTATGGCTAATTTGATCTTACCAGGGTTTAGTATAGCTGTGACACGAAGACTAAAGCCAATATCACCCCTTGAGACATCCGTGGTAAACCTGACCCACATAGAGTGCCCGGGTGCAGCGGGTTTACTGGAATAGTCATACCCAGTCAGTTTCTGAAGCTCCCAAGAACCAGGTTCATTGGGACCAGGCCCATAACCAATGTACAAGTAGTCGTAGTCCGTCTCTAGGGCTAGGTCTAGAATATGTATCTGGAGGATGTGACCCTCTGGAGCCGTGAGTACCCAAGTAAGGTCGAGGTTCGAGTCGTAGTAGGATGGATAGTCGGGTGAAGATATGACGGTGCTTTCTATCACAGTGATGCTGGTATCTGTGCAATGAATTAATAATAATAATAATAATAATAATTATAGTAGCAATGAAAATAATAAAATAATAAAATGATAATAAAAGTGATTTAAAAAAAAGTAATAAACAATTTTTACCAAGGAAGCCAAGGCATTAACGATGTTCTTCCTGAGAGCCCTGCAATTATTCTTGAAGAATCAAGTTTAGACAAGGTTGTATGACACATGCTCCTGTGCCAACTGCTCCTCGGTAATTTCCTTCACTAACCGAGTTCCTTACTTTAAACCTAGAGCAATCACTGTACCTAACCCTGACCCAAAACCTCAACGCTTTAGGAAAGAAGCTGATACATTAAGCGTTACGTTAACCTTGGCATAACAAGTCATATGGTACCATATTGAAATTCACAGTTCATATAGGGAGCTAATGTAGATTTTCTTTCTGTTACATTCGGTGATCAAACCAGAGAACATGTACAAAATATTCACAAATTAAAAAGTCTACCGAAATAAAGGACGGGGTATAAATAATATTTCCTTCCTGAATAACTTCCAATTGTTTTGTTTAACCTGACTGCTAAGAAAGTATGTGTATGCTTGTAAGTAGGGAACCAGGGAAACACCGACTTTAAGTCCTCTCCGAGGTACTTGCTAATGAGGATTAATACCTTACCGAAGAGCACAAGCGTCGACTTGGTTTCGAACCCGTGACCTCCAGGTGACGAGACCACTGCTCTAACACCGAACCATCACTAAGTACTACTCTTGTTTTAGCCGAGAGGCCAAATGTGTAGCCCTCAAGTATATCAGATATCAGATACACATTGTAATTTTTTCATCATTGTGTCTGTAAAATGTCGCCTGGCCGGGATGATCCCCAAGGGAGTTAAGTAAAAAAAATATAAAAAAATGCAACGTTTTTGTGCAATTTTTATGTTGTAAAATATAATCATGTATTCAAATTTATATGAAATATGCTTTTTTTTCATAAACAAGGACCAGATACATAGAAATTATTAAGTTCAATGTATACCAAATCCACAATAGCGAAGAGCACGTTTTAATGTGTATGATATCAATCATTTCTACGAAGTACGCATTAATAACTTCAAATCAGCAATATTTTTTACATTTTTATGAAAGATTATCATCTATTTTAAATTATCAAGTTTCAACTACATGACATTTTGTAAGTAAAATATTAATGTGTCTAATTAAGAAACATTTTGACGACGAAATACTTATTCATTCAGCTATTTAGCAAATCGTTTTCCATGGTCAGTTAAATTGGAATAATACTAGTATAAGAATTATCTTACCTGTATTTTGTGCAGATGTATACGGCAGAACAGAGACAGCCAATAACCCCAAAACGATAAACATTATCCCCATTTCTCTTCGTGAAACTTCTCCACCTATGAAAATAAAAGAATGTTTGATTATCGTGTAAAAGTTTCTAATGATTCATAGTACAGTGCGTCCCAGAAAAAACGAAACCGAGAATTATCGATGTTTTATCATAACTTAGTCACATTTATAATTAATAAATGACACATATTTGGAAAGCTTAGATACTCATCTTCCATTTGATGCAACCCATTATAATGCATATTTCACGCATGAGTGTTCAAAATCAATTTGAAGAGAGGAAACCAAAAAGTCATTTGGCGGATGGTATCTGAATTTCAAAGAGAAATCACATTTTTAGAAAGTTGAGTTTCTGCCCTTTCATATGACACCTCAATCAGGAAGAATGAGCAAGGAATGACAAATTTTTGTTAGTTTAAAGTAGTGCTTGCATTTCCATAATTGTATCAAACGAATTCGTTTTCACTGGCTGCCTGCCGTAGCAACAAACAACATGTACAAAAGACTTAACTCCGTTTCGTTGACAATCAGCCATGCATGCATTCTTTCGTCTACGGCTGATTGTCAACGAAACGGAGTTAAGTCTTTTGATAATTCCGTTTGTTCCTACGACAGGCATCATTACTTAATCACAATTATAATTTTTTCTGGGACGCACTGACTCCAGTTGTCCAAATTCAATAACAACGACACCTCAAATAGAATTTATAAAAAATTAAGAAGGAATTATAATCCACTCAAGTAGTTAGGTATAGGCCTATACCTAACTAGAAATTAAACAAGAATGTGATCGATTGAACTGGTCAGTGAAACTTAAAAAGGTTAAATCGATCCTAAATATCTGGTAAAGTTGTTATAATCAAATCACTTATATTTTCACAATTTGTGTATGTTGCTTCATTATAACCCATTTTCTCTTAAACTAATTGTTGACTTGAACAAATTGATTAATAATTTCCATTGGAATTCAAAAAGAGACAAGATAAAGAGATCAGTCCTAATACATACAACTGAAAATGCAAGCCTAGGTATGAAAGACTTGGATTCCAAGTTTCAATCCCTGCATTTAGCATGGTTATCAAAGTTCTTAGAAAATAACCAAGATACACCGTGGAAATTTATGTCTAAATTCTGGATTGGAAAAATATGTCCGTTTTCATTGATTTTAAAATCAAACTGTTCTCGCAAAGATATTTTGATTTTATGTTCAAAACACAATCTACCTGAGTTTTATGTTAATTGTCTCGTATGCTGGAGTGAACTTAAATATATTGACATTTTGCATGTCGAAGATGTTATAATTAAAGTGTTATGGTACAACATAAACATAAAATTTGATAGTAAAACCCAATTTTTTTAAAGAATGGTTTAAAATGGTATCGTACTAGTTGATAATATTTGCAGAAAATCGACATTTTAAGACACGAGATCATATTTGTAATGTATTTGGTTCGAATTCCTCATTGGTTGACTTTAAGTATACGAATCTCAAAAAGACAATCCCTAAAGTTTGGATAATACGAATTCATGAAGTCAACCAGCATGCAAATGACGATAGAGGTACTATACAACATTATGACAATGAATTCTGCGAAATTAAAAAAACTGTCAGGTGATGTCATAGGATTGTCAACAATGAAATCGAAACATTTCTATAGTTCAATGAGTGAGTTTAGGAAAAGTGTTTTAGCTGTATTAACACACTGGGAAGAAAAATTTCACCTTCCAATTGATTTTGACTGGTAAGAGATATTGAAATTTAAGTTTAAAACAATAAAAAACAATAAAATGAAGCAAGTAAATTTTAAAACACTTCATTGAATTTTACCGTTCAGATATAATTTATGTAAATGGAAAATTGTAAATGAGAACTCATGTGCTTTTTGCAAAGTAACTGAATCGTTTGTTCATGTTCTTTTAGAATACCCCGAAGTAGTATTATTCTGGAAACGCGGTGTTGCATGTATTCGTTATACCTTCAAAGAAACGCTGATAATAAACGAAAAATACCTGATTGATGGTGCAGATTCAAATTGTTCAAACACTAAAGATATAGACGTAATTATTACATATGCACAATATGCAATATACAAAATGTACTACTTTCAGGACAAACGTATAACAGTCGTTTTTAAAACTACTGTGTTTGGATAACATTTCATATGTTAATACCCTTCAACATTATACTCCTTGATTTAATCTGATTGTAAAGATTTCAAGATTTGAGGTGTAATTAAGTAAATGTATATTTTTGTTTGAATTATTTGTTGTTAAACATATTTTATACCCGAATAAATACCTCTGAAGAGGAAATTATATTTGTTTTAAGTAAGAAGAAAGGTGTTACAGATAAACTCAAGTATATAACATATATGATTTGTTTATATTCACTTGTGAATCAAAGACCAAGTTAAGTTAAGGAACCCACAAGAAATAGCAAAGCTTGTTGGTTCACATGGCTTGAGGCTCCAAGGGCCCTATTCAAATTTCAAATGTACATTAAATAGGTTTAATACTTCAAACTCATAATACAAATTAAAACAAAAGTGGTTTAAACAAAACAAAACTTTTTTTTAATATTTTTTTTTACATTCTTTCAAATTTTTAGAACAAATGTGCCAAAGTTGGAGATTTTAGACAAAAGTGCAATTTTTTTCAACTTTACCACCAAACTATACAAGCTTTAGCTTAAAGAAACCCAACTGTATGTCCTACCATGGCTTATTCACTTACCCATAACCAGAAAAGGGTCTGTACAGCCGAGCAAGAGCCTGCGAATACACGGATCTCGATGGGTGCACCAGCAACCGAGGTGGACATCCAACATGCAGAAGGAGAAACCGATCGAGTAAATCAGTTCTGCATAGCCACGACTGACAAACACGATTAATATGGAAAGGACACACACGCACACACGCGCGCGCGCGCGCGCTCACACACGCACACACGCACACACACACACACGCACACCACTCTAGTCTGCAAACAAAAACCTTGGTCAGTCGTAAAAGAGAGTCTGCACTATAAGACTACCATAGGCCATGTACTATAGCTGCTCATGGCACAACCAGTAGGTAGTTGGGCTAGGCTTCTCTCAAGGCACAATGATTTTTGATAAAGTTTCAAATTAGGGTCTGTGCTTGCAGACTAACACCACTCCCCCGCCCCCCCCCCCACACACACACACACAAGCACACTCTCTCTCTCTTCTCCCCCCTCTCTCTCTCTCTCTCTCTCTCTCACTCACTGAGATATTTTTCCCTCATGGAAATGAACTACATCAGAGGCAGACCTAGCTGTAGTAGAGGTAAATTACGGGATTTTCCACGAAGCACGCTGCACAAGGAGCTGAGGTGTGCACTGGTTTCGGTGCTGCATGTCAATGCTTCAAGGGGTGGCGGGGGGCTTAATTAGGAGCGCGAGCATTCATTTTGAAGAGGCAGGAAATATGAATTAAACTCACTAGAAGAAGAAGAAGAAAAATAATAATAACGATAATAGTAGTAACAGTAATAATAGTAATAATAATAGTAATGATAACAATATTAATAATATTAACAATAATGATGATAATAACAATGATAATAATAATAAGAATAAGAATCAAGAATTCCATCAGGAGGAGAAGAAGAAGAAAATAAAGGTATACCATTTCGACGGGGGGGGGGGGCTAATTGCCCCTAGCTGTTGCAGTGCCCTGAACAGTTTGAGGGGGGGGGGGACACTCGCCTATAGTTGGTAGGCCTTTATTGCATAGCGCCGTATACGTTTTATCCATAACAAGGGAGGCTTAATTTATGTCTCAAACATTTTTTCCGGCCCGCGTATATTTATGTTTTATTTTGTTAGGTGCATTATACCCCCACGTTGTATTTCCGAACAGGTTGTGTATCCGGACAGTTGATTTAAAACGGTATTTGAAGAAGTCAAAATTTAATTTTCATAAATCTTCTATAACTATAATGTTCGAAAATACCATAAAGGAAAACTGAAGCATAACCAGGGCCCAAATTAAATTTGTGTCCACGGGGGCTCTTCAAAATAAAAAATAGACCCCGTGAACCTTCTCACGGGGGCTCTTTTAGTGCTGACGGGGGCTCTTATTTTAATACAAATTTCCATTGGATGAAACTCCTAAATTCCTTGGTATTTTATCATTATCATTTATTTAAGTCGGCATTCTCCCTCTTAGAAATTTACTTGTTACATAGCTGTATACTTTTATCCCCGTGATCAGTGGCGGATCCAGGGGGGGGGGGGGGGCGGGGGGCCGTCCTACCCCCCCCCCCCCTGGGAAAAAAGAAGGGGGAAAAGGGGGAAATTTTCTTCTTTCTTTTTTTTGAAAAAAGAAGTGTTCCTTTCCCACTTGTATCACAGAGAAACAACAATTTAAGTTAAGTCTAACGTTAACGTTAATTTGTTATTAAAATGTAGAGTACAGCCCTTGGCCTTAGACCTAATTTAGGTCGTAACTGTTACTGTTTGAAAATCTAAAGTAAAATTAGACAGTTTTCATGGTTAGACCAAGTAATTGAGAAAAAAAGTTTACCCGTCACTGAGACCAGGTCAATCAATCTTCTAGATCCATTATTAGGGTCTAAAGTTAGTAGATATAAGGTAGATGCAGGCGCGGATCCAGCGGGGGTGAGCGGGCCTTGCCCCCCCCCCCCTCTTCCGCAAAAGAGAGAGAGAGAGAGAGAGAGAGAGAAAGAGAGAGAAAGAGAGAGACGGAGAAGAGGGAAAGGGAAAGAGGAGAGAAAGGGAAAGAAAGAAGAGGAAGAAGAAAAGAAAAGGGGGAAGAAAAGAAAAGAGGAAAGAAGGAGATCGGGGGGGGGGGGGGCCGAAAGGGCCTTGCCTCCCAGGCTGTTGCCTCCCCCCAATAAAACAAAATAAGAGAGAAGGAAGGAAGGAAATGGAAAGAAAAAAGGAAAAGAGGAGATAAAGGGAAGGAAAATTGAGGAAGAAGTAAAGAAAAGAAGGGGGATATCATGCAGTTACAATTTTCCCGCCAACAAGTTGCTGATGGGGGTGGGGCAAAAGGCCTTTGCCTCCCCCGCCCCCGCTAAAAAAAGAGAGAGAAGGAAGGAAAAGGAAAAAAGGAGAGCTAAAAGGGACCAAAAAAGAGGAAGAAGAAAAAAAAAGGGCGAAAAGAATTTCGATGCGGTGTTCGAGTAGAATTCTGTGAGATGATGATATACTTTCTCGTAGCTTGATGCTACGAAGTCTCTCTATCCAGATATCTGTTGATAGTATTATAGAATATAGAAGCCTGATATGACCTTCTGCTCGTAACCGACAAGTCACCGCATTAAAATTAAATTGCAAAACACGATGGTGGATGAAACTTTCTAATATTCGAAGATATATGACCTTCAGACCATATTGTTTCATTATTTTTTATTCAATCAATCAACGTCAAAGAATTGATTTATCATCGCACTTCAATTTATTATTTCACCTTTTAATGTACTTTTATTCTTATGCATCACGAAAGAACACTGAATTGGATTCTTCAATGGTTGTTTTGATTAATTTCCTCCCCTTTCCTTCTCCCTGTTTAATACTGATAACATGTTCAATTTTTCTTAATCAAGACAAAATATTATTTTCATATTTTCTTTATGCAAGACAGGGAGAGAGAGAGAGAGAGAGAGAGAGAGAATATGTTAAGTGAGTATTATCGAGTACAACTATCAATTGTATCCTTTTCAATATTATTTAATTCGCTGAAAATCTTTATTTTATAATTGCACGGGGGCGATTTTGAATTTTGCAATCGCCCCCGTGGACAACGTGATGGGGGCGATTATGGAGCTCACGGGGGCGAATCGCCCATCGCCCCCGTGTATTTTGAGCGCTAACTGCATAACTATTAAAGCATTTGATAGGGTGAATCATGGATTGTTATTCAAGAAAATGAGTAACAGGGGCATTTCCCCGTATTTGATTAGAATATTGATATATTGGTATGGTCACCAGACTATGATGGTGAGATGAGGTAACTGCCTCTCTGGCACATTTCATGTTGGTAATGGTGTTCGGCAAGGAGGTATATTTGTCTTCATACTTATTTAATTTGTATTTGGATGATTTATATGTAAAATTGAATAACTGTGGTACTGGCTGTTCTGTTGGTAGTACCAAAGTTAATAATTTAATGTATGCTTATGATGATCGTGTTATGTTTATTCCATCATCTGCAGGTTTACAGAGCTTGCTAAATGTTTGTTCTCAGTTTGGTATAGACATGATGTTAAATGTAATGCGAAAAAGAATCAAGTTATGATTGTGAATTGTAAAGAACATTGTAAGTTGGTATTTCCAGATTTTTATTTGTGTGGTGCTAAACTTGATATTTGTAAAGAGGCTAAGTACCTGGGTCATTATTTAACTGAGGATCTGTGTGATGATAGAGATATTTAAAAACAGTTTCGTAAACATTATGCACAGGGTAACACTTCGTGCAGAAATTTTAAGATTGAATTAGTTTGAGCTTATTGTACACCGTTATATACTGCACATCTTCTGAGTAGGTATAAAGCTGGTATAAAAAGAGCAGTATAAAGAAGCTTACGGTAGCCTATAATGATGCTATGAGGATGATGATGATGATGGATACGAATACCGATACAGTGCGAGTCCAAAAAAAAAGTTTACACCTAGAAAATTGCTAATTATTTAAAAAATCACCAATGAACATTAAATTGTTATATGTCTTATGAAAGAGTGTTTTCTCCCGAATCATTTGGTACCATTTTTGTGTGGTATGTGTTCACGCTTTGATGAACAGGAGACATTGTTTGCGAGAGTGCAAAAATCGACTTGCGCCAAAGTTGCTTATGTGATGTTTGAATAAAACAATTGGGATATGGGTATTAATTCGGTCTTTGCATATCCAAATAACATCCCTAGCAAAATTGATCATGCCACACATATCAAATATCGAATATCGAATATCAACGAACTTTTATTCGCGCGTGTGTGGGTGTGTGTGACTTTGACCTTTGCAAAAAACATATGCAATGCATTTCATTTGATAGATTCAATTCATTCTCTCACTCCGCTAATCCCAATATAATACATACTTTAGACATCATTTTGGCGCAAGTCGATTTTTGCACTCTCGCAAACAATGCCACCTGTTCATCCAAGCGTGAACACCACACAAAAAAGATACCAAATGATTTGGGATAAAACACTCTTTCATAAGATGTATAATAATGTACTGTTCAAAAATGATTTTTAAAATAATTAGCAATTTTCTAGGTGTAAACTTTTATTTGACTCACATGCACGGTATGTGAATGTACCTGCATGTCAAGCTGTTGTAAGATATATAATTTTCAAGTTTATTCAGAGAATTGACTGACACTTCAGAAAATATGGATTGTTAAAATGCAAAGCAGTACAAGGTTCACCTCAGATTTATGGAAGTTCAGGGCCCTGTTTCATAAAACTTGATATCAATAACAAGTTACAAGCTACTGTTATAAGCTACTGAAATCATGGCCGCATCTGGATTGGCTGAGAGCAAATTTGTCATAGAAATCATTTTGTCACAGATAACAAGTTTTATGAACCAGGGCCCTGCAGTGGTTCAGTAGCTTGTTGCCCAGGGGTCTCAGTCAAATATAAATACTGTAAGCAAGCGTGACCAAGAAAACGCGTGTAAAGGGGTGTTTTTATGAAATTGTTAATTGGTTAAAAAACTTCAAATTTTCAAGAAAAAGGGTAGTT